ATGGGTGTGTGTGCTGTGTGTATGTGTGTGCATGTGTGTGTGTATGTGTGTGTATGTGTAATTGTTTATGACATACTCACTCACCATTCATTCATTTACAAGAGTTCGGCAATTCGTATCGTATCTCAAAAACTTTAATTTTAATGTGAGTATATCCGATGTTTATGGAACATTATTAAAAATTAAAACTTATGAGATTTTATGCCTCTAAAGTAGTAGTACTCGTGACTACACCTGATGCGTCTATTATCTTATAAGAAATAAAATAAAAAAGTCATGAAAATGCTTACAAACTCTTTTCTCTTACTCTTAAATCAATATCAATAACCTTTAGACTCTCAACATATGATGTAAGACAATCTAGCAACCCGTCAGTACTCGGTTCGAGAGCCCCAACGACCAAGCACAAGGGTTCTTAACGTCTTCTTATTAAATTTTCAGCTCTATTTCAATCCATGGTTATGTTATTAATAATGCAATATTAATATCAGCAATTCGTATCTTATTCCAACAATTTTAATCCAAAAATATTCGACAATTTTGAAACAAAATTAAAAAAAAATCATTTAACTAATAACTTTTAATGTTTTCTCTTATTCCTAAACATTCCGGTAAGACCCGTCAGTGCTCGGTTGCGAGACCCAATAACCAAGCACAAGGGATCTTAAAACCATCTCATTTAAATAATGCTTATTAACATTGCAATATTAATAGTATCAATAATTACTATTACTAGCGTAGTGAGTATTACAAGTGTGTCTCTCTGTGTGTATGGGTGTGTGTGCATGTGTGTGTGTGTGTGTGTATGTGTAATTGTTTATGACATATTCGTTCATTCACCATTCATTCATTTACAAGAATTCGGCAATTCGTATCGTATCTCAAAAACTTTAATTTTAATGTGAGTATATCCGATGTTTATGGAACATTATTAAAAATTAAAACTTATGAGGTTTTATGCCTCTAAAGTAGTAGTACTCGTGACTACACCTGATGCGTCAATTATCTTCAAAGAAATAAAATAAAAAAAGTCATGAAAATGCTTACAAACTCTTTTCTCTTACTCTTAGATCAATATCAATAATCTTTAGACTCTCAACATATGATGTAAGACAATCTAGCAACCCGTCAGTACTCGGTTCGAGAGCCCCAACGACCAAGCACAAGGGTTCTTAACGTCTTCTTATTAAATTTTTTAGCTCTATTTCAATCCATGGTTATGTTATTAATAATGCAATATTAATATCAGCAATTCGTATCTTATTCCAACAATTTTAATCCAAAAATATTCGACAATTTTGAAACAAAATTAAAAAAAAATCATTTAACTAATAACTTTTAATGTTTTCTCTTATTCCTAAACATTCCGGTAAGACCCGTCAGTGCTCGGTTGCGAGACCCAATAACCAAGCACAAGGGATCTTAAAACCATCTCATTTAAATAATGCTTATTAACATTGCAATATTAATAGTATCAATAATTACTATTACTAGCGTAGTGAGTATTACAAGTGTGTCTCTCTGTGTGTATGGGTGTGTGTGCTGTGTGTATGTGTGTGCATGTGTGTGTGTATGTGTGTGTATGTGTAATTGTTTATGACATACTCACTCACCATTCATTCATTTACAAGAGTTCGGCAATTCGTATCGTATCTCAAAAACTTTAATTTTAATGTGAGTATATCCGATGTTTATGGAACATTATTAAAAATTAAAACTTATGAGATTTTATGCCTCTAAAGTAGTAGTACTCGTGACTACACCTGATGCGTCTATTATCTTCAAAGAAATAAAATAAAAAAGTCATGAAAATGCTTACAAACTCTTTTCTCTTACTCTTAAATCAATATCAATAACCTTTAGACTCTCAACATATGATGTAAGACAATCTAGCAACCCGTCAGTACTCGGTTCGAGAGCCCCATCGACCAAGCACAAGGGTTCTTAACGTCTTCTTATTAAATTTTCAGCTCTATTTCAATCCATGGTTATGTTATTAATAATGCAATATTAATATTAGCAATTAGTATCGTATCCCAAAAATTTTAATCCAAATATATTCAACAATTTTGAAACAAAATAACAAGAAAATCATTAAACTAATAACTTTTAATGTTTTCTCTTATTCCTAAACATTCCGGTAAGACCCGTCAGTGCTCGGTTGCGAGACCCAATAACCAAGCACAAGGGATCTTAAAACCATCTCATTTAAATAATGCTTATTAACATTGCAATATTAATAGTATCAATAATTACTATTACTAGCGTAGTGAGTATTACAATTGTGTCTCTCTGTGTGTATGGGTGTGTGTGCTGTGTGTATGTGTGTGCATGTGTGTATGTGTGTGCATGTGTGTGTGTATGTGTGTGTATGTGTAATTGTTTATGACATATTCATTCATTCACCATTCATTCATTTACAAGACTGCTTAAACTTTCAACAATGTATGAATTGTACTTCGTTATATTTTATCGAAACAATTCATACAATGCCGATCATAAATATCAATTATATCAAAAAAATGTCTTCTGCCTGCCCTATTCATAATTTAATTGTTTTATATAAATAAATATGAAGTATAGGAACCTTTTTTCGTATTTTTAGAAATTAATCAAAATAATAACACATAATAAGTTATACCAGCAAGACCACAGCCAGAAGATGGGAGAGCCAGCACCTAGCACACAGGATCTTAACACCATCACTAGATTACATCGACAATCTTAAATTTTAATAACTAAAACTTTTAAATTTTATAATACTGTCTATATTTAAATTTTTTACTAAATATTTCAAACATTGGTGGATAGAACCTAAAGCAAAGTTATATTTCATTTTAACTGTCACTTAGATGAAAATTAAAATTAGAACATCAATGTAATTAATAAACTGTATTGTGTTATTGATACTTGCTACGGCAATGCCTGAGACAGGACCTCGGGACTACAGTTTTACTTTGAATGCTGTAACTTTTGTGTGATGTTACTTTTTGTATTGAATGAATTTATGTAAAAAGTCAACAAATATCTTCAAATTTAAAAAACTGGTAAACTATCGTTTGGTGAAAACTAAACTTTACATTCTCCCTTTTAAATACCAAAACTTTTACTTAAAAAACTTTAAGAAAAAATAATATTAACAAACATAAATTATATAATTTATTAATCCGTCATTCCTAAGTAACTCCATTTTAAAGATAACAGCATATCAGAACACATTCAAATCTTACAGATTTCTACAAATCAATTTCAACCTTTTGTTTACACTATCAAATCCAAAATAGAATGAGCTAATCTGACATTTAGTCATAATCTGATATGCTGCTACGTTTACAAAAGATTTTCTGACCAATTTTATTTTTCATTCCATTCCAAAATCCATTTCCTAATCAGAAGGTTTCCGAAAAATGTGTCGTTTTTATACATCACGCTTACAAACAGCCTACATTCATACTAACACACATTCTTTGTTTATTGCATTGTGCGTTGTCCGTCAGTCTTACTATAAAAGTGATAAGATCAGCAAAGAAAGCCCGTTGAACCACAATTTGAGAGCCTAAAACGAGAACAACGGGATCTCTTGCTATCTTTGATACTCTAGTGTCCTATTGTTCAATTTTTATTTTTTGTTTTACAATTTCATACAACTCATCCTTTCACATTAATATTTACATCATACATAAAAATGATCGACAGATTTTTTGAAAATCATCTGGTTACTTTAGCGGAAATCCCTTCATTCGAGAAGCATCAAGAATCAAGAGAAAACCGAGCGTAACCTAGTTACTTCATGGATGTCCTCACCATTCCTTTCCTTCATGTGATTATCGTAAAGAAAATTTTATTTTATTTGCCGACTTAAATAGAAAAATAAAACGAATAGTATCAAATTCAATAAAAATAGCATAAAATTTACACCATCAAATAAACAGTACAAATGTACTGAGGTCCTACTTCAGGAATTGCCTCTACAGCTGCAGCAACTACCATTATCATTAAATAATTTATTAATTATATTTAAAACTTATTTTAAAACTCATCGTGTATTTAAGAAAAAATAAGGCTAATAATAAGTAACAGTCTAACAAAGTATTATTATCTACAATAAACTCATAAATTAAATTAAATTCTACACTAACCTAATCTTCTATAGCTTCACGCCAGATACCTCGTCGGAAAGAGGGGCAACTCCTTCCGACAAGGCACGCCTTTGACTCGTTACCATTAACAACCAATAACTATTTCCCAGAAGTATCTCCCACGATATCAAGGTAATACATACTAAAAAATAAGGGCAGAGAGGCATTGGACAGTGATTTAGATGTAACACGAAGTTACACTTGGGTTTAAGATTCAGGGCATACCGTCAATGCTTCGGCACGCTAATCTTTGTGACTTGTTGCCTCATATGGTGAGAGATTGCCAGTCTTTCACAATCTGTCACATACATAAAGGGCAACATAAACCCTTTCCCTTAGTCGCCTTTTACGACATGCTCGGGATGAAAAGCAGCTGACACATTCTATGTTTTTATTTCGCTTCCAGGTCAGCATGGAAGACAATGAGTGGTAGAGAAATTAATTTATGGGCAAAGTACCAGCTTAATTAAAATAAATAAATAAAGAAGGGCAGGTAGGCATTGGAATCGTTTGAAATGTAACACAAAGTTACACTTGGGTTTAAGTTTCAGTGCATACCACCAATGCTATGGTGCACTGATCTTTGTGACTTGTTGCCTCATATGGAGAGAGATTGCCAGTCTTTCACAATCTGTCACATACATAAAAGGCAACATAAACCCTTTCCCTTAGTCGCCTTTTACGACATGCTCGGGATGAGAAGCAGCTGACACATTCTATGTTTTTATTTCGCTTCCAGGTCAGCATGGAAGACAATGGATGGTAAAGAAGTTCATTCATGGGCAAAGTACTAGCTTAATTAAAATAAATATATTAAGAAGGGCATGTAGGCATTTGAAGCGTTTGAAATGTAACACAAAGTCACACTTGAGTTTTAGTTTCAGTGCATACCGCCAATGCTACGATGCACTGATCTTTGTGACTTGTTGCCTCATATGGAGACAGATTGCAAGTATTTCGGAATCTGTCACATACCTTTTCGCTTAGTTACCTTTTACGACATGCCCGGTATGAGAAGCAGCTGACACATTCTATATTTTTCTTTCGCTTTCAAGAAGACAATGTATGGTTGAAAAGTTCACTCAAAAATGAGTAAAATAACCGCATTCTGGATTTAATATGACACACCGTTCGTTCGTCCGTCCGTTCATACCTTCCCAGTCTTTGTTGGACCAGGGAGTTCAGAGAGAGACAATTTCCCTTTAGTCTCACTAACCAGTTGCTTCCTCTAAGTAGGACCATACATAACCACCTTGGCGGTCTTACGAATTCATCGTTTAAAACCGAGTAGATGCAATCTAGGGTATTCAGAGATAGGTGAAACTTTTAAGCATTTTTCTTTAAGATGCAATTCCGTGAACCAATACCCAGTAGTAATATAGAAAATATAAAGTATTTTGGTTCATTTTTAGTACTCGGGCGAGACTATCTCATTCATTACATTAATACATATAATATTTAATACATAAGGAAATGTTATAGTTAACTGTATTGTCTATCTCTGGTTTCACTTTTTAATCAACAAACTTTACTTTAACCATAATTTTCAAAGAGCATTAGTTCTTTTTAAATATACATCAATCTGTGAGTACCTACGAATTTTCTATCTAATATTTTTTTATAATATATACTTTTATTTATTTATTCATAACTTCAACATATATGATATGTTCTACACATCAAGTTAATTCATTATTAGACATAATCAAGTCTAATAATGATTTTCAGCCGTTTACATTCAATAAACTACTAACCATTATATAATTAATTTCACAATTAATACATTTTTAATGCCACAATATAATCCCTATCTAATCGTAATTATACATTATATTATTATACAACTGTTCCAAAAACAACTAAATGTACTTCTATTTACAAATTCTTAACTTATTGATCTTATAAAAATATATTATAGTCGACATTGATGTTAATAAAGATATAATTAATTTGTTTTATCTCTAAAGCTGGCAATTCACTATACGGTCATGCCCGTGGGCAAGTCTGTAAACATGCCTTCCAGCACGCGTAGCATGACAAACTCGAGAACGTTTTGTCTACACTCAAATATCACTTTTCTCGGGTTCGCCCATACTATATCTCACTCTCGATTCGAGAAACTGACAAATGAATTGTGATCGCAAGCTCTGTCGAAACTGCAGGCCCAGCACCTCGTTTGGACGGGCATGTCTGGCTAGTGCAGGAACGTCTTAGTTATAACACAAACCTATTGTAACTAAGAGTGGCAGGCGTGTCTGCAGATTTGTCAGCGGATATGCTCATCTAGTGAATTTCCGTTTTAAGAATAATAAATATTACTACTCGCTTACTGTTATAGTCAATTGTTTACTCCTGTTGTTCTCGAAGCGATCCATGGTCTTGATGTCCATTATCATGGAGATAGATATCGCCAGGCCGATCATCATAATAAATGTCACCATCAACCCCGACCTAAAGTTTTAGCATTACATTCATCAATTCAAGTTTTAATTTTATTACAAAACTACATTACATTTTATTAAATGTATTTCATTTTTAAATTATCCATTTTTTTACTTATTTCTTGTACCAACTTACTTAGATAATAAGAAATATTTTAAAGTACTGGTTAGAAGAATATGGTGCATTTAAAGTATGTACTCTGGTATTATGGTATTATGGTGCATTCCCGCCTAAAAATACAGAAACTAAAAGCTTTTTCCTTTAATACGTTTTATACGTGTACCCTTGTTACTCTAAACGCTCGACTTATTCAATGGCTTAAGACCTTATATAGCCCATTTAACATTATATACACATATAACCCATTGACAAGCTTTTCGTCTAATATTTTCGTCTCACAATTAATTGTAAAATCTTGAAACTCTATTTACTTACCATATAGGTACAGTTGTGAAGCCGATGCAATTGAAAGCATCGGCAAATTTCTCCGTACTGTCCATGAATGGTTGCATCTGAAATATTGAATATTTATCTACGAGTGATTATTATAATCATTAATCATGGCAAGCGTCAAAGTCTTACATAAGGATTCACTATTAACTATTTAATAGTGAATCCTTATGTAACACTTTAACCAAAGACAGGAAAAAGAAGTGTCGGTCGAAAACCAAAACGATGTGCTGTCAATATGGCAAATCAGTACAGAAAAAAATGAATGTACAAATCCCAGAACAGAAAAAAAGGCTGATAAAGATTAACTACTTGATTTTGAAATGATAAATGAAGCTGAACAACAGATAGTGGAAAAGCGCCTCACTCGAGACATGAGTCGAACACATACCTGAATATCAGGCAATATAAGTGTAGCCTCTTCAGATGAGTATACTAGAGGCAGGGAACACTCATAAGCATGTCCAAGTACTGCGGCAGGCGCGTCGGGAGGCGCCGGTGCCTTCAAGTTAAGGCCAGTCGTCTCAAGACCGAATTTGACCTCAACACCCACTGCTTGCCACCATCCTGCTGTTTGTTTAAAGCTGAACTCCAGAGTTATCTAGATACAAAAATTAAACTTATATTTTAAATATGAATAAGAATTCTTTTTAAACGGAATCAGAAAACCATCTCCCATTTATTTTCTATAGAGTATTGGCCAAATACGTATATTTTTTGCTTTTATTTTTATTACCATGCTTATTACCTTATCTTTGCTGTCTCCATACGCAAACCTCACGACCAGTATAGTATATAATCTAGTGGGTTTGACTGTAGGCTCGCCAACCTGCGTGTCTAGGATTGTCGTTGAACCATTAGCCCATCGCAGCTGGGGCCAACCAGATGAATACAGAAGAGCGCTTTTACCGGGTGGACCTGAAATATTATATTCTCTCTTAGATTCCACTAATTTAATTCAAGATTATGCTTTCTCTGTCTTTTAGTCAAATCCATTTCTCAAACAATTTTTTTCTATAATTTACATAGGTAGTTTCACTTGTTTTGTGTTTATATTTATATATTTTTATCGTACACAGCGTGCTATTATTAAATTATTCCTTCTTACCAGTTGCGTTGTAAAGTGAGTATTTCGGTCCTTGCTTCGGAGGCCGCTCATCTTCAGTAGATGGAGTACCAGCATTAGTGCTGCTCTCGTCCGCTTGACGTCGTACTCGACTCCACTCGCCTTCAGTATAATCTACTTGACTTAGAGACACAGAGTTGCCTGGAATAAAATAATTTTATTTATTATTTATCGACACATACACATTATACTCAAAAAATATTATTTTTTTAACTTAAGAATGCAATTGTATATAAACTGAGAGGTCACTGTCAATATCCCACCCTCTTTGAATTTATCTCTAAGTGATGTTCATGAACCCAAATGATAAATAGCCCTTACTGTTCTTTTTTGTAAAATAAATACAGACTCTATATCTGCAGCCATACCTCACACCAGAATGCCATATTACATAACGCTATGGAAATAACTAAAGTATACTGTCCTGGCAGTATCTACATCTGTGAGTTGCCTTATTTTTCTTATTGTATAGGCAGCTGAAATTAATTTTCCTGACTATAATGAAATGTGAGGATGCCATTGCAATTTAGAGTCTAGACACCCAAGCAGATTGTCGAATCAATACAAAACAAAAGTGATTGATTATACGTGTCTCAGATATTCTATTCCTATGTTATATCGAAACTAACTTCACTTATGCCATGAAACGTTATTACCCATTCAAGATTGAGTGGATGCCGCTTTTTTGAAGTTAATTCGGACGCCCGAGTGAAAATGCATTCGGGTTTGGATTTTTACAAAATCACATGGCAGGGTTAAACACAGAATCAAGCTTAAGTAATGTCATTTAACGTTCTCAAATAAAATATCACGTTCTTAAGTAAATGCAGCATAAAACTAAGTCTTTCCATTAACTCAGGCTGAGGAAGATAAACATTGACGATAATACGCTCTGTGATAGTGAAAAAGTAACAAGTACTTAAACTTAAAAGATTCGTCCGTTCTGTTAGGTCCTGGGCGGCTCAGCGGTTAGAGCAGTGGCCCGGATTGCGAAAGGTATATAGGTTCGAGTCCCATCTCAGGGTGCCAGGGACCAAGTGGATTTTTTTAACATTTTTCATTAAGAATATTTTTCAGTACAGCATTGTGAATGCGAAATTGATCAATAATCATTTATTTTACTTTTTTCTGTCATTTTAATTACATCCATCATAGTAAGTGCAGTTGCCCCGCCAAATACAATATTAAACAATTAGTGTTACTATCCTTTTATATCCATTCTATCCATGCTTATCATGCTAATTCAATTTACATAATTTAATTATATACCTTAATTACCACATCAACTTTTGTTTAGTAAATAAAAAATAAACATAAAATAAAAGTAAATAAAATAAACATCCAATTAACTTTTTTTTCTAATTTAGTACTTACCCAGTATCCCCAGCACTCTACCAGCTCCATATATGTCTTGGAGCCGAGCGAACGTTTCCGTCATCTGTGCGTCTCGCTCTGACCATGGACCTTGCAGCGTCAGCATCTTAAATGAGGAATTATTAAAAAAAAATCGAAAACACTAAAAAAGCACCTCCACTAGATGGCGACTCTAGCAAAAGTTAATTTTTGCAGGAAACGAATGGACCAAAGACTGTTCAGTTCCTTTTAAATAACATAATAAAAAACTGAAATTTGATTGTTCGAAACTTAGATTTTAATACAAATAAAATTGAGTTTTGAAACTTAGATATTAATACAAATAAAATTGAGTTTTGAAACTTAGATATTAATACAAATAAAATTTACTTTTAAACTTGAAAGAAAACCGGAAAGGTTGTCATGGAAAAATTGAGAACGTACTGTAGCGACATCTAGTTTGATTTCGGGAACTAATGTTTTTTTTTAAATACTTCCTATTGACATGTATAAGTATCAGAATCTAAATTTAATTTCCGTACCTAAAGAGTTAAACGGGAGCCCTATTACTAACACTTCGCTGTCTGTCTGTCTGTCACTAGACTGTATCTCATGAACCTTGAAAGTTAGATAGTTGAAAATTTCACAAATATATCTGTTACCGGTTCAACAACAAAAAGTTAGAATATTCAAAAAGTTAGTTAAAATCACCAGAACCATCATCATTTATAATCACGATCGTCATCACCTTCATCATTTTTATGACCATCACTCACCACAATCATGTAATCAAAAATATCATCATCTACCTACACCATCACTAACAAATCATAATTATCATCACCTTCATTATTGAATATAATGACCATCATTACTGTCACCATCGCCATCATCACTTTCATCACTCAACATTACTATCACTATCTAATCAAAATCAACATCATATACACTGCCACCATCTAATTATGATCATCGTCACCGTCGTCATCACCACCCTCATCACCTCCATCATTTTCATTACCATGACTCACTACGATCATCGTAATCTAATCAAAATTATTCATTACCGTCTAATCATAATCTTCATCACCTTCAACATTAGATAAAATCACCGTCATCATCACTATACCTTCAACCTTACCACTTTCGTGACTCTTCACAACCATCATAATTTAATCAACATTATCATTATCGACATCATCGCCTTCTAATAACAATCATCATCACCATGATTAGATGTTAATATGATCACCGGATGGTGATGAGGATTCATCACCTTCATTATTTTCATCACCATTATGCACTACGAGTATCGACATCCAATCAAAATTATGATCCTCGTCATCATCACTATCAGCATTATAATTTAATCAAATTCATCATCGCATCTATCACCATCACCATCTAACCAAAACATTCTTCGTTTCATCATAAATATCATCATATCCTCTGCCATTATATTTTCACTGATATTATTCGCGTTATCGTTCAATTATGATACCCTTATTTCAATTATATATTATTTAATTATTCTTAATTCAATTAAATACATAATTACTGTTTCCTTTCAATCATTTTTTTTCTTTTTGAAATAAAAAATAATTTTAAATAAGGTAAATTTCGGTTTTTCTAAATATTATCTAATTTCCTTTCTCTAAAACCGACTTCGAATCGTAATAAATATACAATATACTTATAAGTATTATTTAAGTCTTTATTGCGTCTTTGTTTCACAGCTCTCTATATTCCTACTTAGGTTATCATACGCTATAGACAGAGAGGCAAACTAAATCAAAAGCACTGGAGAGTTCCAGAGCTGAAAATCAATAACTTGTTGAATGTAGAGAGAATTACGCAGTTGAGTACAATGAGCAAAACGCCATTCGCGACAAGCTTTACGTAATGGAAATTGGAAATAGTTTCACACATAATATATTTAGAATCGAGATAATTATTAATTATGACACAAAATGATTTTGTGAATAATAATTTGTACACCTAAACATGAGCTCTTACACAACACAATCGTTGTGATAGTCTCACAATAATGGCGTTTGCATCACTCATAATATGGAAATCGCTTCAAAACGCTACCGGAAACTATTGACAATAATAATAAAATATATAATAATAAGTACTAATTAAAATGATAGTCGATACATATTTTATACACTGTGTATTTGTGACCAGTTCCTATCGATTAATTTATAGACCTCTTACGCGTAGTGATTAACACTCCGATTAAATTATCGCTATTTTCGATGTCCTGAGTCCAATTCTAATTAATGTCATTATAAAAAAATGCAAACATTCTCGGAGTCGTAACTCTTTTTTAATGATTTTCTTAACACGAATTTTTAGCTACTTAAAACCTTCGCTTTAGCATTGAATCTGTCAAATATAAGATCATCCTACGCAAATGTTAAAAGCAAAATCTCACCTGCGTCTCATTGCTAATATAATCCGGATGGACATCCAAGAAATCTTGAGGTAACACCAATGTTGTTTGTCGCTCCAACATCTTCCTCAGCCTAGGAAAGTTCCCGCTGGAGAGAGGCACCGAGTCCTGGTTGTTGAATACCACGATGGCCGCCTGCTCCCCATAAATGCGCATCAAGTCATCTTGCTCCAAATACTTAAGCGCCGGCCTTTTATATTTTTCAAGGGATTTTGGACCGAAAAATAAGAAAGGACCTTCTAGGTTTCCATTAACTATGATTATATAAGAGAGGAGAAGTAATATGTTGTAATGCATTTCGCGTGCGGCCATCGTTCCCACTAAACGGGAACTGCGAACTTTCAATTAAGAGTAGCTGTATCGATTGAGGTCCGCGCACGCGCAATCCAGGTTCCAGTACTTTCCAGGTTACAAAGGAGCTACGTAGCTTAGTATCTAAATTTAGGTTTTATATAGGCTGCTAGTCGAACCCAGCCACCCGGGTGCCCTATTAAATAGCTGCCTGCTATTTCGAGAAAACTTTAGATGAAAAATATAGGATAAGTACCTGCTATAGAATTATGTGTAAAATATTTTGAATCAAAATACGTAATGTTTTTTTTTTGTGAATTTAAATTTTTGCAGGCAGCGTGATCATCATCATCATCACCAGGCTATAGATGACCCTTTATATTTGACTCTATGGAACATACTCGCGAATCATGGAGTTTAATTACATTTTCTTTTACTTATCGTTACTGAGTTCGATTTCGCAGTAATTAGCGCATTCAGTCTACATTATTGCAGATATTACGCTACTTCATAAAGAGAATCAAATGTTTAACCAAAAAAATATTAAAAAAATATTATCTCCTTATTGTAACTATTAGTCCCGGTTGTATCTACGGTAGCTAACTCCCATAAAACCTAATGGTAACGTAGTAAATTATTACAAATTTCTCTTGTGATTAAATATCCTGTTGCCCAACATGAGATGATAATAATGAGAGTTACTGGAGAAGGATTTTAAGGAGTTTGCCATTGTATTTATATCCTCTGGCTCAGATTAGACACAAAAAATTATGTCCTATTACGCCACAATAAGGGAAAATTTTATTTTACAATTTTTGTACACATTAATAAGACTACAAGGGATGTGAAGATCGGTACACAATTTTATATATTTTCTAAGTGTAGTAATTAATACCATCATCATGTTAGCTATCGGGTTGGCACAAAAGTAATGAGACACTTGGTTTAAGTTTTTACTTTTTTATTATTATTACAATAAAAAAAGTTTAGTCAATGATGTAATTACCATTAGTATCTAAGACTTCTTGCCAACGATCCGGCAAAGTTTGGATGCCTTTTGCCCAGAACTCTGATGGCTGTACCTCAAAAAAGTTGTTCAACTCCGCCTCTACGTCAGAGAAATCATAAAATTGTTTACCCCGCAAATGCTGTTTCAGGGCTCTAAACAAATGATAGTCTGATGGGGCGAGGTCTGGGGAATAAGGTGGGTGGGGTATCGTCTCCCAGCCCAAGTTCTCCAACTGCCGGCGAACCACAGATGCGACGTGAGGTCGAGCGTTATCGTGCAGTAAAACTACATTGACTCGTCTTCGTCGTTTTTTCTTGATAGCGGCAGATAATTTGGTAAGATGGGTTGAATATTTGTCAGCGTTTATAGTTTCATTGTGTACATAAAACAGTATGCCTTGCGCATCCCAGAAACAGCAAAGCAGGATTTTTCGGCGGTTCTTTTGACTCGGCTTCGGTTGAGTTGGTGGCGTTTCTTCTCGAGGCAGCCAAAAAGCACGACGTGTATCGTTCTCGTAATAAATCCATGATTCATCTCCAGTAACCAGATCTGACAAAAACTCTTTACGTCGGGGTCGCAGCAAAAGTGATTGACAGATAGCGACACGGACTGCACGACTGGCGTCTGTAAGGATGTGCGGTACCCACCGAGCCAAAACTTTTCGATAACCAAGCTCATGCAGATGGTGTTCCACGGCGTGGTGACTGCATTTAAGTGCTTCCGCTAATTCACGAGTGGTAGCATCCGGATTCAACTGCAGTTCGCGGCGCAAATCGTCATCATTCACTGCGGGTGGTCGCCCTGAGCGTGGCTGACTTTCAGGGCTCCTGTCTCCTGATTTAAAACGGTCAAACCATCGGGACACCGTCGCATCGCTTGTACTTCCAGCGCCTAATGCATTGTTGATATTGTCAGCTGCAGCCCGCACACTGTGGCCTAACAAGTACTCGTATAAGTATATAGTGTTCGAACTTGTCACTCGTCCAGTTTTCTTCAAACTGACTAAACAAATCGCGAGCGCGGCTTTATATACCCTACACCAGAAGTACCTAGAATGTTCTACAACATTCTAGAATATTATCGAAAAAATTGATTTTAAAAAGGAAAAGTTATAGATTTTTCTAATGTGTCTCATTACTTTTGTGCCAACCCAATAAATCAAACGACTTCAGTCTGTACCGGTAATGTCGCTTTAAATATCCCATTGGTAGAAATACTAAGAGATATTTCCTATTATAGCTACCGGTAGGGATATATGGAATCTGTTACTCCACATATCTCCACCTATTTGCACTGGTTGGGATACTTGGATTATTATTTCCATTTATCGTTACCAGCAAGGATAAGTTTTCTAATATTAAGTATGACATATTTGTGCAACAAGGTTTTAGTTTAATTTCGAATCCAACAATTATGAAAACCATAAACAAAACACATTTTTTCTATAAATAATTTATTTACATTCTTATGAAATATACAAGTTGAAGTAAATTATTAAAAGTTCACATGGAATGATAAAAAATTTTGTCCCTAAATTGGTCCAGTGTTGATAACAACTAAATACAATATACAAATATCGTTAATAATACTCAGTCCAATTTCGAAAATAAAAGAAACCTAGATGTCTAGTTAAACAGAACCTTTTGTGGCTTATCTATACTTTTTGTATTAACTTTGACCTCTTTAGTAACAAAAGTATTGAGTAACCTGATTACGCTTCTTAACTATAAAATATATTTTGTCCTATCTTTCACAATAAGCGATGTGACTATTTACAGAAAAAAATGTTGTTATTATGTTTTCCCCTTTTTGAATCCAGGATACCAAAATCATTTTCCCTTAAGGTAGACAGTTTTGGTAAAACATTTTTTATAGATACAGTAGTAATACTTTTAAAAGATATGTTGCCAGAATCACATGAGTCAATGTGGACTGCAATGAGTTCGTCGATGATGGAACAGACGAGAAAAAGAATGAATTCTCTGTAAAAGAAAATAAGTAAAACATTAACAATTATTTCCGACAGTATAGGAAAAAGAAACAAAATTAAAGTAAACCTAATCCAATGTGCTGGCAAAAAACATCAAGTGCAAATCGAGATTTGTATCAGGCACAAAATTATTTCATAGAGAAACTTTGGATGCAACCATGCCAACGTTAATACGAAACTAAATGGTAAGTACAACAAAATGGTTTTTATTGACCACTCGTGAAGAGGAGGTTTATTATGTATAATGTAAATGCAGATGCAGAAAGTGAGCCAGTAAAACAAATGACATACTTTTCTTCTCATTAGGATTGGTGACACCGCACTGTCGATGTGAGATCGTCCTCTTGCGTTTGGTGTTCACGTATCCCGGAATGAAGATACTGGGCGTGTCTAGGCGACCCGATGCTAACAACCTATACACGGAAGTTATAAATAAACATCTAAAAGATCATGTAACATGATAGCTATATCCAAATAGTCCTCAGAAGTCTCCAACTTTTATTCATAAGCAAAAAGTCATATTGCTATCTTATTAAACTATATTTCGAAGAGAAACTCCAAGCCGTCACTGAAAAGTGACTATTTTTTATTTAATTCATGCCACACGGCATTTTTCATTTTCCGGCTAAATACTGCGTATTGTATATCTGATATGGAAAAGTCCAGCTGCAGCTGGTGGCCGCGTGGACCAGTTTAAGTGCAGCAGCAGTTGTATACTAATACTGAATATTTTCTATTTGACCTGGAAAAGTCAAGTTCCAGCTGGTGGGCGCGTGGACCAGTAAAGTGCAGCAGTAGCTGTATGCAGGAGCCGCCGTGTAGAGTGCGCGTGCGTCGTGAGTCCACGCCTAACATCCACTCCGGTATGCCCATCACTTTGCGCACTTCCTCCAAGAATTGACCGCTGAAAATAAATTTCTACGCATTAAGTTTTCGAAGATATTATATATGACTACATGGTTTTAAAAGTTACTATTCAACTTGATCTCTCAAACAAACGTCTATTAAAATTGTCTTTAGTTTCAAGCGACATTATCAATACAAATTTTCAGATTAGAATATTCATTGTAAGGTACAATAATGTTATTAGACGTTTCTACAACCGACCGTAATTCATATTTTAAAAACCGACCAAGAGGGACTCATTCAAGCGCGCAGTAGTTTATGCTCAAATATAAAATTTTAATAATTATAGAGTTCTAATAGGTTTATTCTATTGTATTCTGACAGTAAGCATTTTCATTTGATATGTCACACAGAATATTTGACAAAAGTTTTTACTGTAAATTTTCTATTTACCCCAAAATAGGTTGTCTTGTTTAAAATTTGTATTTATATACGTTTGGTTCTGTACCAAATTTTAAAACTTTTCTTTAAATTTTAAATTTTACTCACAGTACGAATCTAGGAGGTTTCATAATGTTAACAGCCTTAATGATGTCGTTGTCGGGTTCGATGTTAGCACAGGCAAATCTCTCGCCACTTCTCTCCGGTCCAAATATCACTATAGATCGACCCATGGCGGACACCGTACCTTCGAGAGGGAAGTTCGAGTCCATAAACATTTGTCGATCTCCACCTACACCTGAAAACACGATCAAATACTGTTATGAACTACTCTACTTTCAAATAAATTATACAAATAATATTAGCTCAGTTCTTACTAATAGTTCCAAGTCTAGCTGTTATATCTCCAACATCACAACGCAATGGATTGTCTGCGCCGCATTCTTGGTTGTATAAGTCGTGCTGGAAAATTAATACAAGTCAAGCTAATGAAATTAAAAGATTAATTAATGCTCAACAAAAACTCAAAACATATTTTTAACCGACTTCTAAATCCAAAAGGAGGAGGTTATATGTGTATGGAGGTGGAGGTATGGACACCCATATTATACGTTGACAGTATGAAATAACTGATTATTTTTTCGTGAATTCAGTGTTGCTGCTCATAGTAAAAATTGTTCAGTATACCCCCACGAAGTCCTGACATATAATAATATTACACCTTATATATGGAATGAAAAAGTTTTCATTAAAACGATTGCTTACTATTCAATTCGTCATTATAATTATATTATAATTACCTGAAAACATGTCATAATATGAATCGATATCCAAATAAACCAAAAGTTCCCAAAGAACCACTCGGGCGAAGCCGCTGGCGGAAAGTTAATATATTTAATATTTTAAGTGTTACCTATTATATAAAAATATCACTAAAAAGCATGATATAAAACCTTTTTCAAAAAAATTTACTCGAATAAAACTTAAAAAAAGACAAATAATACTTATCTCAAAAGCGACTTATTCAAAGAAAATGCTATTGAAGTTCAACTTATTCCAACCTTCCAACCTATTGTCATTTGTATTTATAACGAGTAATAAAATAATTTTGAAACGGTCTTACGTTTAGTGGATCAGCCAGCTGAGTAAAGTATGGGTTCCAGCGGTAACCGCCAGCCACGCAGCGAGTGTTGGTGACCTGAACCGCAGCATCGACGCCCACCGGGTTGACGAAGATGTTCCAATTATGATTATGAGTCTGAAACATGCCGATATTTCAGTAAAATCTTTGTCTCATAAACGAATAATACCCCTCTGTGTCCAGAACTATTTTGACTCCGGACAATTATGAATTTTAAAGTGTCTGCTCTTGTTGACTACCTCACTTAAAGTTTAATCTTATGATACATCGGGGTAGGATGCATTTCCGGTGAAATGTATAAGATGACATTTTGTGTTTCGTTTTCGAATCAAAGGGCGTACAAGGAACCAAATAATTAAGTAGTTGTACATGGGTTAATGTCCACACTCCTGGAGCAAATACGAAACGAAAAGAGAAATTCGAATTTCAACAAAAACATATAAAAAAAGACACAGCAACAGTAAACCTGATTCGTCACACATTTTAGAGGAAAAGAAAAAAACATAATTATATTCAGCACGGAATACCAAAAACAAACCTGAAATAGTGTACTCACCAGATTCCTATCCCTCTCGCCAGGATGGCGCAGTTTCACTTCAATAATGGTGTCACTGGCACTTCCGTCGTTGTGTATCAGCTGAGTCATCCGAATATAGCCCCAAGCAAAACCGCCAGGATGATGGAATGACGCAATACCTCGAATCTCTCGTGCTTCTGACGGACTGTACCCACGCTCTATAGTAGAGCACGCCCAATGGCGGTCCCTAGTCTAGATACAATTACCCACAAGAATAAGTTACTACTAATTATCAATTAATAATGCTTATCATGATTTCGGCAAAATGAGTTTAACATTTAATGAATTTTAAACATTAATATTAATAAAATATTGGCTTTATTTACTTTTTCTCCAATTGAGAAACTTTAAATGTGTCAACTTTCATACGCCTTCAATTCGCAGAATTTTCGTGAAAATTCAGGGCCCCAAAGTTTTTGGTATTGATTGATATTTTTAAAATAAAGAATTGATATAGTGTTTTAAAACTCACCCTCTTATGCAATACAACGGATCGGCCCAGAATGCTATATGGCCCATAAAGAGATACCTGAGTCTCATTGTAGTCCGCATGGATGGATCGTAAGTCATCCAGCAAACCATACTTATTGCCTAAGTCACCCAATTCATATTGATCTGCTGTACCTGTAATAATAGGTATTAATTCATAATTCAAATGAATAGATTATTGCTTCATATAACACTATCAGTCCTTCACCAATACTTGAAGTTTTTTTTTTTAAATTGGTCGTACCACGTAACTAACCGGAATCCATAAGTCGTACCAAATCAATTCATAGCTTTAAAATAAACAAATATTTGACAACATAACATGTATTTCCCGAATATCAACTAAAGTACATTCTAGCACTTATATTATGGAAATCTGAAATAATACAGGACGACACCCAGACCCGAGACAATATTGAGAAATATAGAGAAACTGGGACCTTAGACATCAGATCAGAGAAACTGGAAACAGAAAAAGAAAATTATTGGCTTTTAGTCTTACCTGTAGTTGGAGGTGGACTAGTGGCTTTATCTACTCCGAAAGGGTTATATGTATCGTATAGCGTCGTCTTCTCACAGGGAAACTCGAGCTCTTTCTCAACTGGTGCCTGAAATATTAATAATATTAACCCATCTGCAATAATTTTTTCCAAACTTACTTAAATGTAACAACTACTTGATACGAGTACTCAACGACTGATCATGTTTTTTAGATTACATGATTTCAGAGTAAAATGCCAAAGGCACTACTTTATTATAAATACTACTTTGATTTTTTTTTCTGGCATCTATCTGACTACTGTTCTTACTCACAACATGTATTTTATAGTTGGTGATGCCCTCAAAGCCTTCCAGTGTAACTTGAACGTTAGTAACATCATACTCCGACTGTTGCGTTAGTTCTAATTTACCCTTCAAAGGCACAGGTTCTCCATTGCCGAACCAATCGCGAACCACCGCTTTGCGTCGATGAAGACCATTCACTCTTTAAGAATAAAGTAATAAGTGTCAATACTAAAATATATATATGTATATATATTTCATCAGAAACCTCCACTCACATGGAACACGCCATCCTTTCTCCTCTTGCGACTGGTCCGTGGTCATCGTATATGACAAGTGATTTCCTCATGATGGAGTACTTCCCTGCGAGCGCTATAACTGAGTCGGTGAACAGACGACGTGTGAGACGTGCGCTATCACGCTTCTTGCCTGCTATAGCTAAGTTACCATGTCTAAAGGAATCAGAAATTTTAAGTTGGGCAGACGTAATAAGCATATTAACCAACATTAATTTTTCGTATGATGCAGCATTACAAAATAATTAAACCAAAACTTATACATTAATAAATTATTTAATAGATTTCTACCATCGATCAAATATACCTTGTAGTGAAATCCCCAATTCTACATAACCCCTCCAATCCTGATCTGCAATATTGCTCCGGGTGCCTGTTGTCTATATCAATCCCGTAGGGTTCATAAACAACTCCTGCACTCAAACATCGTCCAGTCCAATTATAATAGTCAGCTCCTGGTGGTCGCTCGTGGATTGCCCAACGATGTTCGAATGTGTTGTTTACATTTGCACCATCTGCATGAACCTGACAAAGTAGTAGGTTTGAACTTCAATATTCTTAACCTTTGGGTATGGAACTATAAAACGAATCTCATTGTAAAAAATACATAATAAACTGTTGAATATTCTATTTTACTATAAGATAAATATTTTAATACACAATGCACCCGGTCAAGATGAAGAAATCAATTAAACGATATAGTTAGCTCATAAATCAATGTAAAATTATACTCGTAATCGTAAAATTCGGTTGCATCCATTCTCGAAGATTATAAATTATGTTAAAACAAGTGCAAGGACTGATAATTAAATTATTATAAGTTCTTGGCAAACTTTCAAATGTTGATAAACGAATATAATTAGGTTAGGTTTTATTCCTTTTGATCAGCTGTAAAACTCACCATACTTTCAATTATGATAGTAGTATCTTCCCAAGGTCTGCCAAGCGGCTGCCTGAAGATTACTCTTCCCACAATCGGATATCTGAACACGACTTGGACGGAGCTCATTTGCGTCTGGAACTCGGTACCGTATTCATATGGTAAGATGGTGCCGCAGATCTCACGCTTTGGTGCTCTTCTGCAGGACAGTAAAACATGAGTAGCAATTGTTTTTACCTTATATCTCTACATAATATATATAAAAACACGAAAAAAATAAACAATGTACCTATATTATGTTCTTTTTACATTGTATTGACGAACAACATTGTAACTCTAATCTATCTACAGTTTCAACCTATTAGCTGTAAATATATTTTGGAACTTGTCCAGATGATAAATGCCGTAAGCGTACTCGTTCCATTGAAAATATAGTAATCAGACATCGTTGTATGCTCAGCTTACCTAACAACTACCAATGACCTGTGTACGACACTGTTAACTCCGTATAGAGGTAGAAACACATCCCAATAAGCACCGCTTAGCTCGTTAGCCAGTCCTGGCAACAGATACTTGTGATTCAAGTACTCAGTACGGTCCTTGTATTTGCCCAACAAATCTCCAACGGGATATTGATCTTGGGTGCCCATACCTTGAAGTAGAAATAAATACAGATGATTACTTATTAAAAGACAAAGACTACACAAACTAGAAGATAAAGAATAAAGAAAATTAAGCTTAAAAGAAACCCGAAACTCCACCGATCATCTGAATCCATCAGTGTTAACGAATCAAAAGTGTGATAAGGTTTATTTACTCGTGACTTCACGCGGTTTATGAATTGAGAATTTAAAGTTAACCATGTCTCAAACAGTACTTAAACCATCTTAAACATCATTTAAACTGATTTTCGTTTCTAATTTTAATTCTTTTAATGACCAGCTGATAAAACTAGGACTTTTTGCCATTTGAAATGTAAATAACTTAAGTTATAGAGAATAATCCGTCGAGATTTTGTACTTTTCTCAATTCAGAAACTGGCCGTATGTCGCCCGCGTACGATTTTCCCCCCCGTAAGTGAAATTGGTCCAGTAATTTCAACGCCTGTTCAATTCAAACAAATAAAAAATCAAATCTTTCCTCTGTATAACATTAGTAATAAGATAAATATACTATATGACTAATGGGCATATAATTGATTGGACATTTGCCAGTGATGAGTGAAAATGTACACAGGTAGTTTGTTTTCGTCTAGTTTCATAATCCGTCATTACAATTTACAGGTAATCGTTAAAAATTCACATTATTAGAATCACTATATGAATAAAGTAACTCAAATAACACACATATTAAATGTGTAATTTAGAATTACTGATTCATTTGATCAATAATTCTTGGAAAATATCCAAAAAAATCCCTTTGTTTTTAAATATAAATAAATTATCGCTGCCATGATCTAAAAAGCTTAAGAAATTTAGTCTTGACTGTGAAAATTCCACTTATAAATGTATGTACAAATGTTATCGTACAATAGTCTTATGATTCTCTTGCTTACTTTAGCCGTGCTTTAGGCATCTTAAACCAAACACTCAACAATAGCTATCAGCATACCATCAATTCCATTAGGAAAATAAACAGAACATTTGTGTACCGAAACGATTAAGATTCGCTGCAATCGCAAACATTATCGTTGACACTTAAGACTTTATAGAAACAGAACTATTTTAACTTTTTTCGCACGTATCGTGTATTGTTTGGCAGTGCACCAAAAACCCCGCCTGACCGACTTAAGTCTGTTTTAGACTGTAAACTGCCAGCGATTGAAATTTGATAACACTAAATCTTTCCATCTTTCAAATTTACGTGTTTTAACCCACGGTCGATCAAAGCTGTGTTACTGATTCTTTATTTTATAAATGGAAATCCCAACTTTTTTTGCAGTCAGAAGGAGATGAAATGATTACAATTTTTCATGATGTTTGATTCCAAAAAGTTTTACTAAATATAAAAACTGAAAGTATAATATAAGTAAGAGTGGTATTGTATTGTAGTGGGTTCCCTAAGTTATAATTATAGGTATATTGATTTCTTATATTTTCACGTCCACTATCCATAAATGAAACAACTTCACGAAACCAACATTCAATTATTAATGTGTCCAATAGTATTGTTTTGAATGTAGCTTTACTCTTAATTAAAAAGACAATCGAAACCTAGATCTTATGTGAACACGGAACCTTTAAAGGGTCCGAAACGTCAATAAAACAATCAAACGTATTGAAACCGTTTAAAAGTTATTCATTTATTTATAATGATATATTGGAAAGTTTTATGCAAGTGTACGGATACAATAGATGATCCTAATTGACTTAATTAAAAACCAGGATGGGCTCTAGATAATTATTTTACGAGAACATTGTCTATGGATAATGCAATTAGTTAATTAATTATAAAATTAATATCTATAGACAATACAGGTATATTGTTATTCAACTTTGAATTTTTTAATCTCCGACGCAAAAAGAAGGGTGTTATAAGTTTGATATATACGTGTGTGTGTGTGTCTGTCTGTATGATAGTGGCATCATACTTCCCGAAAGGATGACGCGGTTTCAATTTAGTTTTGTTTTTTATATTAAAGGTGACTTATGTGCGAGTGTTCTTAGACGTGTTTGATGAAAATCTGTTGAGACGTTTAAGACATAGACGTAAGACTTGGGGCTGAAAGTGGGGAAGAATAACCGAATCTCTGCAAATATATTCAAATGGGGCCTTGAATGCGCATTGAAAGAGAACATTGATGACTCATTAATCGAGTGTTCTTAGCTTCGGTTGATGAAAAAAATATTATATTAAAGACCCGGATTGCGAAAGGCCATGAGTTCGAATCCCATCTCGGGTGCCTGGGACAAGGTGGATTTTTAAATATTTTTCAGTATATTTTTTATTTCGTTTTTTTACGTATATGAGAGACTGGAGCCTGTAAAAGATACCAACAGGTCACCGGGCCTATATTAAGTAAGGTTGATAACAAGAATTATGTTATATAAAGGTACTCCGTTATTTATAGACATTTTACAGATTATTTCTGTATCTTAATTATAATTAAAATCTCAAATCTGCAGACTTTTGAATTTAATGAATGTGAGAAACGTGTAAGATGAACATGAACAAGTTGCTAATATATAATAATAACTACTCGTATTTTCTACGTACATATATTGAGCATAAAAAATAACACAAACAGATCACTTATAAATGATATAAAAAGATAATAAAATAACTTACAACTAGGACCCAGCCCTGTGCGATTTCTACGCTTACCTACGCTACGGATCCGTTGTTCAGGCAATATCTGAAGACCACTAGGTGATAGTATCTTACCAATATTATAAACGCGAAAGTTTAAGTTGTATGTATGCTTATTAGTATTTCACCCAAAAACTACTAATCGACTTTCGACGAAATTCGGTGAACGGACAGTTCCAAGTCCAAACCAATCTATACGTCACACTTTATTCCAATATACATACAGTTCGCTAGGCATCTCATATGTTAGATATACTATTTAATCTTATATGACAAATTACCTTAATCATGCCAAAGTGGTATTGAGCTTTACTTTTTTCAAGCAATAAAATATATCTTTATCTTTACGATCAGCTAGTTAACTACAAAACTGAGGTTAGAAGGTTTTCAGTATCCTGATAAACTAATGTTTTTAACCAATTAGATAAAATTATCTTATAAGTCATCTTATGTAGAGGGTAAATTGTGAGAATTTCGTTTATTTTATTGTATAAAATAGTCCAAGGAAACAATGAAATTTATATGATAAATTAGTGTGAAATTTTTGATTTAAACATACTTTATAGGTACGGCGTCTATTTTTAACTAGCTCTAGGTTGAATTCAATCTCCCTATGTTTTTTAAGAACTGTATGAAGAACGAACATTAACCATAAGTCACAGAGTCACAACACAGACCGTGTTATGGTTAATAGATAATTTTTAGAGCATTGTGATAGTGTGAATGCAAAGTTAATAAAATATAATAACAATTATTATGTGTGTGTTATAGATACAAAAACTAGTAATTAATAAGTAAAATGAAACGGAACAAGTTTGACTTTAAATGTAATATTTACCTTAAATATAAATTTGAATTTTCGTCAAGAATCTACATTATAATAAGTAGGTTCCTATAAAAATATTAATAATAAAAAAAAACAATAAATAGAACTGAAGTTTTTGTGTCGGGAGTTTTTTAATTTTTAGTTACGATAAAATATGAACGTAAGGTACAAAACCCACGCAAGTTTAAATTATAAAATATACACTACCTCTACAACATATGAAGCCGTATTCTACTTTTAATTATCAATAGATTTATTTTAGTTGCCTCTTACAAACTTCTTGAAAGATTTGGGAGGCATAGTTTAAATTAACATATAGGATATTTTCTATACCACGAAAATTCTTACGAACTAAATAGCAAGTAGCGAGTAGTAAGCGAGTAGCTCGGTGGCGTAGAGGTTAAGCGCCGCGGCCCTCGGTCGTTGTTGTTAAGCAACTTTCGCAAGGGTCGGTCATGGGATGGGTGACCAAAAAAATATTACTTCGTGTTTCGGAAGGCACGTTAAACCGTTGGTCCCGGCTGCATTTGCAGTCATTAATACCCTCCAATCCGCATTGGGCTAGTGACCCTCCAATCCGCATTGAGAGTCATGGCCCATTCTCCTTAACCATCCATAAGGAAGGCCTGAGCCCCTACATTGGGGACGTAAAAGGGCTGATGATGATGAAATACTAAGTTATGAGTCAAAACAATATAAAACAAACACAACAAACCTGGGGGTGGCAAATTATTGAGATCCAATCCAGTTGGGTTGTACATTTCTCCGGTTGTATTACAGATATCATGGACATTACTGGCGTCCATCAACGTTGGTGGCAGCTGCCTAATGGAATACTGCAGTGTCGAGCTCGCGAAACGGAGATTGGCCTCGTAATCCTGATCGGAGGACCCAAGGCCAAAGTTGGCCCACGTGGGGTCGTATGGCGATCGCTGAGTAAAATCTACCGAACCTCGGATGCCGTCCATATTTAACAGGACCCTGTAAACGACACCAAAAATTGTAATTAATTATATAATACCCAATTATTTGTATTTATGGCTGTCAAATATACTTTAAGTGTATCTTGCACTAATCTGCCTGAGCTGAGGTTAACAATTTTCGTCATCTTTTTATAAAGTTACAATTGGCAAGTTACCTTAGCCTCCAGACTACATCCGATACGGAACCTTTCGTGTGAGAGTCCGAATCGCACTGGGGCGGTTTTTTTAAAACACATAACTAGAGTAGCTCGGTGGCATAGTGGATAAGCGTCGCAGCCTGCGATCGTAGTCGTTAAGCAACTTTCGCAAGGGTCAGTCATGGGATGGGTGACCAAAAAAAATATTATCTCACGCTACTCCGTGCTTCGGAAGGCACGTTAAACCATTGGTCTCGGCTGCATTTGCAGTCGTTAATACCCTCCAATCCGCATTGGGCCAGCATGGAGGGTCATGGCCCATTCTCCTTAACCATCCATAAGAAAGGCCTCAGCCCCTGCAGTGGGGACGTAAAAGGGCTTGAGATGATGATGATGATGATACATATAACACGCCTATATTAATTTGTAAAAAAAATGATTATAGGTTGTTTTCTGTTGCCAATTAAGGTAATAACCTTAATAAGCAACACAAGCATCCTAACAAATTAGTATTTATCTGTTAACTCAATTCAAGACATGTCACAGGGGAACTTTCATCACGACTTAATATAAATGTTGCATAATAAAAATAAAACGTACTTGGTACTCTTCGGTTCCATTGTCCTCAGTTTGGCACAGGCCAGGAAACTATCCACATGCCTATTATCAAATATAACAACATAGAGACTCCTCTTCGTTACCTCCATGTCGCTTCTCAAAATATTCAGGACTTCATCCTTGTACAGGGTCCTCATCTTCTTGACGTTAGCATCTGTTGCCACTTTTACCAAACCCAAGCGACTGTCTAAATCGCCTACACTCATTCCATCACCACTGTTCTCTGGGTCGAAAACTAACTGAAGAACATTGCAATTATCTTCATAATTTCCTTTGTCTGCATCAAAAATATCGGTCACAAACAGTTTCCACTTATGTTCTGTGTATTCAACTTTATCTGTAACAGCTTTGGTATGATACAAATCCGCTTGGATATAAGAATCAGACTCATCGAATTCTCTCGCCGAAAGCCACCTAAAATGTAATGAGCCAGCTACTGGTGAATTGAACCTTGCTACAGCATGTTTCTCATACAACTTATCAGTAGAAAGAATGGAGGCACATATAGTTCTATCTCTTTCGGCAGTTTCTAGAACAATACTTTTTCCCCATAGACCATTGAGGCCAGTCAAAGAGTTTTTACTTTCGAATTCCGCGTGGTCTTTACCAGGGATAATAAGATAACCCAGTTCTTCAGTTAAATCTATTATTTCTCTGCCGATATTCGAATCTGAGCATCTGGAGTCTGTTAATTCTCGATAATCGACAGGAAACTCGTGTATAGTCCATCTCCATACTCCGTCAGGGTACTGTAGTGTTGGTTTAAGATTGGTTCTGATGCTGATTAGTGATTCGTTCTTATACGAAAATTCGATTTCTCCGTGGAGGCCATGTTGCGATATGTAAGCTCGGAGAACTAGGGCGGTTGATAATTCTGTTAAAAAAACAATATCCAGATTTGTATTTTTACTACACCTAATGAAACAGCTTTTGCAGAATTTATTAACAAATAACATTTTATGCAGAAATTTTGAACATGACCAACAAAGCAATAGCTTATCCGAAGATCAATAATATACTATATTGTTGAAATAAACAAACGAATTGTCTTTAATTTTCGAATTTTGCATTCACAAAGCTAGTCTTTATCAGCATCTTCTGCATCTGCATATTCTTAATTACACAGAAGATGCTTTTTAAGTTTTATTTGTATTTAAGTGTATACTTAATCTCAGTTCACTCATTAGTTTACTTATATTCATATAACATAAAAATATGTTCTCTCTATAATTTAATACTTCATGATGTTATTTTATCTTGAGATTCTACATTATAAATTTAAAACAATAATTTTAATCATTGCATTTCGTGATATCATTCATTACCAAGGAAATAGTTTGAAGGTAATTATTTCCGGGATATAGTTATTTTTCTAGAGTCCGTTCCTATAACAAAAACTGCTAACTTAAATTGAATCCCAAACTCTATTGTACACCTATAAATTATATACACTATAGGAAAGTGTGTTCTTGTTTATTTATCATCATTATTGATCATTATTATGCTCAAATTTGCTTTAATTCACAACTGTTATTTCCAACTTTGTACTTACCACTAAGTAACAACAATAGGTAACTTAAATATAACAGCTTTGGCATCATATGACTAACACTGTTCACCATTTTCCACAATCACAACACTACTTTTATTTACTTAAATTATTTTATGTCCATTGTAAGTAATGGTAGTATGCCATATCATATTGTGAGTTTCACTGCAGTTCACGGTTAAGTGAAAGGCAGTAAACTTGAAGAGAGGGACCACTATGTGTGATAGAGACAAAGCTACGTGACGTAACGAGGTTGTAACCGGTTGTATTATAGTAGAGTAGTTTTGAATCATTAATACTCGTTTGTACTAATATTGCTCATTCATAATGTTTTATAATATTAAACATAGCATTAGTGGAAACAGAAAATCAATTAATTATTTTTCTTAAGAAATATGTAATTCAAAATTTTCTTTTTATGATAATGGTGATCTCTGGATAAAAGCAATCGTTCAATATTTATTTAAGTTATAGCAAAACCCAAACCCAATCTTGATTCGTTATGGCTATTTCTGCAGATACGTACACACATAAATAACATAAATATAAATATTATAGAATTTAATAAATTATTTTATTCACTCTTGCTTATAAAACCAAAAATTGTCAAGTATCAAAAAATAATTTTAAGATAATTAGGTATTTCTGGGGAATATTTTTTATAATTATGAGCTAACACAGAATGTACCCTAACAAGATTATTTTACTTAATAACAACATTTCCTACAATTTTCCTATAATATTAGACTATAACACTAGATTCCTATTTGTTTAATAAAAATGTTAATTTGACTTCTCAAAAAATATATATATGTGCAATATAAGTGATAGGATTCTAGGTATAAAGTATCAAATTGCCTCATATACCAATGTAAGTAAGGAATAGAAATGCCCACACGCAGTACTGGGATCTCATCGACCAGTGTAAATACGCCATAGTACTTAGCTGCTGCATTGAGAGCCCCAAACAACAGACCCAAAAGTACTCAACGTGCAATCTATAATAAAAATAGAGAAACACTCTCTATATATTATACTAGTGGCCGCCTGCGACTTCGTCCGCATTTTCCATTATTTTTTCGCTCCTAATAGTTACAGCGTGATGTTATATAGCCTAAAGCCTTCGTCGATAAATGGCCTATTCAACACAAAAAGAATTTTTCAATTCGAACCAGTAGTTCCTGAGATTAGCGCGTTCAAACAAACAAACAAACTCTTCAGCTTTATGATATTAGTATAGATTTAATCAATTTTACGTTCACTATCAATTAACTCTGTCCAGTCCCCTGGGAGAAAAGACTGATTTTATACATGAGTCGGCAACGCCAATTATCAATTTTTAAAACAAATCAGCAAGAATCTAATCTAATTAAATGATTCCGCATTTCTTACATAATATTCAGACACCAAGTGCACCAACTATACAATAGAAATTCCTCTACAAAATAATTGGCAAATGCTTAAAAAATCAAAACGAACTCCACAAAATAACCTAACGCTAAGTCATCGCAATTTTGAAATAAACCCTGAGGCCGAGAATCCATCTAACAATCCCAAACTGTCAATGCCGACGGTGCTGAGTGACGTCACCGCCCCCGCGGTTAATACTTGCGCGTGCGCCGCTATTCCCGACACGTTGACTCACGCTGGCCTAAATAATATTATTGTAATCCACACCTTTGCCGTGTGTTCTGTATTTTTATTTACGAAAATATGAATAGCTAATAATATCAGAAGTTTTTTATTCGGACCCACTAACTAGGGTACTTTAGCAGATGTACGTTCACTTCATCAAGAACGGGTTAATATTAAGTCATATTATTATAAACGGGACCAAGAAAAGATAAAATCTACATTCATTTAATGAAAAAAGTAACGATCTTTTCTATTGAAGCAATTAGAAATAAAAATAACTAGGTTACCGTGTATCTCGTAAACAAGTTTGCCACATGAAATATGAATGTGGAAAATAGATTATATCCTATCGTATCCTAGATTTGCTATGAGACAGATAGATACAAACTAATATATATTTGTTTGTGCAAACAATAACGAAGTACAAACGATAGAATGAGAAGCGCAGGAATAATTTTGGTTAAGTCGAATCTTAACTTAAGGGTTATATATATATATATATAGGTAAATATTGTAGTGCCGCTCGAGTTAGCTTTTTAATATAAAGTGAATTTGAGAAGTGAGTTTATATTTTAGATCGAAAACCAACATATACTCGGGTTTTAGTTCGAAGTGATCACTTTGAAGTGTTTCTTAATGTCTAATTTTTTTTTATATCACCATTAATTTAATATGGATGAAATATATTGCCACTTCAAACCACATACCAATATCTCTTTTTATAATATGTTACTTTATATGTTTTCACGAAATAACGCAATAATGACAAGATGTCGCAAAGACAAGTATTTATTTTTAGCTATATAGTATACTACTAACATCTGTGCATTGATTGCCTTCCTTTATAGTGGGGCCCTATTTTCGTTTATGAGTTTTCGCGTTACTTACACCTATATTAGATTAGATTAATGTTCAATAACAAACCTACTTAATATACAATGTTTAAAAAACTTATACTAATACGATGAATTCTCAACCAATGCTTAGTATGCAAGAGACATAATTGTATTAAAACTTATATAAGAGAAATAATTAAATAGATTAACTGTAGCCTCCACACAAACCAAGTTAACCCCGGCAACGATCAGATCCCAAAAATACTTATTTTAAATACAATCGTCTATCGATAGCTCCGGCTAAAACAAAAACGATCCAGGAGGGATTATTTTCGTAAATATCGACCGGCGCTTGCGACTGAGCCAACGAGCGAAACCATTCTGATGTCCAACACCAAATTCCCAGATCTCATTCGACGAACTAAATATGGAATCGTGCGCAACGTACAAGAGGAGGAAGGGTGGGGACACTCCTGGATCTCAGGGAACCGCTGATACCTCGGAGTCAGGGTGGGACTGCCGAGTAGCACGGTCTCTCCTTCGTCGATCGTCCAGAACATAACACAATGGTAAGTAAAGTGAAGTGATGTGACGTGAACAGTGACGACGGAGATAGTATTGATAATGAAATGGACAGTTCGATGATAAGTGATAGAATTGTGGAAACACTAGTAGACTTGAAACTTCATACGTAACTACTTCAAAAAGGAAACCGAAACGTAATTTAATGTACAATTAAAGTATTCAAGAAGTAAATATTTAAATAAATAATGTTTAATAAATCTCCGCTTGAAACGGAAAATGTGATAAGCGTTATTTCGGCAATAACTTTAATTTTATCGATTTCAAATAAAAAAATAATAAAAGTTTAAATTATACTACACCTCAAAAATCTTTTAACCGAACCGTTATATAATTTCTTTAGAAAAAAGTACAATCACGGTTGTTCAAGTTTCAATTTTTTCTACTCAAAATTCATTATATATTTCACCATGGACACAAAATATCAAACAACTAAACCTTGAAGAAGATACGTAGCACCGATTTCAAGAAAATGATAATAGTAATAGGGACTTAACCAATCAAACCTAGATTTCAAAATTAAAGTGATTTTGGTTTTTAAACTCAAACTGACTCTAAAATAATAAAGGAATAATATAGTTTCACCGCGAAATTTCAATGACAAATATATGAATAACATTAATAATGCTCAATCTAAAACTTTCAATGCTCATATTGCATCGGAAATAAGAGCAGACGGTAGTAATTATTTATAACATTTTGACGTAACGTTTGAAACGATTGAAAACGGATGCCAGTATGTGAGCTAAATATAGACGCGCCAGCGCACCACCTTAACTGGACTGCATACTACTACTGATATTTTAAAAATAGAAAATAACATATCTGTAGAAAATTATTTATTCCATAACTCGGTTAAATAATAATATTTGTAACAGTTTCCGAAAGCAAAAATATTTTTAATTTGTTGAAATAAAAACGTTCATCTTATAATTGGTTAATTTAAATAGACTTTAAATATCAATAAACAACATATAAATGCGTGTTGTTACACGCACAGATTATATTGGTATTTTTTATGGCAAAAATGAATAAGAATCAGTACATACTTCAACTATTTTTAACAATTAACAAAATAACATCAAAAACTCTCCTTCGTCACTGAAATAAAATAGCTAAAGAATTACAAAGAACAAATCTATGATATATTTTTACCAACTACCCTATTTCTTTCAGGCGGATAAGGACAAGAAAGTAAAGAAGAAGAAGGCGAAAGAAGATGCGCCTGCCGAAGAGGCCCCAGCGCCAGCGGCACCCGCCTCCACCGGTGGCAGCGAGCGCCAGAGCTCGCGTGGAAGCCGCAAGGCTAAGCGCACCGGCTCTAACGTCTTCTCTATGTTCTCACAGAAGCAGGTCGCTGAATTCAAAGAGGTGTGTTAGAAATTCATAACTGAACGGTTCATCTACTCGGCTCATTCATGCCTAAAAAGTTTGTTTACTAGGAAATCTACGAAATATGGTACTGTAAAAAAGTTAAAACGTTAAGACGATTATTAAAACTTACATATATAAGGTGTAATATTATTCTGTGGCAGGACTTCGTGGGATGGATGAGTTATAAATATTGAGTAATTTTTCTATGGGAGCAACACTGAATTCATGAAAATATTATCAGCTGTTTCATACTGTTGGGGATTTTAGGTTTTACAATTTTGTATAAAACAGCTGATTTTTTTTTGTGAATTCAATGTAAAAGTTGGTCAGTATATTTAATTCATCCAGCCCACGAAGTCCTGGCACATGATAATATTACACCTTGTATAGAAATCTACACTATTCATTATAAAGTTTATAATCATGATAACGCTAAAAAATGAGTTTCTTTTTGAATTTTTGTGGAAAAAGAAAGGCGTTTCTATGACGAATGATGCGTCATTACTCTCTCAAACTCTATTAAAATCTCTCAAACAACGAAAGGTTACCATTTTTAGTTCACCAGACATTATCATAATTATGTATTCAGTCTAATAAAATAATCATTGCCATCTGTTGACCTGTAAATGTAAGATGCGCATCATAAATACAATACCGTATTGGTTTCGGTGAAACAGTATCTATGCTTAGCTCGTGCACAATATTTGTAAACAGTGCACTGCTTGTAGTAACGATCTCGGATGTCTGCATTTTCTCGATCTTGTGTGATTATGACATCATTACATTCCCAGGAATTTTCGAATAAGCCGGAATCATAACATAGGATTGATAAGTTAAAATATCAAGGCCAGAGAAATATTTTAACTTTTAGTAATATTCTTTTTTTGGGTTAACACTTTAATAATACAGTTAGCTGTGATCTCTGACATTAAAACATTTTTCTTTCCCCCAGGCGTTCCAGCTAATGGACCACGACAAGGATGGCATCATCGGCAAGAACGACCTCCGTGCCACCTTCGACTCCCTCGGCAGGCTCGCCTCCGAGAAGGAGCTCGACGAAATGGTGTCCGAAGCCCCCGGCCCCATCAACTTCACACAGCTCCTGACCCTCTTCGCCAACCGTATGTCCGGCGGATCCGACGAAGATGATGTCGTTATTAATGCCTTTAAGACCTTTGACGAGGAAGGCAAAATCGACTCTGAAAGGCTTAGGCACGCCCTCATGACCTGGGGTGACAAATTCTCCGCCGATGAAGTAGATGAGGCATACGACCAAATGGACATCGACGATAAAGGCTTCATTGACACCACCAAGCTGATCACCATGCTCACCGCCAGCGCAGAGGAGGAAGAGGGTGGAGAAGCAGCGTAATCCACCTGTAATCTTCACTGAGAGACAAGCAGTCACGCCCGGCCCGACGGTTTCGCATTCAAACATCAACTGTGAACCGAACAACTTTTTATTTTTAATCTATTTATGTAATTCATTGTTTCCATTTTTTTATTTATATATAATGAAAATATAGTTCTACTATTTAATAACGAGTGTAGTACTATCCCACGCGATGAACCGTTCGTGCAAGCCGAGGATTATATTCTGTAAGGAATACTATGTATTCTGTTATAATTTTCAAATACATTTTTATTAAAAAGTCTGAATATAGTTAATGACGTGCCATTATGGGCGTTTTTGAATACATCAATTCTATCATTACACACGTACACATAAATGCCCGTCCTTAATCCAACTTCCTTCTAACCTACACAAAGAAAATATAGGTAAAATCATATATTTAGATCCCAATCCAAAATGACGATGATGCCACAACCACCTAGAGGGATTAACATAAAAATTCAATATTCAAAATACCTACACACAGAAGCACGTCAGGTTACCAGAATATGTCAAATTTCCGGAATTGATTTTAATCTCTACTTTCAATGTGATAAAGTTTAAAATCAAGTGGATTTTTTCCAGTTTTGTATAACCCTACGTGCTATTGACTGTACATCGAGTAGCCGGATATACACACTATGAAGTATGTGGGTAACCACAAATATATAGTCGATAGCTGTAAGTCCCATCTGCAAGTGCTTATAGTAACATAATAGGTAATCATTATTATGCATCGCCTTACGCTAGGCATTTCCGTAATATGACAGGTCACAAATGTGTCAATGGATAAAAGAAAAAATATTTATTTAGAATTAAACTAATCCGCTAAGGCGAATACGAAGAAAAGCGAAAAGACTTTCATGGAGAAAGTTTTGCGAGGAAATCACTAAGATCCCTCAAGGAGCAATAATTCATAAAGTCTTAGCTAAATCTCCAACTGGAACTTCTTAAGAAAACGGATGAAACTTTTGCCGAAACTGCGGAAGAGACACTAGAACTTCTAGCGTCAAAACACTTCCCTGGTTCAGTACTAATACACAAAGACTCTATAAAAATACCACATAAATGCATCTCCAGACCTACTTACAAGGACTGGGAGAGGGTAGAGAAGCACATAAGACCAAATAATGTTATTTAATTTATATAAGCAATAGAGTACTTTAAGCTGCAAAAATGTGCTGGTGAGGATGAAATCTTACCTGCCCTTCTGTAACGAAACAAAGAAATTCTCACACCTATTTTGGTTAAAATCTAAAGAGTTAGATATGCCTGGGGATACATTCCAGCCAGAAGGACTACAGTAAAAATCCGCTTCATACCCAAGGCAAGTAAAAAGGATTACGGACAGCTAAAATCGTTAAGACCAATAAACCTAACCTCAGTCCTACTCAAAGGTATGGAAAAGGTTATCGATATATGCATAAGGGAGGTACCCCTACAAAATCGTCCCTTGCATTCCAAACAACTTGCCTATATAAAAGTAAAATTCTATTGAAACGGCCCTTCTTGAACTGATGGATAGGATAGAAAGAGCTATAGAAAATAAACAAATAGCTCTTTGTGCCTTCCTAAACATTGAGGGAGTTTTTGATAACGTCACCATTGAAGCCCTATCCAAAGGGATGAAGGTAAAACAGATTAATAGCACAATAACCCCATGGATCAAATCAGTGCTCCTTAATAGGATCGTCAATGTCCACCTTCACGGAGTAACAAAAGCTTTCAATGCTACCAAAGGCTGTCCTTTCACCACTGCTGTGATCGCTAGTGGTTGACCAACTTTTAACATAGGGCTCCGAAAAAGACCTAAATATACAGGGAATGATATGGTAGCTTGTGTCATCGGTGCATGTCAAAGCACTGTATGCAATAACGGGGCGTGCAATGCCAAACCAACGCGCAAATTGGCCGAACTGCCCCCACCTAAGATCGGGAATTTGCAACTGTAAATTCCCGGTTCTAACCCGTCGATTGGAAGGATCCACACAGGCCGCCCTCGGGCAGGCCCCACGGCCCCCCTTCGTGTCACCCTCGGTCACCCTCATATCCACCCTCTTGTGAGGCTCCGAAATCTCAACCTCCCAAGCAGTCCCTCAGTCTAGAGGTAAGCATGTTCACCTGCCCCCTGCTCTCTTCACCACGTTCATCTCCGCCCGAGCTAGGCCCCTTCATAATATTAATTTTTGTATTATTTAAATCTCCATCCATTCTAATTCCACGAGTATCAAAGCTACGCAAGTCCACTCGAACAGAGGCCTGATATTCGAGTAAGCCTAAGATTGTGAAGGCAGGGGTCGGCCGGTTCCCGCCTCCAGAAGCCGTGTAGCGACAACTCATCCAGATGCCATTCAACCATTCAACCTCTCGTCCACAGCAAACTTAGGTTTGGTGACTTTTTCTCGTGGCCATCTCCTCACAAGACCGTTCAACGAAGAAAAGCCTCCCCGTCTTCACTCGACGCGAAGGTACGGGTCGGCCGGTGGTTGCCTTGAAAATGACACCCTTCGCTCGGGCCACCACGACATCACGAGCCGACCGCCTTCGTTAGCACGGTCGCTACCGGAGATATCCCCGGGACGCCCGCCCAAGCCGAACCACGCTGCTGCTTCCCGTCTTACCAAGGGGACACCGGCCCGGAGCCCTCACAAAACAAGACTCCCCAAAAAGGGAAACCCCCAAAACGCGACCAAGAAAGTCTTACCACCCCCCTAGCCACTCCTCACGACGGCACTAACAAGGGCCAACCCACCCTCCGTGCTTTATGGCAACTGGTGCACTGTCGACCACGCCAAGTGCAGCTCTTAATGCCTTGCTGTACTTACCGCCCCCACATTTATACATAATGGAAGAGGCGTAAGCTAGCTTTTATAGAATAGGCATCTCTGGACAAAAACTATGTACATTATATTTTCATAGATATATTGAGAGGCAACAGTCAAAATATTTATTTCTTTAAATATTTCTCTGAGAGATTCTCTAGACCGTAAATTATATATAGCGCGGACAGCTCTCTTTTGTATAATAAAAATATCCTGAATGCTAGCCACATAACCCCACAACAATAGACCTTACGTCATTCGTTACACTATGAAAATAACCAAAATATACCAATCTTGCCGTTACAACATTTGTCAAGAGTCTAATTTTCCTAACAGCAAATGCTGCAGAACTCAGTCTACTTGACAAATTTATCAATATGAGGATCCCATTGCAGTCGGGAATCTAGTGTAATACCAAGGAACTTTGTCGATTCCACCAACTCAACTTTTTCACTATTTACATTTATAAGTGTATTAACATGCCTCACATTAGGTAATGCAAACTTTATGCATTTCGTTTTATGTGAATTAAGCTTAAAATTATTACTTAAAATTATTACTTGATAGTAATAATTTTAAGCTTTCCACTGTGGAATATTGTAGAGAGCATCATTTACTTCGTCAAAACAATCATTACCAATAATACTGTCTCGCACAAATTCGATAAATCAGCCCTAACACACTAACTAGTGAGATCGGGCGGTCGGGCGCTCACGATCACCCGATATCAGGACCCTAACTCTCTAACAGCGATTAGACTTCCCAATTTACAGTGTTCCCGATAGATCGTGTCCGATAAATTAGGTAATAAAATCGGCGCTTAATATCGATATAGTCTGACTACGCAACACTAAAAAACATGTCGATGTCACTGTCAACGTCGCCCACCCGTTTGTTTTCCGGAAAATGAATACAGAAACTATACAAAAAACTACAAAATCATTTAGATTTTCATTTCCCACATGCACCAACGAAGATGTATTTTTTAAATTGGAAGTGCCTGTGGAGATTCCATACAGCGGATCTCCGGGAGAGCTCGTTCAACGCGTTATAAATATGTTCCACATACCAGTCTATTTAGAAGATGGTAAGCTCTTTTTCTTGTGCTAAGAAATATGAGAGTTTAAAAATTTAAATAGTAAAATTATTAAACGTTTACGTAACCCAACATGCATAAGATTTGTCAATGAAATATGTACCCATTGTCCTTAAAAAATAATGCACTAAAATTTGTCATCAAAAGCAATTTACGTCCATGAATTACGTTTAATACTATGAATATTAATTTTACTTGTTAATACTACACGTTAAATTAAATTGCATAATAACACCAATTGTAGGGATTCGATCCCCACACTCGTATACTTGCTTGCTAAGGGGTGCATTTACTTCTAAAAGAAGACCAAAATGTAGGGATTCAATCCCCACACTCGTATGCTTGCTTGCTAAGGGGTGAATTTACTTCTAAAAGAAGTGCTAAATAAAACCAATACGTTTGAATGCTGTAAATACACTGATTTATTTTAAAATTAATTGTCCAACGAAAATAAAAGTGGAAATTGTAAGTATGTAGGTTATTGTGTAATTTATTATATTAATAATAATTATTTCTAAGTAGGTACATTGTCTCTTACACCAATACTTAAACCCTGAAATACTATATTCACATGTATGAATTTTAAATATGAAATAGGTATACATAAACTGTTTCATCAGAACCTAAATGAGAAACAATAAGTAAGATATATTCCTATGTGTACTTTTTCATTAATGTGCTAGATTTAATAATCATTTTATTTGTTGATGTTAGAATAATTTCTGTTAGTAAACAATCAATAAGTGAGCATTAATGACATGTATTTTGAAAACTGATTGGCATGTTAAAATATTTGCCACTATTTCTTGCCCTTAAAATTGTAGCAAATATTATAATAACAGTTAATAACTTTGCCTGTTTATATCTTGAACTCAATATTCTTTTTACATCCCTTTAAATTTTACTCTAATTCTTCAATGGCAGAACTCAATGAAAAACTAGTGGAATTTATATATGAAGAAACAACAAACTTTCATAATGAGAGAGATGAAAATCTACTAAACCAACTCAAGAATGGAGAACTAAATGTAGAAAAAATTGTGAAAAATTGGGAGAAACTTTTCAAAGAAAATGTAGTTGAATATGCTGAACAAAAAGGAACATCAGATGAAGAAGTATTTGCAGCAGCATATCATAAACTGGTACATTCACCAGCGTTAGAAACAATCTTGCAAGTGGAGAATTCTTATGCTAAAACAGTCATGACTACTTTGAAGAATAGAGATGAAGATATTAAAAAGTTAACAGAAAGGTAAAATATATCATTTTAAATAGTTTTTTAAAACAAAGAATTAAAAATTTCACTCATTATAAAACTTCAAAGTGCAGTACATTGTTTAATGGTCTTAATACTGGAACAAACTATACAGACAAAATTGTATTCCAATACAAAATTAACCAAACTCTTTTCCCAATAAAGGCAGACAGAAGAAATGGAAGAAAAAGTTCGCCTCCTAAATACATTCACCACAGAGGAAGAGATCAATGAACTCGCGGCACAACACTTTGAACAGCAGAACCTTGCTGCTGGCCGGTGGGGATCACAGCTAGACGCTCTCTGTCAGGCGCAACGAGCGCATCATCGTACATGGCTTATGAATACTTTAGATCAATACCAGACTACTGCTGAACTGGATACTCCAAGGTTAATATAATTAAGTACTTAATTTCTCATTTTGAAATGTGTGTCGGTTTGTTAGTTAAATAAATCGTCATTAGTGTCGTGTTAGATATTTCTGAATTTCTGAATTCAATGTCATCACTTATTAGTATTCTAATCAGAACTCCAACTCAAGTTTGTACTTAAAAATTTAAAACTTCTATTAATTAGTAACTCTCCACTGGCAACGTTTTCCCTGGAGCGGTTGGCTTTGCCGGCACCCCGGCCACGACCAGAAGAGAGCTTCACCATACATTTGGGCAGTCAACTCAAACAGACCCACAACGTACGCATTGTCGCCATGGACATGATGGATTTATGTACATTACAACATGATGAGTGAGTAACAAACTGAGAAAAATACAAAACAGCTAACACATGCACACAAAAAACACGCACATCATCAGAGAGATAAAAATAGTTTGATATTACAAATGCAAGTTAATATAAAATAACTTAAAAGCTAATTTTTTCATGAACCTATCCGTGTCTACCAATATCAATGTATGAGCATGTTATCATATTTCTATCTAACCAAACGTCGCAAAACACTACTAAAGCTCAGCAGCCCAATTCTAATGTTTATGTAATGGCATCAAAATAGATTCTCTACAACTTTCATTTTACCATTGTGCAATCTACCTAAAGTCTAATATTATTAGTGCAATGGCTTACTCACACTTGGTGATAGATATATAATTCTCGACACATTCGACCTACCTAATTCTCTGAACTGCTGTGTTAGCATGTTTGCAGACAATACAAAGATTTTTGCAAATCCACTCATCGACTATGATCTCCTCCAAGCGAACGTAACTCGTATAGTAAAATGGTCAAGTGAGTGACTTGTCAAACTTAACATAGATAAATGCACTGTTCTACACATTGGTAGTCAAAATCCTCATTACACTTATGATGTTGAGGGCATAACACTGAAAGAAGCCAAAGTACAAATTGATTTGGGTGTACATATTGCTGAAAATCTTAAATGGGAACATCATATCTCTGCTATCACAAAAAAGGCCAGCAGTTTCATATACCTTATCAGGAAAGCGTTTGGTCATTTGACACCAGAGATGATAATTAAGATAAAACTTATGTTAGGCCTATTTTGGAGTATGCCTTTCAAATCTGGAGTCCTTATTTCAAAAAAGATATAGAAATGTTGGAAAAAATTCAACGCAGGTTTACCAAACTCCCTAAAACACTTCAGAATAAACCTTATTAGGAAAGGTTGAAAGCTCTAAAACTCACCACATTAAAGGAACGGAGAGAACGTGGAGACTTGATAGAGGTATATAAAATACTGCATGGACATTACGACATCAAAAATTTCGACAACCGGTTATTTCAATATTCCCATAACACTCACTTGAGAGGACATCATCTAAAGTTGACGAAGAGGGCGTCGTCTATAAATCTATATAAGCACTTTTTTAGTAACAGAGTGGTAGAAGCTTGGAACAGATTACCGACAGATGTAATTTCAGCACAGACTACAAAGCAATTTAAAAATAGATTTTTACAAATTCATGCAACAGGAAGAATGAAATATCACGCAAAAAAGATATCGGGATACAGGCCACATCAGTTGTTGCAGCTGTCTGCCTGTCTTTGATAATAATAATAATAATACTGAACTTCAGGAATATAGCACAATGGCAAAATACAAGTAATTGACATTCTATTGAGATACAATCATCACGTAAACAAAAGCATATTGGCATGCAGTACATCAAATAAAAAATTTATCAGTTCCCAAACAAAATTAAATTTGTTTTTATTAGCAACACTTATCTAATTAAAAACATATTTGGTATTATCAGTATAATAATAAGACACGATTGTCATTATTGTCTTAATCAGCCCGACAGAAGCGTCTCGTCGCCTGCAGACGTCGCTGTCCCTGTATTCATCGGAGTTGTGCGCGTGTGTACTGGTGGGGGGTGGTCCAAGAGGTGGGGATACAACTAAACAACTGGCACGAGCCGCCGCCGCATCCACTGATCATCACTTCCCACACGTGGACACACAACTACAGGATATTGCTGAGAAAGTCAAGGAACCGGTGAGCAGTTACTACTGAACACAGAAATTTAGATGTTGGCAAGGACATGAATGAAAATATTATATATGTAACTGTAAAAGTAACATTTTCCTGGTATATCTTAATTAAGTTTTAGCTCAACAATACAGTAAATTGTTGATAACCAAGACCAAACATACAATAAGGAAAGATATTGTAGAATTTATGCCACATACGAGGGTCAAACTGAAAGTTCTTAGAACTGGCCACTTATAAACAATATAATAAAAAAATAATTCTAAAATTTGAAAATATAACTCTTTGCCAATATTACTGAGTATATATTTCATTCATTTGTCATTTGTTTTACGATTTGGCGGCAAATTGAAAATTGTCTGTGTCACGTCATCTTGAATTTAACACGAGAAAATTTTCGTGCAATGATTTTTTATGACTTTCGATGTCATTTAAGTCAACAAGAAAGTTATGATAGACTACGATTGGCCTTTCACGATGAAGCCCCATCTCGTGCGACTGTTTACAACTGGTTTAATGAGTTTAAACGTGGTCGCACTAATCTCACTGATGATTTACGTGAGGGACGGCCTTCTACGGCGACGACTGAAGATAACATCTGTGTTGTGCGGCGTATGATAGAGACTGACAAAAGAGTGACCTATCAACAGATTCGGACAAGCTTAGGCATCGGTATGAGTCAAGTGCACAAAATCCTCCACGAACATTTAGCGGTCAGGAAGCTTTGCGCCCGGTGGATACCTCATAATTTGACTGAGGCTCAAAAACTCCATCGTGTGGATTGGTGTCGTAAAATGATTGAAAGATTTAACGGAGGTGACTCAAATGCTGTGTTCGACATACTAACAGGTGACGAAAGCTGGATTTACTGTTATGATCCTAAAACCAAAAGACAATCTGCTCAGTGGGTGTTTCCTTTCGAGGAGTTGCCAACTAAAGTGAAGAGAGATCGAAGTGCGGGAAAAAAAATGGTGGCCTCGTTCTTTGGAAGGATAGGTCATTTTGCAACAATTGTGTTAGAGGATCAAAAAACAGTTTCTGCAGAATGGTACACTACCAATTGTTTGCCACTTGTCTTGGAAAAAGTTCGAGAGAAACGACCTCGCAGTAGGATCCTCCTTCACCACGACAACGCCTCGTCGCACACCGCCAAGCGAACGATCGACTATTTGGCGACATCAAACGTTGAATTACTGGGTCACCAGCCGTATGGCCCCGACCTCGCGCCTTGTGATTTTTATTTATTTCCAAAAATTAAAGAAAAACTTAAAGGAAAGCGGTTTATGAATGCTGAAGAAGCGGTGGCTGCGTATCGCGATACCATTGAAGAGACCCCTAAGGACGAGTGGGCAAAGTGCTTTTCCCAGTGGTTCCATCGCATGCAGCGGTGTATTGACGTGAATGGACAATATTTTGAAAAGATATAATAAAACTAATAACTGGCTAATGTAATCAGTTTTTGATTTTCTAAGAACTTTCAGTTTGACCCTCGTATACTTACTACTATGATGGTTAGGTTAAATAAGTATGATGTTCTGTTCAATTGAAAACTCTTAAATGCAATTTTAATGTCAATTTTAAACCAATCCAATGACAATCTCAATTTTTCTTGTAACATTTGTCTTAAAACATTGATTCAATACTTACTCAATGTCAATCGGTTTATTCAATAACTACTCAATATTGAGCTAATTAGCGCTAGTGTATTAAATCAAGAGTACGAAACGTTACAATTTCAATACCGATCGATCGACATTGCGTTCAAGAGCAGGTATGCTCATTATGTTTGATCAATTTTGCATTTGCAATGCTATACTGGAAAGTATTCTTACTGATATTATCCCATTTTTCATTTGGAGTAAGCATGCTGTTCTGTCATCATTGTTCATTTTCAACTTTTACCATCAAACATTTTGTAAATCGTAGGTTTAACCTCAGCAACACAGTAAATGTTGATAACCAAGTCCAAACATACAACAAGGAAAGATATTGTAGAATTTAAGTCACATATACGTATGATGGTTACGTTAGTAAGGTGTTCTGTTGAATTGTTTTGACTACATTTTTTATGGGATATCCTCGCAATTTTTTAAAATGATTGTCATGAAAAACACATGCTACTATAGGTGGAACAGCGCAACGCCCAGCGCATAAAAGAACTGGGCCAAGACCCGAGACGTGCGAAAAGAGACCTGCAACCGGGCGACGTGTTCATCACCAAACACAGCAACCTGGCAGACGTGCACGCTGTATTCCATCTAGTTGCTGACGATGCCGCACTTAGATCAGGTAAAGATCGAGGTCATTATCATCATCACCGCTCTGATGCTCCGGAGCCCTCCTTGCAGGATCCCGTATTCTTCCCACCCGCCCCCCGTAGTGACGGTTTTTATAAAAAAAATATCCCCAATGCTGAAACTATGGATGGAATCAACTCAAATTGGTTAGAGAAAATAGGACAAGCCTCTTCACGCAGATTCCGTTGCAGATTGGGAGGTAATAGCGACTGGAGAGCCGGAACGGCTTAAGGTGTCTTCGACGCACGGCGGAACTCGAATCAATAAATTTTTATTATGTTAAAAAAGCCATGTACACTTTGACTTGGAATACGTGACGCCATTTGTGGGGTTAAAAATAAGAGATTCTCAGTGAATAGAAATAAATTATCATATATATTCAAACTCTGAAATAAAACATATTATAGGTCCTTGTATGTAATCTGTTAAAGATCAAGTAAATTATTAAAATTATTTTGCACTTTTAATGTTTTTCGCAATTTTTTATATAGTTTCACTACGAATTTATAGATTTCAAGTCACGTCATGCACTCGGATTGGTGTTTCATTTGACGTGCGACACAAGAAATATAAATATTTTTTATATTGCAAAAATATTCGGTTAATAACCTTTCAACTTTATGAACTTTTTAACCACACACCTATTCATTTTTTATCTAAGTAATTACTTTTCGGGCCCGTATTATTTTACAACTTTATAAAACCAAATCACTGTTGTTTAAACTAGTTAATTAGCTGATTGTAACTTCCACCCAGGTGACATAACATCCCGTCACCCTGCGATACTCGGACTGCGTAACATCCTAAAAGCGGCGGCGAGCAATGACGTAGCCAGTATATCCATACCGCTACTCCTGAGGCACGACCTATCAGAGGTATTATCAACTGGTTTTACTGGTTAATACCAGAGTGGCAAGTGTAAGTTTTACGCTAACGCGTTAACTAGTGAGCACGTTAAGAATTTGTATGAAGATTTGTAGTTCTTGGTAATTACCGCTAGGAGCGCTGTACCCGATTCCATACTAAAATCTTAACGCGCTCTAGATTGACGGTGAATGTAAACGTCAAAAAAACTTACACTAAGCGCTCTGTAAATCCTATCTATCCATCCTTTATGCAAATATACTTTAAGATACGCCAGTCCCAAATCAGGAACCAATAGTACCTACACAATCTCAATTTTCAAATCTAAATATTAACGGTTTTTTCATCTCGGCTGGTGGATTTTTTAAGCAATTTTTATCAAGAATCTCAAATGTCATGTTATTATTGACTTAAATTAGAAAGTACCAATCGATTTTTTTATTAATCTCATCTATACTAACAATTAAGCTGAAAAATTTGTTTGTTTAAACTCTATAATCTCAGGAACTACTGGAACAAATTGAATTATTTTTTCTTTTGTATCGATTAGTCCATTTATCTAGGAAGGCTATACCTGTAACATAAGGCTATGACTTATAGGAGTGGCACAGCAATTAAAAATGTTGGAAAACGAAATATTTTACCTTTTTAAGGCTTACCTTGCGTGCTCTCCGTAAACGGCGAAAATTACGTAAAAAACATGTATACGTAATTAATTAGTTTAAGACTCCAGTATAGCAGGACAGTACCCTCGACTACGGGCTCAAATACAACTAGTATAATATACACATATGGTCTTTCTGTATCGATGCACTATATTTCCGATTCATTCCAAATTCCAAATTGATAAACATATCCATATTTCAAAAGTCAAAAGCAATTTTGACTTGATAACATATCCACATCTAAATATTTAGCTGGGTTCCAATAATCGGATTTTATCTTATTTATTAGGCTGTTTTGACCCTGATCATAGGAAATTAAATGTTTTCCGTAGGAGACCACAGCGGCATGGTGTGTACGGCGAGCTGAATTGGTATTGAAATGTGTGAAGGGATTCGTGCTGGAAGTGGGCGGTGTGGGCGGCGGCGGTACTGCTGGTAAATATTTAAGAAATAAGTACTTTTTATATATTCATTCATTACCAGTATTTGTACGTGTCTTCGTCCGCGTACTACTTTCATTGACGAACTTCCATACAATATTTCATCCCCTTATTCGAAACTTCTTTTTTGCAATAAAAAGCAGTCAATAACTTTTTCCAAGGTCAACTTTAAAACGCCGATTACAGTTCCCAATTTATCGGGCACGATCAATCGGGTACACAGTAAATTGGGAAGTCTAATCGGTATTGAAAAGTTAGGGTAGAGTATATCGGATGATAGTGAGTGCCGACCGCCCGATCTCAATATTTAGTGCGTTAGGGCCGATTTATCGGGCTATGTGATCGCTCTTAGGGTGGCAGAGCGCTCAGTCGGTTGCTGCGCAGCGTACGTGTGACACATTAGTGAACGACAACTAGCGAAAAATGTCTTCTCAAAAGAAAAAAGAAATGTAATACATAAAATTCAAATAAAAAAATATATTATTGAGTATAATTAGTGATAATAGGGGTTCTGTTATCAACCCCTATTATCACTAATTTACTTAATAATAAATTTTTTTATTTGTTCTGTTATATTTCAAGTAATAATAAGCATTTCCAGTCGCTAAAAATGCTGCAGGGAACAATTGTTTAGCGCTTACAGTTGCTCTAAATATCGTAGGTATCTTGCTTTTGTATAAATGTTGTAACTAAATTTAACAGATGTTCAAATCGTGCAGCGCTCGTTATAAGATAGTTTCTAAAATCTAACAAACTCACAACATAAATGCAATGCATAGTTTATCTCTTAAAAGTAATACATTTTTCACCGAAAATTTTCCTTTTTGTTTTATTTGTATTTATGCTCGCAGTTAAAGCAAGGGCTTTGCCAATTTTGGCATGTCGAGAGCTTAACGGCCATCCTTTCAGCACTACCAACTGAGTTAGGAAAGCGATCTAGTACAGTGTAATCACAACGGCTCCAGCCGCCCTAACTCGATGCCGATAAATCGTGCCCTTGGAAAGTGAAATCGGCGCTTATTACTGTACCAAGTTTCTTTAGTATTGATTCAGTGAATTAGGGATGAAATATTTATAGGTAAGGGATTATGTCGAAGAATATAACCATGTAACGGGTTTGACTGTGTGGGCCATGGAGTCGTCTATTTTAACCCTGTAATTGTTTGTTGAAAACATTATTCTTACTCTATTTTACGGAAATTTTTTTAATAAGTATTTTGGCTATAGGCATAATGGATATTGGTTAGAATTTCAGTAGGATATATCTTGGAAACATCAAAAGAGAATATCTAGAGAAACTAAATATTTAAAAAATACTGTACGCAATGGAACTTTCAGCGATTTGATTTAATCCGATGTCAAGGAAATCGATGTAATGATGGGTAGTTACGCGGTAGACTCGCCTGTACCCCTTTGAAACCTATGTGCGACCCACTCACTAGACCGGATCCATGGTGGTCATGACAACCCCTGACACCAACGCTGAATCCGCCCTTGGCCACTAATTGCAGAGATAAGTATTGAAAGAATAATTGTTTTTAAAACAAGGTAGCAACAGCGGTAGCGGCGGCGGCGGTGGTGGGGTTCACACAATCCACTTCGTATTGCCGTCGCAAGCGGCGCCGGCATTATTCCAGTCACTGGCGGCGTTACTACCCGCTATATTCCGCATATCAAATCCAGTGAAAGTCAAACCGCAGCCGGTGTGAAATAATTAAAAATGTTTTCCACGAAATTCGAACGAGAGTAGACTTTTATAAAAAGATTGTGAAAAGTTTTATCTATGACATTATATCGTCAGTTATCTGAGAGTAGAGATGTTGAATAATTTCTGTTTGTTAGTCCGTCAGGTAGATTATTCTTTCTTTGCGTAATCAATAAATTAGGGCGATATGTTGAGTTGCAGTGTCGAAAGACGTCACGCTTTTGTACTGTGACGTAAGAACACTCCTCAGCTTAAAGCCTATTTTCTTAGCCATTTCTTGTTTAAATTGATAAAAAAAATAAGTATCTAATAATTTTCTATTATCTGACTAAGGACTAAATAGAAATAATTTGGAGAGTCATTTTAAATGCATCCGGTATAATAACGACTATAAAAAGTATATACCTGTGGCTGTAACATAAGGAATTGCAACTAATACCAGCGTCTTATAGATTGCTAGACTGTATATAAGATACTGTAATAAGTTTGTATATATGTACAATATGTTGTCGGTTATAATGTCACTGTTATGTAAAAAAGAAAGTACTACCCATATGTTATTTAATCAATCCAGTCCCAACATACGGTTGCCTTAAAGAAATCGCTTCTTAGCGTTAAGGTCGCCTAATATACTTGAAATTTATGTTTGTATGTTTTACTTTGTGGTGTACAATAAAGTGTTCATTCATGTTTAAGGTTACCGTCATATTAAAGGTTTCTTCATAGGTACTTTGTCTGGAAGTTGTGTATCAATGTATTGTGTAAGTAGGATCCAGTTTATGAAATAATAGATGTTCTTCGTGTAACAAAAAGATAAGATTATCTATCTACACTTGCCATAGTAAGATAAGAAATTACCAGCCAAATTAAATGATTAGGTATGTTTCCAGCAATAAAATTTCAATAAAACACAAACTATAGTTCTCACAATTTATTAAAATCATCTTTCAAATAGCGATGCCGGATCTTAAAATTATATCGATACCAGTTATAATAATATTCTCAATATGTTTTTAAAATATGTAAAATTGTCTATAAGACACCGTAACGTTGTTCCCGTAATGTCTTATATTATATTCCCACGATTTATGCCTACTACAATACACAGTTGTTTTATCTATAATAATGAAATCGAAATAATTAATATAAACTGAATTGTGCATAATCTAATACTATCATCCACATACATTCCAATATAAGAAACACATAATTAAAACTAAAACTGACATGTTAACTTTCAATATTAAAAAACTATAAGAAAAGTTAAAACAAATCACTATATTTATAATAATCACACAAATGTACTTGTTAGCTAAAATCTTAAAAATGACAAATTAAAGTCTAAATTAACCAGAAAATTCGGCAAATCTAATGATAATCTAAAAGTAATATTGCTATTCGCATTGTTTTTTTTTTTCACTAAATATTTTGATATCTAGAAGGAAATATTGTACTTTGAAATAATTCTGACATGTAAAAAACACATGAATTTTATAAACATTTCATCATAATAAGTTATTTGTACTCTCTTTAGATCGTTAATTAGTATCTTTAATTTTTATAACAATTCTTACATTAATATTGTCATTATAACAAATTGTAAAATTATACAAAAACTAGATGTTTGCAAGAGTGTAAACGTCATGATTGAGCTTAATTTGCGAACACATCTCAGTCACAATATTACTATAATCCACTATACCGACTATATCACTTGATACCAAAATATCTTCATAAAATATATCTGAAACAATTTTTATTATTTAATATCAAATTAGTAAGCATTTAGTGTCAAATTATCTTATATATATCAACATGAAATTGTAAATATCACAATTTAAAATGTCTCGTAACATTACATTGTAAATTCAAGTAGGTTATGAATCTTACCTGATCTAGACCTACAATATGTTGTTGTAGTTTACTAGAATATATAAACGGGAAAACTATTTCTCATAAAAAATTATTTTCATACTTTGCTTAATTTTTACAAAGAAATGAGAGGTTTGTAAGAAAATAATATTGCAAAAATCCTTAAATTACAAGACAAAACCAATCATGACGCTGGCCGTCAACGTCATAATTATCGAAGCGCCCAAAATGATAAAAAAGATATTAAGTTGTAGTAGTTTGAGTTCTCAGAACTTCTGTTATTTTTGGGTGCTTTCATGATTGTGACGTTGACTGTGCAACTAATAATCTTTATTTTGTGGTCTTACGTCATATCTGTCAAGTGTCGCCGTGTAAAAAAAAAAGTAGACATTATCATTACATTTGTAATATATTTTTTATGGTTGAACATAGATAATATAAGAATGATGTAATAAAAAATAATAATATATGAAAATATTTTATTAATTTACCTTGTCTTTCTGTTACTCGATTTGTACTCTACCCCAGCAAAATATAGTTACAAAATATTATCTCCGTCGACTGCGACCGGCAGGCTTGGCTGACTCTGAAAACACATAGAAATGTTTAAAAGCTTTGCAGTGCTATTAATAAACATAATAACGATGTAAACAATACTCTCTCACGAGTCTTATCTTGGTTCACAGTTAATAATCTTCAATTGAATGCTAAAAAAACTAAATGTATAAAATTCACTTTACCTAATGTAAAAGTAGAACCAACTGAAATTAAACTCAACAACGAACATTTAGAGTTAGTAAGTTCAACAAAATTTTTGGGCATAACACTAGATTCAAAACTGCAATGGAACCCGCATATTTCTATATTAGCTGGTAAACTCAGCTCGGCTGCATATGCCATACGAAAAATAAGACAAATTACCGATATAGAAACTGCCCGGACAGTGTACTTTAGTTATTTTCACAGTATCATGTCCTATGGCATTATATTGTGGGGAACGGCAGCCGATATTCAATCTATATTTGTTTTACAGAAAAGGGCAATAAGATCTATCTATCAGTTGGGTTCGCGAATATCTCTTTTAAACTACCATTTAAACTTACCATTTATCCGATGAATAAACATGACTGTAAAGTAATAATAAAAAATTGGCTCGTAACGCTTGACTACGACGAAACTGAATTTTTGTTACAGACTATCACTTAATATATATTTTATTTTATATAAAATGCATACCTCATTATAAAATTATACACAATTTATTAAACAAAGAAACACTCACACACACACACACATACACATACACACACGAACACACACACACATACACACACACACGCACATAGAGAGAAAACTATACACTTACTAATTAAAATTAAAAAGTTGTAACTATTTCATATTTTAAGTCTTTTGTTAATACTTTCTGATAAGGAGGAGCGAGATCTCCTGGAACAAGCGCCTGCTTTGGCACTTAAAAGGAGGTCTCAACCTATGTACTGAAAATGTAAATGTTTTGGACAATAAAATATTATTATTATTATTATTATTATTATTATCTCTTAGAGAGAAATTTAAAGAAATTGGAATATTGACGGTTGCATCTCAATTTATATATAGTTGTATACTTTTTGTCCGGAACAATATTAATGTGTATACCAAACATAGTGATGTACACAAACTTAATACTAGAAATAAAAACAAGCTAGTAGTGCCTTCTTACAGGTTACAGAAGGTATTAGGTTCTTTCATGGGTCAAGGTATACAATACTTTAACAAGATCCCCAGTGATGTATTAGATTTGCCAATAAATCATTTTAAAAGTCATATAAAAAGTTGTCTACAAAATAAAGGGTATTATACCGTTAAGGAATATCTAAATGACAAAAAGGCATGGTGTTAGATATTTTAACTTTGTTGTATTTACTTTCTAATATTGTAATGGAAAGTGACTTCATATTCTAATGAAGTCACTTTTCAATAAGACTTCTCTGTGTGAAATAAAACAGGGAGAAAAAAATAGCCCTTGCTGAGTTTCTTGCCGGTTCTTCTCAGTACAAGGTCTCCCGCCGTAGTTTTGCGAACCGATGGCGTAGTTTTCGACTTTCACAAGTGCTCTGTAAAAGCCTAAATTGAATAAATAAATTTTGATTTGATTTGAAAACAAGGTTCAGCGTCAGAGTAAATTAACGCAAATATTACAATTTTATTATTAAACCTAGGAGTAAACATTACTCCCGTAGAACCTTGTACTAAGTTAACCTTTGCTAAGTCACTGTTTATTAATATGAATTTTGACTAATGACTAATCTTGACCGTGAACTGTAGTATGTGGAGATCACAATAGATCAGCAATGGTCGCAGTGATACTGGGCTGCATAAACCCAAGATAATCCGCAACTCGAAACAATAATACAATAATAGGGCAGTCTCCTGAGACTGGTAAATAATAAATACCCTAGTAAATAACAGAATTAAATTTTAAGCAACACAAGTTGACAAAATACCACAATGAAATTTATTGATTGGAATTCTTCTCAGGTCAGGTGTTTTTAATACATAGTGAAATTTATGTACCTAGCTCGATAGAATGCTTTTTATAGTTTATTGCTTAGGTCACTGATGTTTTTACAATATATATAATATTCTCTGTCAGTTGATAGTTGGAACGAGAGAGAAAAGAAAAGAATATTCAGTGATCTGTTACGAAATTATATATTGGAGTATTTAAGGGGTGTTTGATTATAGTATATCATCCAATATTCCGGTGAAGAACATTCTACGCAACCCGCACACTACCTTTCAATTCAGAATGTCCAATTCCCAAAATGACCAATCTGTTATAAAGATGGGTCTGTTGAATCCACAGACAAATAATATATAGAATATTAATGGAATACGTCCCCAATTCCCCATAGCCTTTTTAAAAGTATTAAACATTAACATATATTCAACAAACCCAATATTTAGATTGGACATTTCTGGTTCTTTGCATAAATTCAATAAACGTGTTGCGCAACGAGCAAGTTGAATATACGCTTTTGAAAAATTATATAAGTGGTAACAAAGGGTAAAAGAGGTCAAAGGTCGTCTTTATGCGTCTTATGCACCGTTGTGTAGTAACTATGCTTCTCATAAAGCTCGTATAACATTAACATGCGTAATATATATTGTTATTACTTTTTTGGTAATTTATATATACAAGTCGCTTACCTTCAATAGCAGCGGCGGCGCGGGTACGTGTAGCGCGTACTTTTTGCAATTCTGCGTTTAAAACATTTTAACGTTATCTTTAGGACAATGCTTGAATATGTACAATTAATAAATATGTACGCTCAATTGCACAGTCAGCACAACAATCTTTAAGGTAAATAACGACTGTAAGCTTCGATGAATATTCTTAAAAATGTAAAATTTAGAAAATTCTAAAGTGAAGTAAAAAGAATTTGTATGACACAACACTACAGATGTGTAAAAACCACAACTTCGTAATTAGTTTCTAATTTGGATTTCTTAGAAGAAAATGTACATAAATCTAATAAATACTCACCTTTGACGGGTGACGCTTCAACTTTCCTATTGCGTGTGTTCGTTTTAGGAGCAGCTTCTGTAGCCACAACAGTCTGGACAAAGCAATTATTTATCATAAGTAAGTCATTCATACATACTGCTATTTGTTATACTTATTAGAATGTGTTTAATATAGTATAATTATCACGAGTTTATTTTGATATAATACAATTGCGCAACAGTATGGTCTTTATTGGATTTAATTGGATGTGTGGTCCTGCAAAGTGTGGAAAATAAACCAGTTTGAATCAAGCTAACAGGTTAATTGCAGACAGAAATAATAATATAGAAAAAAATATAACTGACCTAATAAAGTTTCAACTTCACACATAATATTATTATAGGATAAGTACCTTTCGCGTTCTAGTTGAGCGCGATACAATTACCGGAGCGCTTTCAACAGTGGCCGTTTTCTTCGACCGCATATTATTTTGTTTTTCATTATCCAACGATTTCGCTTTGACAGGCTTTTTCACACTTGCTTTTTCGGATTCCATTTTGTTTCTAGCTACTTTAGAAGGAACTACATCCTCTGCAGTAATTTTCCGTTTCCTAGTGTTGGGTACCTGTACGACGACGTCGTTTACCAGTTCCTTTCTTGCCCTCCTTACTGTAGGTTCCGACTGAGTGCTTTCTTGCGTTCGTAGATTTTTTCTAGTTTTCCTTGGCTCTATTTCCGATTTAAGATCAAGAGATGGGATATCACTATTTTGTTTCACTGCCAACACTCGACCCCGTCCACGTTTAGTTGTTATAGCGTCGATTTTAGGTTCAGGTTTGGGTTTACTTTTGTTCGCTTTAGGAGATTCTAGTTTTCTTCGTTTAGCCCCAGCAACATTTTCTATTTCAATAGCTGTAGTTTTCTGAGACTTTTGTGTCGTTTTAGGTTTCCCACTAGATATAGGTGAAGATTCTAAAGTTTGGGGTTTAGCGCGCGTCCTTCTAGGCGGAATTTCTATCGCTATTTCTGCTACAGTTTTCCGACCTCTCGTTTTTTTTGGGCTGGATTTCGTCGAGATATCTGTGACTTTCTCCGTTTCAGTTTTCCGACCTCTGGTTTTTTTAGGGTTGACTTTATTATCGTCTTGTACTTCTGATTTTTTTTGTCCTCTTAGCTTTTTAGGACTAAGAACAGGCAAGCTTTCCACTTCCTCTGGTTTCACTAGTTTATTTCCTCTAGCTTTATTTGGTACAGCTTCTTTTATTTGTTCTGATTTTCCTCGTCTCGTTCTTGTCTTTTTGGGGCTCAAAATCGGTGATTTTTTAGGAATAACAAATGATGGTCTAGCTTTCTTTGCGTCGTGCGTAGTATCTTTCTGTTGGTCTTTGGTTGCTCTAGTTTTACGTAATATATTTTCTTTGGTTTTGGCCGCGCGAGTCTGTTTGGGCGAGAGTGTAGTTAGTTTCGTTTCAGTGTCAGTTTTGGATTTGGTTGTGTTTCTAGATTTTGGTGGTGTAGGCAATTGTTTGAGCTGTTTATCAGATCTGAAACCGAAATATTTCTTAATTCAAGTTGAAATTTATTAGATGTATAAAGTCCACTAATTAATTCAATATTTTATAATTCAATAAAATTCATGATTCATGAAAATAAACATTTGCAAGTTTGTAATAATTTTGTTATAATATGATTAATTATAATAATGTAATAATATAATAGTATAGTAGTTCTTGTAAGTGATCGATCAGTGTACAACATCTAATATTGTGTTCATTACATTAAACTATATTAACTTTTTCTTTTTTCTTAGAAAATATATGTTATATTAACTACAGTTCGGTTTCTTCTATTAAAATAAAAATGTAAATTAAAAAAAATAAACAATTTAAAAATATGAAATAAAAGAAAATCTTCATAAATAAGTATGTTAAATTAGCGATAATAAACGACAGAGGCAAAATTGTACATTGATAACCAAATAGAACATAAATATTAAAAAGTTCACCAAAAGCAAACAGAAAAAGGCTTATTGTTAAAAAGTATCTAAGGAAACTAAAAATAATTCCAACATACCTGATCGACGTATCGTGGTCTGAAGGTGGTGGAATAGGAGACATTCTTTGTAGAGCTGGCGCTGAAGGTTTCTTGCCCTTCAACGGAGTGGAATGAAGCACGCGTTTCTTCAACGGTAAACTATTACTAACACGCAAACTACTTCTAATGTTCACGTCCAAAGTTTGAGCAAGGCTAGAATTCACTTCCTTGTCGACTAAAGAACGCTTCTTTATTGGTAAAGTGTGAGTACTGTATGTTTCGCTAGCAGATTTCCTCTCCAAACTATTCACGACACTACCTCGGATACGCGAGTTACGTATCGGCGTGACACCTTCAAATGAAATAAAATTATTTAGAAGTAAATCTTAAATACTATTTATTTATATAGGCAAGATTACTGAACGTCAAAAAGCACGATAACATAGAACTTATTCCTTGATTGATTTATAAGACTTGCGCAAAATGACAACTAATACATTTTATGTTTCAAATCGGTAAAGAAAATAATTAATTCACATAGAAATATAGTTATATATACCTTCTACAGTGTCAGTTGCCAACTTCTGTAACTCTCGATTTATCTTCTTATCATCATCTTTGTGCAAACATTTTTGAAACTCTTTCTCCAACCACTCTTCCACGTTGTTTGTTATCACATCTATGGGTACGTGCAACGACTTCGCATTACGACTTTTCCGACTTTGAGGCGTTTTCTTTATGAAACTTTTGGAGTATACAGCTTTAATTGGCGGCTTGCCTAACAATCTGTCGAAAAGCCTTTCTGGGTCTTTACTTATATCAGACTCATTGAATAATTCCTCTACACCGCTAACGTCGTTCAAATCGTCCCTTCTCTTTTCTTCTCCGTACATACGTTTCACTCCCCTAACGTCTCTCAAGTCGTTTCTAGGTGAATTTCTCTGCAGCGTACCTTTTACTCCTGAAACATTACGCAAATCATTTGCAGGACTGTTTCTCTGGAATAATCTCTTAACTCCCCTCACATCGGTTATATCATTTTTAGGTGATACGAATCTTTTCTGCGATCTAAATAGAGTTTTAACTCCGGAGGCTCGGCGTAAATCGTTTTTCGGTCCAGCAGCGAACACTTCTTTAACTCTCACGTCACTCAACCTGTTTCTAGGTGATCTAGCAAATACTTTCTTCACGCCATATACGTCAGTCAAATCATTTTTCACCGATTTTCTCGTTCGAGGCGACCTCAGCAATGATTTTACGCCTTTAACATTAGTCAGATCGTTGTTAGGACTATTTTTCTGGAATAATCGCTTGATTCCAGTCAACTGGGGACTGTTTGATGGAGACCCTATCGGGCTGACGAATCTCTCGGGTGTATAAACATCAGTGTGTTCCAGAAGTGAATTTTCTGGAGTTCTACCGGTCAACGCGATCGTGTTCCTAGTAGGACGCCTCACAGCACTGATATCTTCGTCTTCGAACAATTGTTTCCGCGAAAATTCCGTCATGCTCTGAGATAATTTTCTCTTAACAGGGCTGTTAAATAGTTGTTTGACAATATCAGATTCATTTAGATCGTCTATAATGGAGCGTTTGGACTGTGGTTTCTTGGCTGTCGAATGTTTGTTCTTCACTGCCTCCTGTACTAGTTTTACACCACTCTTAGGTGTCACCATTTTGTCATCCGTAAGAGTTTCGTCTTCTATGTTAGAATCTTTGCTGAGTCTTAGTGGACCTCGTCGGAGGCTGAAATTTAGTGATTTGGACTTCGACCCTATGCGGCGGCGTTTAGGGTTGGAAGGGATCGCACCGATAGTCTTCCTCTTAGCGTAAATTGACGCGCGGGTTTTTTTCACAGAATGCTGCGATGCCAACGAGGTTCGGCTCGAGTCTAGAAGGCTTTGTATACTTAGTACTGGAGTCCCGACTTCCTCAGGGCTGTTCCTATTTTCTGGTGTACTCATTCCTGCGTTTTGTACGTCGCCTGGAGTTACATCTCCACTCTTCCTTGAACTTTTACGTTGCACGATAGGAGAAGACAATTTTGAAGTGCTACTTTCTTGCAGAGTCGATTTGGATTTGCTTTTCTTGGACGATCGCGGCGACACGTCTTCTGTATAAGAATTGTCAGATATCAAAAGTAAGTCACTATCCTCGAGTCTGGATCTCTTTCTAGAAGCTCTAGAGACTCTAGTGCTATTCATGGATATATGTCTCAATGTGTTTTCTGGCGTACTCAGAGACTTCGATCGTTTCGTATATGTTGAATCATTTCCAAGAGCATGCGATTCGTTACCTCTGATAGAACTCTGATCGGGACTAGATCGTGACCTGGCCGACGACTTTCTACCAACTTTACCGACGTAAGGTGTACTCGATTCAACTAATGCCGGGTCGATAGTAGATCTGGTCTTTCTGCTAGAACTATTTTTAGGAGTTTGGTACGCAGCAGTGCTACTACTTGACGACCCCGCAGAACTGTAGACTGATGCTGTTCTACCAGATTCGTTAGAATCGATGGAGACTAAATCAACTATCGAATAAGTCTCTAGATTATTCTGCGGCGATCGCGGGCTCAGAGTCTTAGTTCGGAAACCGGACGCGATCGTAGTGTCGCAACTCTGATCAGTCAGAGTTTTCGTTGTTCTTCGAGAGTATCTGCTAGATTCGTTGTCGGTTTCTAACGCTTTTTGTAGCATAACACTGCCTCGGGAAGATTGTCTCGGAGGCGTTTGTGGCGTCATCGTGCTTCTGGTAGTTCGAACGGAACGGGATTCAATAATGCTTTCTCCTAAAGATCTTTCTAGAATTTTACTGCTTCTCGAATGGATCGATTTTCTTGGTGAAGGCGATTGAACGCTGGACGTATCATAATGTAATGTGAAGTCGTTATCTGAGATAGAATTTTGAGATTCATTCGTAAGATCTTGAGAATGATTTTCCAAGTTGCTTAAGTCGAACTTGATAGATTCCGTTTTTCTAGTAGACTTCTTAGCTGTCGGATCTTTCATAGCGGACTTCCTAGGACTCGGCAGGAGAGGCGATTTTAATGGGCTCCTTTGGGAATTTCTCGAAGAACGGACGCTTTGAGAGGACGGACGCGTAGTGTTATCGCTTATCTCTAGTACAGAAACCTGAAAAATGATAGTATGTTCCAGAATCATCATTAAAAAATAAATATACAAACTCACACACAACAAGTAATAATTTACAGTAAAACAAATTTACAAAACCAAATTGGACTTTAAAATTTAATTGTGGTTTATACTGAAATCCCACTGTAAATCTACAAATAATGCATCTATATATAATTATGATGTACAAAGGATTTATATAATTTTCCTGCCTCAATTATAATGTAATCCTGGAAAGTAACTGATGACTTACAGAATTTTCAGCATTATTGGTGCTGCTGGAGCCAGTTTTCCTTGTGTTAGGGCGGGGAGTGGCCACAGGGCTGGGTTTCTTCACCAAGAACGAGGGGGTCCTACGTGATTGGGTGTTAGACATCTTTGACTTAGGAGTGTGACCCGTCATCAACATTATGGCCACTTGTTTTGTTTGATCTGATGACATCAAGATTATAAAGATAAACGTAATTGGAAGTAATCGTAAATAATATTAAAATAGAATTTCATCATGCATGAATCTAGCAGAATATAAGGGAATTCCATAATTAAATCAAATGCAATTTAAATGTAGGTTGGATGGGAACATAAATATCTAACCAGTTCATAGTATGAACGTAAGAAACCTACATCATTTATGGTGGTAGACTAATGGTCAGTTGCACAAATTCAAATTATTTATTCACAGAAAACAGAGTATTTAAGATGTTTTACAATAATTCTAGCTCGTCTTTTTGCCGATTTAAGGTTTATGAAAGTCAAACAAAATGTACATGAAATCTAATTAATAAAAATAATAAAATTACATAAATGAAACAAATTTATACGGTTTCATCGCGTTGAAAATCGTTTAAGTTATTTCAGTTATTTCATTTTCCACATGAAAATACAATAAATCAATATGTCAATTACGAGATAGTCAATAAAACTATTGTATGTCAAGATATTCTCTAAATGAGCAGAAACACTTAATTTTAAGCCAATTAGAAAATTTTCTTCGAATTCGTAACGGAACGTCCATTACTGTTTAATGACGACTTTAGGCTCTAACGAATGTACTAAATTTAAATATTTGTAATGTGGCATCCAACTAATGACAATTTTGACGTTTATGCAACTGGTTGTTAGACCCAGTAATAAACTAAATGTTTTTGCATATAAAAAAAATATTTCAAGAATTAAATTGCCTCTAGTACTCCAAAAAGGCTTTCGAATAATAATCGATAATACTTAATAATCAATAATCGATAATATTATTATTGTTTAGGCTGGTTTTAGTATCACGCTGACCGTCGGTGCTTTTTTGCCTGTACCAACATGTATGGGCTCTATAGAAGCGTTCTATAGTTACACCGAACTTTCAGCGCTAATTATCACACGCGTGCCTCCGCCTTCAGCGAGCGTTCCAGTCTCGAGTCGAGCGGACACCGTCAGCGTACAGTCATGAGGAAAAGCGATGAACACAAGAGAAGTGTGTTAATGCATCCGATGAACACTACAAAAATAAAGATGCCAAAAACAAGTACTACTGCATCGTGGTAACTTATCACCAAACTTTGCCATTAATTAACGCATAAAAATTTCTTGTTGACCTGCATAAGTAGTTAAAGGATTTGGGATCGTCGTCTCTTATAACTCCGTTTCAAACAGTAACTGGTTGAATAATGTCACAAATGCATCCACTAGAGATCTTTGAGCAAAAGTGGATGAACATGCATGTTCATCTTTTTCATTGACGCTTCTTTATTTTTGTATAAATAATACACTGCAGCAATTTGAAAGCGCACAGGATTAGCCAAGGCTATTTCTGTACTTGGCAGCGATAAGCACAACACTGAGACAGCTTACGTTGATAGCTACGCGCTTACGACGTCAGCGCGGACGGTCCGTGTTATACTAAAACCAGCCTTAGACATTATTGGGAACACTAAATTATTCCATCTCTAACTCACCCAGCGTAGCAGGTGGTTGCACCTTAGTTAGTGAGGCGGCACGACGCAGTACCGCGAGCCTGAGGGGAGTCGGTTTCTTCACTGACGATGACACACTAACACTCGACTGCAAACACACATCACTCTCGAGTCACTATCAAATATATTTAACTCAAACGAATCAACATGACACCTGCCCTGCGATACTGTAAAAATCCAGACCCGAATTCGAATTCACTCCGAGTGTCCGGAATCACTTCAGAGAGCGGCATCCGCTAAACCTTGAATCGGTAATAACGTTTCGTGGCAGAAGAGAACTGAATTTCAAAATGATACAAGAATATAATATCTGAGACAAGTATATTCAATAAATTTTGTTTTATATTTTTATACGAAAAATGGAATCAATTGAATTTCATAACTAAATGACGTAAATTTGGACACATGAGTGAATTCGAATTCGGGTCTGGATTTCTGGAATCGCAGGGCTGAAGGACATATCTATTTGTCATCAAATGAAAATTCGGAAAATATCGAATCATTCTTATAACTTTGTTAAAATACGGGTGTAGACAGTAAACGAAATTAAATACATATTATTTACTTTTATGCTATCATAAGCATAAAACTAAATTATTTATGAATAAACAAATATTTTATGCTTGTTGTCACTTCAAACGCAAACGTCACGCCCTTTTTACTCCTTTCAGAACTTAAGAGAATTCAACCTTATACATTCATAACGATGTTCGTTTCAAACGCTTGTGACATCACAGCATTACCAACACAGAAGTGACGTTTTCGCGGGAAATTTAGAAAATTAAATTTATTTCTAGATTTTTACTTATTATATGAATGACATTTTTTCAGATATATATTTTACGTATATCTATAAAATAATATAAAAAATAGTTGTCTACACCCCTATTATAACGCTAATGATTAGCTGTGCATCAAAGTCAGTATCAGGTCTCACTTACTTACATCATATATTCATACTAGCATCTTGAATATAGACGAACTTTCTTTTTCGATGAAATAGAATAGGCACGTATGAGTAACATGGTATAGAAGGACAATGTTCATAAGTAATTAAATCAATGTACAATTGTACACACGGCTGTACGTCAGGCTACCACAATATGTCAAATTTCCTCAAATGATTTTGTACTCTATTGTCAATATCATACAACCAAGTGGAGAAATTTGACAGTTTTATATAGATTGACAAGCTGAAGACTTTCGAAAGACACGAAAGAATGTGTCCCCTATGCTGTGATCTTTTGTTATTGCTCGACAGCCACAAGTTGTACTCCTATTTAATCCTTTAATTAAAGAATGTATATTTATATTAAAGGCGTTATTTTAACGGTGTTAGTAGAATTAATCTATCGGCTTTAGCTCACTCTACTTATAAAAATGTTAGTATGTACTGTACTGATAAAAAAAAAACATTGTTCATAAAATATATATATATATATAAATGGCGATCCATCAGTGACGAGGTACCCATACAAACCTTAAACCACTGATACACCACTCATTTACTGAGATTATGATTCAATTTTGTTTCACTGACCTTTGTAACCTTCCTGGGAGTGGTCTTCCTGGACTCAATCCACATGGATGCTTTAGTGGGGGTTTGGAGTGTGGCAGTCTTGGGGCTGTGTCGAGGCGTCGACTTGCGGCTCTCCTGAGGCTCCAATTCTTCAGGATTGCCACTACGATGCCTTTTGGATTGGGTACTGTTTCTTGATGTGTTGACTTCTGTCACATATTAGGTTTTTTTTATAAATAAAAAAAAATGTAAGAAATGCAATTATGTTTGGAAATATCACTGACCATTCTGCTCTGTGGTATCTCGCCGCTGAGGTTGTACAATAGCTACTTGTTTGCCACCGGCACTGCCTGTATTAATATTAACAATTATTTAATTCAATAATGTTGAATAACATTCAATAATATAAAATTAAACTGCACCAACTCATATAGTAATCCAGACCTTTTAAGTAAAGAAGAAATGTAAAAAAAAACAACAAGCTTTTTTACTTCTCTGTATACTATGAAAGTCATAACTCACAGACAGGTTATCTTTCGAAGGCCTCTACGTAATTAACAAAGTCATAGGCAACTTGTACTATGACAAAATTGGCTAGACGCATCTATGCGAGAAAAATAGCAATATTTTGCGCACGAGTGAAGGAATATCTAGTCTCTGTAAAAGTATGTAATATCAGCAAGCCTACCCTCGAACGCAATCGCGATCGATCGACATTGCATTTATGCCGTTTCGTACTCCTAATTGGGTACACTAGCATAATCTGGCGCTAGCCAATCAAGAGTACAAAACGGCACAATTACAATGTCGATCGATCGCGATTGACGAAATATGGGTGCAGACTTTTTTTATAGATATATTTGAAATATATCTAAAAAAATATATTCATATAATAAGTTAATACCTAAAAATAAACTTCATTTTCAAAATGTCCCGCGAATTCTTCTGTCATGGCGTCACTATCCCTAAGGTCACGTGACAACGATTATAAGATATTTGTTTTTCATAATCAATTTAATCTATATTATAAATATAATAAGCATAAAAGCGCGACTATTGGTAATAGTATATTCAACACCAGAAAAAAATAATCTGTTATTGTTTTCGTTTACTGTCTACACCCGTATTATCTCCTGTTCGGTGACAGGACTATCGTAGTATACGAGATGTTGCAGTATTTATGTCTTCGTAATGTATTATACCGGGCATGGAGGCACGGTGCTGCAGCTCTAATGCCAGCTGTATGGAGGGCGAGCGTGGAGTGGCCGCCGCCACTGCGCTCACTCTGCGACGGCCGCGAGGCTTGCGACCACGACTGTACACTGCTGTACAATAATCACACTGTTATTTATTTTCACTTAATCATACAATAATCATATATCGCACAATTTTTATTTTATTTCTATTTTCTTTAGCAAACTTAGAGCTTTGTATAATTATATAAGAATGTCAAGTTTGCCCTTCTTGGTAGTACAGTTCTAATAAAAAGAGAAACGGGACAGCTTAAAACAATTTTATTTTTGAAGAGAAACATAAAAATTAAGAGCCAGAGTTCGAAAAATAATTTGCCAACTACAAGTTCTTTGTTTATTTAATGAGGTGTTGAATAAATAATTGGACCGGCTTTCAATAATTTAGTCACAAGCTATAGACTAATAGAATTTTACATCAGTCTTCCTTTCACCTCGCGAACTCCTGACGATTGCTCTATCAACTCTAGATGTACCTGTAAGCTATGTACCTGTAAGCTATGTACCTGTAAGCTATGTACCTGTAAGCTATGTACCTGGTTGTGTTTGTGTAGGTCTCGTATTCGGTCTTAGATGCGTATATTCCCAGCGCAGCGAGCGCTCGCCCACAGTAATGAGGTCGCCGTGTTGTAATGCGGCCACGCTCACTGCATGTCCGTTCACCAAGGTATCACCAGAACCGACGTTACGAACCACCGTCTACATAACATATGTATTCTAGTACAGGCATCAGATTATATAAAACGATGAAATTACTCCAATTAATTTAATCCACATGGGAAAGGTGGATTTTAAAATCAACCATGGAAATTTTACATATTGTAGTAACCTAGCTTCTTGCAGGGTTATATATAAAATAGCATATTAGATTATTACATAAGGCAAAAGGACATCATCCATTTTGGTCCAAAAATGTGGAGTAAATCTGATTCTAGTGGTCTCCCTAAACATTTCTTATTATCACACCAAAGCTGTATCTTTATGCTTTATTTGAGTTCAAAAATCCCTTCCTTCATAAATTTCCGAATTTCTTAAATATGTGAAATAACTTGACACAACATAACATACAAAATATTTTATAAAACAATAATGTTTTATATCGTGCAGACATAACTCAATACAAAGACACCAAAAAAGTAACTTTGGAACTTAAGTTATAGTTATAAAAAAGGAATAGCACAATAGACAACTTAAGTTATAGTTATAAAAAAGGAATAGCAAATAGCACAGCCGACACAGAGGAGACGGACAAAGAAAGTCCTCATCTTCCCTGCTACACAATACAGTGCCACCCCTCTCCTAAAGGCCACCCCGCCCAGTACCACTCGACCTGCCGTGTACACTAACGCCACTGTGATATTTTCGCTCACTCTCTTTAAATTGTTTCTTTTTTTTTTTGTTATGTTGATTTTATTTGTTCTCCTTCGTTAAGTTTTGTTGTTACCTTTTGATATTGACTATTACTTCGGTTCTGTATCCACGAAACATGGAAGACTGTATCCTGTGTCGTGTTCCAACTGAGAATCGGCGAATTTATAACTGGACTTCTCGAGAAAGAGACCATCTTGATATTGCTCGTGATCGAAGAATTGGTGCAACGGCAGGTAATAAAATAACACACTCTGCTATGTATTTTCGATTTGGGTTGTTTTGGGGTCGTTGCTCGTGTCCGTAGGATTACCCTATGGGTGCAAGTATGTCTGTGTTAGTGTTTAGATATGTTTATGTGTGAGTGTATGTGTTTGAATCCGGGACCCCATAGCAACCAAGATGCGGTAGGTTTACTCTCAACTTGAAATGTTATTTTTATTCTTTTAGTTAGAACACACTGAGTTAATTTGTCGGCCATGTTGGCAAACAACAGAAAGGACAGATCGACGTCGTGTTCAAGAAGCAGATGAGCAAGTTGGCCAAGAGGATAATCCACCTGAAAATCCAGCTTCAAGACCAACATTATTGGATTTGCCGGGTCTTCTTCGCGCACCAAATACGGCAAATAGTATATTCCAACACTGTGTAAGTGATTCTCGCCGCCGTATTCCTGATAATATCATTCTGCGGATGCTGTGCCAATACAGATATTTCGTACCAGAAAGTGCACGTGTATACAGTGAACATTTGGAACAAAATCTATGGCATATGCTACCTTTGCAAGACAATGCCGCTATAGAGTTTATTGCTGCACAGATAATTAGTATTGTTTCAATGCTACAAAAACATATTACTGAAAACGTTATTGATTTTGAACAGTATGAAAATATAGCACCAGAAGGATTTTATTTCTGTTTTAGGAATCAGTTTGAGGAATTTCTGGCGAGCTTACCAAGCCTCACTCTGATAAATAGAAAAAAAGAGTGAGTGATGAGTCATCGGTATTTGTTAAGTTAAGAACTGGAGATTCGAACGCAAGGCTTGCTAATACCTATATATTTAAATGCGTTGAGACAACATTCCACAGATGGTTACAAAACTCGACGCAATGCGCTTTAAGAAGATTTTGTACCCTTAAATCAAGGGTTTGATCGTATCACACGTGAGGACGTGGCACAACGGAACCAGCCATTATCCAACAATCTGTTTGGCAATCCATTGAGTCCAGAAAGCGAAAGAAAAGCTATAACTGTTTGTAATGGGACATATGTCTACCTACCAAAAAGTGGCAATTATTTTTTCCAACGCGAATCATATAGCCATCATAAATAAAGAAATCTTGTTAAACCATTCCTCTTGGTTTCTTGCGATGCGGCCGTATCATAGAGGTCATCCGTCCATACTCTGCAATCACTTGACATAATTGATGGGCTCATGAATAATGTGGGCAGTGCATTCCATTTTATTTTGGATCGTGGATTTCGTGATTCTGTGGAAAATCTCGAGTCTAGCGGTTATATCACACATATGCAGAAACAAAATATCCAAACGAGACTCAATTAACCACAGATCAGGCAAACAAATCAAGGTTGATTACTATATGCCCTTGGGTAGTTTAAGTTGTCAACGGTAGATTTAAAAGAGATTTTCGGTTGCTGCGTAATGTATATATGTAATAATAGAGCTTTAAGAAGCATGTTCTATTATTTTAGGATCGCAGAAGCCATATTGAATGGTTTTCATGTTTTAATTGAGGACAGTCCGCATGCAACAGACATTTTAACAATTATTCATAAAAGAATAAATAATCCATACAGATTGGCAGAACTTGTGGAAACGCACAATTATTACCGCAGACGTGCTCTCAATTCAGAGTGATGAGTCAGAATACCCAAGAATGAATGAGCTCGACTTGTTTTTATTCGCCCTCGGCGTATACCAATTGAAACAGGCAAAGAACTATTACGGCGAACACATTCTTGACAACGAATCCTTCAGAATAGAACTCGGTAATGATTTGCCTGATGAACACCTGAGAGAATTACAGGAGCAGGAAAACGACCTATGACTCGATCCCGGCATGTCAAGGCGAGACAATATTATACATATATTGTAGTGGATAAATCTATGTCGGGAAGACGAGCTATCGCCTAACATTGTTGTACATGTATTATTGGAAAAAGAACAATTGGGTGTTGTTCCCATATAATATGTATCATATTGTTTATGGGCTATGCTCAGCATTTGCAAAGTTTAAACCCCCCAGGTTTAGAATTAGAGATTATTATTGTTATGCCAGATGATGATTTAATTATTTAACGATATTACATATATAAAAAAAAGTTGAATTAAGTGCAGTACAATACATATTATTTCGGTTACGCTCCGTCAAATATGTCGACTTCAGGGCCGAAAAATCATGCAACAAATGCACCATATAATGATTATGGCCCAAAACCCTATATTGTTCTAGTAACCATGAAAATATAATAACATGCTTAAATTTTTTTTATTTATTTATTTTTATTTATTTATGTAATTACTGTTTTAGACCCTATCAAAAGACTAGCTACCTAATTTAATGACTATTTTAACCAGTTGACTGCTACATATCAGAGGCCGCAAAATGTACGTCCGCGGTGGCAATGACGAAGCGGTGCAACGCACCACTCGCGCGCCAATCGAGCGGCGAATGCGCGACTGTGTGATTTAAGTGTTATATAATACTGTTTTAATTTATTTTTAAATGTAATCGATATTTAAATCAGTATAACTAATAAACAATTAATTAAATATAAACATTTCATACTCGGGAACTGATATTAAACAAAGAAAATTGAAATGAGCGATCTGACTCCTGGGTGTTGAGAGTGGGCTAATTTCCCTGCATCACCGCCCAACGCCACGGTCGCCACCGCCACCGCGAACATCCAAAATAAGGCCTAACACTCATCAATATATTAGGTAACACACCTGATTAGCATGTACTACGACTGTGGCATGGTGAGGACTAACTGAGGGCAGCATAACACGTATATCACAGCGAGGATGACTGCCCAGTGTGGCCAGTCCAGATGTCAATGGGAACCGTTTCACTTCCCTCCCAAGCCTGTCCAGCACTACTAACCGCCCACCTGACATCTCTATGTAACAATCATATACAACATAACTATAAAGCCATTATTTGGACACTGTAAAAAATAATGTTTTTTTTTATAGACGGTACAACAAATAATTTATGAAACTAGCACTAAGCAGTAAAAATAAGAGATAGGATGAAATCTATGGACTTGCAAATTCACTACCAACTGCTATCTTAAGTAAACACTAAATATAGCATGGTCACAGTGTTTGCTTAAATGACAAGGATACTAGATTTGCACCTGTTAAGCAGCAATAGTGGTTAGGTAAAGAAATAATGAAATTGCTGCCATTCTGAATAAAATTATAAGTAGCATGTAATTTTTTCTGAGGATTCCATACTAATAATAAGTACTTATTGTTCAGTTGCAAAAATGTCTATTAAGGTTTAATTTAATGATGATCTCTTGATGCCTTTAAGATCTAATGAATGTCAAATTTGTATGAGTAATGTCACTTTAAACTAATGTTTGTGCAACTGGCTGTATATATCTCAAATCAAAACTTTTCCTTATCAATTAAAACAGTCATCACAAATTAATATCATCATCATGGTATTTCTTAAAGGGATGCCAGATCAAGTCTGTTATGGGCTTTATGTGGCAAAATGCAAACTTCTCTTTTAATTCATGGCCTACTTACATTAACACAATTCTGCCAATATCACATTGGTAGCCTTTACATATAAAAAGACATGTTACTGTCTTTTACTAAAATAAGATAATCAGTCAGTTGCACAAATGTCCATTAAGGTTTAATGATGCCTTTAAGCTCTAATGAATGTCAAATTTGTATACGTAATGTCGCTTTAAACTAATGATAATTTTAATGGACGTTTGTGAACTGGACATAAGTATGACTATCTAATTTCATTATTAAAGTTAGTACAAATTTGAAAGGAAACAAAAATAATTATAAATTATGTGTGGCTAAAAGAATAGCAAATATTGGCAAATTATTATTATTATTTAGGGGATAAAAGGTTACTTTAAAGTTGAGAATGTTAAATTTTAAATCTAGCCTAAGAAATGACAGCCAATTGCACAAACGGTCATTAAAGTTTTCATTTGCTTAAAGCGACATTACCCATACAAATTTGACATTCATTAGAGCTTAAAGGCATCAATAAACCTTAATGGACCTTTGTGCAACTGACGGTGAATCTACTGTAATTCTGCAACTCCAATTCATTACAATAAAGAACTGTTAATTTCAAGGAAAGTAGTTTTTTTCTGAGTTTTACTTTTATGACGACAGCTTGTTAATCTCTCTTAAGATTTAAATTTCCATAAAGAAAATTGATTTATTGTTTACAAATTATATCGTAAACAACTTGTGAAGGTTGGCATTACCGACATCATATATTTCCCGCCACTCACAGAACATTGTAGGTTCTAATTATACGCTGACAAAATTGATTTTAAATTTATGCATATAAATATTGATTATGACAACAAAAAAACAGATAAGCAGTCAAAAAATTACTTATTTTTAGCGAATAAAACTGGATATCCTTACCTACGTCCAACAATCCGGTTCCAGAGCACGAACTCAAAATATCATAAGACGATGAAACGCGTTACCTTGAATATTCAGAAATATCAGAAAATACGTAAGGAATATATTCCAATAAAACGTAAAAAAAAGCAAATTCAATCCGTATATTAAATTGTTAGTAGCTGTCTGTCAGACGAAAACAAACCACGCAACAGAAAAGCTAACATGGCGGACGCTGAGTGTGGTCATATCAAAAAAGAAATCATACTTTTGTAATGAGGAAGTATTAAAAATAAGAAAGCACCTCACTAGATGGCGACTCTAGCAAAAGTTGATTTTTGCAGGAAAAAAATGAACCAAAGACAGTCATTCCATTCTGAAAACCTGAAATTTGAAAAGTTGTAAACTTAGATATCAATACAAATATGAAAAAGTACAAATAGAATATAAGTTGTTTATTGAGTTTTGAAAACTAATTAACTTTTAAACTTGAAAGAAAACCCGAAAGGTTGTCATGGAGAAATCAAGAACGTACCGTAGCGACATCTTGTTTGAGTTCGGGAACTAATATATTTTTTAAATACTTCCTCGTTTAATGACAGCGTTTTTCCTGAAATAAAACGCTTATTAAATACTTACCTTATTTGAAACTTTATGGTTTGAGATAGGCTCTATGGTTTCCTGCTTGCCTATTTGCCTCTCTTTCTACATATTTTGCCTTTCACTCGCACATCTGACGTCTACTCGACCACCAGGCAGGCTTTGCGCGCTTGCTTCATTGAGTCGAAAAACCCACCAGGCAGCATTTAAATTAAAGTTTCAAATAAGGTAAGTATTTAATAAGCGTTTTATTTCAGGAAAAACGCTGTCATTAAACACTTGACCGTTATTTGAAACTTTATGGTTTGAGACGTGTTTGTTATCGCCTGGTGGAGATGAACGACGCCAATGTGACATTAGACATGAAAATGGATTTGAAAGAAAATTACACAATTGTTTGTTTCATATTATAGAGTTCGATATACGAGGTACAATCTTTGTATCAAATTAAATAAGCTTGATATTATGTAGCAAAGACTTACTTAGTTATTAAGTCAATGCAATTTGTAATAATTACTAAACTGAAAGTAGTACAAAATCAGTGATGTTGCTTAAATTTATATAATTAATCAATTTGTAATTGTTACAAAAGTATTTATAATATTTTGATTCGTACTATAGCTGAAGTTGGAAACGTTCACGTTTATAAAATTTTCTAAAAGTATTTTCAGATCTCCAGCTACTACGAGATATAAGATTTCGTCGACTGAAAGATTATTTGTCGATCTTGTAATAGGTTCATACATTTATTTACCCAATAAACGGGATCGAGATTTTTATTGCTTGTATCTGTCATTATTTTCCAATCCGATTGCCTGCAGTTAGAATTATCAGATTTAGATCCAAACCTAGGCCATAAATCAATCAATCAATCAATCATTTATTGCATTAAAATATGGGGTAACAGACGTCATAAAATAAGGGTATCACATATTTACTGTTTGATAATGTGCAATAGTTTTAGTAGATATATAAATTTACATTTTAAAATAATGTAGTCGTCATTTCTCTTAAAATGGTCAAAATCTACTGCTAATAAAGTAAGGTCATGAACTCTACGACCTAAACAAAGTCATATTGCAGTGTGTCCAGAGACTAAGAATTTGCTTTCTTTGTCAAAGTATAATGTTTTAAAAAAAGACATATGATTATTATCAACATCCCAAACAGACGTTTTGTGTGTTACGGGGTTTTTAAAAGAAATTGACGTAACAACGTGTCGAATAAACACGTGAGAACTATGGGAACCTGATAGTTCTGTATTACACAACGTGGATATTACGTAACAATACTGTGTTATAAATAAGAGAATAATTCTTTAAGGTATAAATAAGCTAAAAACCTTGCTTATACTGAACCATTACGTTGAAAAGCATTAAACTTATGTAGCTTGTTCCATTTAAGCCATCTAAGCCAGGCTGCCCTATATGTCTTGCGCGTAGATGAACGCCATGATGATTGTAAAAGATTGAGCTATCAGTTACGTTACTTGACCAGCCCTACAAATCCACACTACCAATATCATCTCTTGTACTTTCGAAGATGGAAAAATTCGTTGAGGTATCTATCAGGTAACGACTTAGGTGGGGTATGGTAAACGGTGGAACCAGTGCTCTGGATTTCAGACCTGCTCACCAAATTACTCGATCCCATTGACGAAATAAGTGCCTTGAGCTTTGTTAAGGTGACTAAATTCTTTGAAAATTAGATAAGGAGGAAGGAAAATCCAACCTTTCGCATAGTTCTATTAACGGGAAAAAGCTCCGTGATAAATTGAATAAACATCGTTTTGGTCCAAAAAACATAATTCGCAACGACATGAGCAGTCTTTGATGCAAATAAATCTATCACAGGCACACCAAACTTTTTGAACACAATTTCTGCACATGCAGGTAGAAGATGCCACTCTGGTGGTAATCAGAAACGAGATAGATGATCTGCATGGCCGTTGTACCTTCCCGGTATGTGATACACGATTATTCAAATTAAATGCAGCTTCATTAACTGAAAGTTTTGGTAAGCCATATTTATCAGAGATGCGGATTTTGTTCCACCTTCGTTTCGAATGTAAGCAATAGCTGTTTTGTTGTCGCTTTGCCATAGAAGGGTGGATTGGTATATATATGTAATCGCCCTTGAGGGATTACGAAGCTGGAAAAATTAAATAGGCCGATAAGGCTGTAATTCTTTTTGCTGCGCTACTTTCATCCCCTGAAAAACAAGGCTTTGTTGAGGAACTAGTATAGATTTTTCCAGATTTACTTGCCACTCAAGAAACTGCTTTCTTTCGAGAGCTGAGCTCGACATTGTTAGACCTGCTGATCTTAGTGGGTCATGGGAAAATCGTCCCAGTAACAGTTATACGTATCCCCTCTGCTCGTAGACTTTGGGCTACCCAGTTTGTGACTTTTGGGGCTGTTATGACAAAATCGTTTAACGGTTGAAAATGGGCCGTGGAGAGCCATCGGTCTTTAGAACAAGCAACATCTTTGAAAGAAAGCGTGGTGCTATTTTGACTGGTTCGAGAACAGCTTGACTCTATAATAGTAATATTAACGATGTCATTGTGTCGGTGATAGGAGTGGCAAACCGAATGTCATGAGGATTTGGTACAACTACGACTTTGCGATACCCCCGAAGAAAGGGTATGCGATACCCCTGATTGAGCCTCAAAATATAATATGGAGCGCCCAGTAACGCCAACGGTGATGATATTGCGACAACTGGCCCCCTTTGAGTGCCTGTTTGTCAAAACTTACATTAATTGCGTGCGCATTATTCTCAATGGATGGACCTGTATGTTTACGTCCTCTATTGTGATCGTGATCTCTATTGTTCAAACGACCTTCTTTGCACCAAAGCCTCTATTGTACAAAGTGGCCGAATGAAAATCACTACTTGTCGCCTTCTGTCCCTGCGAGGAACAAGGTTGATACCAACCTTGCGAAGGTTGATTTGCATGGGAAATATGCGTAGATGCACAATATCCATGAGCGCTTCCCTGCGAGGGAGCATTGAGAAATACCTGCCCCAGCGAGGGAAGGTACGTTAGCCTGCTTTGTTCAAGATCACAAAAGCTTTCCGCACTCTACCTGTTTTTTATAGGAGGGTAGTCAATTCCTCTTGTTTGAATAAATGTTGTGCTTTGTACCTTCTGTCCCTGCGAGGAACGAGGTTGATACCAACCTTGCGGTAGTTGATTTGCATGGGAAATATGCGTAGTTGCACGATATCCATGAGCGCTTCCCTGCGAGGGAGCATTGAGTAATACCTGCCCCAGCGAGGGGAGGTTCGTTAGTCTGCTTTGTTCAAGATCACAAAAGCTTTTCGCACTCTACCTGTTTTTATAGGAGGGTAGTAAATTCCTCTTGTTTGAATAAATGTTCTGCTTTGTACCTTCTGTCCCTGCGAGGAACGAGGTTGATACCAACCTTACGGAGGTTGATTTACATGGGAAATATGCGTAGATGCACAATATCCATGAGCGCTTCCCTGCGAGGGAGCATTGAGAAATACCTGCCCCAGCGAGGGGAGGTTCGTTAGCCTTGTTAGCAGTATGGCGGAATTTTTCTTAAGGCTACTTTAATTAACGGATCTCGAACGAAATTTACAATAGCGTCTCTCCTCATCTGTATTACTTAGGCCTTATCACCACAAATAATTTGTAGCATTTCAGAGGAATTGATTTCATGAAATTGCACATAATGGAACACGGTTTTATCGTGTCCCTATTGCAGCAAAGATCGTAAGGCTGTTTATAAAGCATCGCGTTGCTTCAGTACACAAAAGTTAACGCAGCAAATGGTTTATCATTCAAATATCTTTAATTTATCATTAACGTCTAAATCAGTTAATGCGGGTGAAAGATTATAAGATTTCCGAGTGTCTGCATAACGGACTTAACACCGTTCGTTATTATGAAACTACTGAATATCTATTAATATTTAAAAAAAAAACTTTGATGTTTTTAGGAAATGAGGGTTCCTTTAACTTTGTTTCGATTTCAAAATTAAAACCGGGTTGAGAATAAATGCTAACGTTACAATCTCGAAGTAACTCTTCGCTATCGTTACCATCTATAATTTCTTCGTAATTACGATTCGAACGCGACGTAGATGGCATATCGTAATAAGACACTCGTTTACGTAGGACACACTTCGCGAATTAATTTACTGAAACGACGATCTCGCGTTGACGGTTACGCTTTGACCGCACAGGTTCTGCACAAGACGATGAGGATGACGAAGAACTACACGAGGAGCTGGAAGAGCTACTACTCGAGGCACTGCGACAACGCTTATTTCGTTTCTTTGTTCGATTGTGAGATCCGTTATTAGCCGTATCACTATGTAATGTATTCTCATTATTACTGTAAACATTTCCATCATTTGAATTATTCATTATAAAGTTAATGATTTAATGATTCTCTGAAAATATCTAGATAAAAGAATTTTATTATTGCAAAAAGAGGGTAGTTAATAAATTCTAAAAATAAATAATTACACATTTGAAATTGAACAATTTCAAAAGAAAGTAAAGTCTACCCTATTGATCAAAAATGATTCATATATGGTTGGCAAAATTATAGATTTACGTACTTGTATATATATAATATATAAAAAAAATCACATGCATTGCTCAGATTCCAAGATGAGTAGCTAAAGCTCCCATATTATGGAGTATATGAGACTCACCCAGACCCGAGACAATATAGAAAAGTTCATTTTCTACATTGACCCGACCGAGAATCGAACCCGGGACCTCAGAGATGGCGACACCTTGAAACCGGCGTGCGAACCACTCGGCTACGGAGGTCGTATAAAAAACCAAATATAAAATTATTACTTTGAAAAAATAAATAAAAATTTTTTTTGAATTCATTTCATGAATTTTAAATATAATAAAAGAGGCTAGGGTATCTACAACAATTGACTTCTTAGAAGAAAGATTCGTTAATGTACTCACTAGATACCCGTTGAAGCACGTCCGTGCGCTGCAGGAAACAAGACGCCAATGTAGCAAGCGCGCAAAGCCTGCCTGGTGGTCGAGTAGACGTCAGATGTGCGAGTGAAAGGCAAAATATGTAGAAAGAGAGGCAAATAGGCAAGCAGGAAACCATAGAGCCCATCTCAAACCATAAAGTTTCAAATAACGGTCAAGTGTTTAATAATGGCTATGTGCATGACTTCAGCGACATCTAACGTCCGCAACTTTGGAAGCTTTGATGCGACTTTGACACTTTGAAATTAAAAATCTGATTTTATTTGTGATAATCGCCATTTCTCACTCATGTCATTTTCATTTTACATGTAGAAATTAAATTATTCACTTAAAATTGGCATATTTGTGCAAAATACGCAGATAAGCCATTAATAAAAGAAATAATATACGGTTATTAAATTGCATTACACAACCGTCAATGTAAAGCGTTGACCTCTTAAAGACGTCTACGTATCGTTGCGAACTACGATCGCCGCTTCTTGGTAATCGCGGATATTGTAAAGCGAGACGCCCAAACATCAACATCAAGTAATTTACTTAAGAATGCTTTTAGCTTTACTTTAATAAAGCGTTGTAAAAATAAATAGTTATTGTATTACTGAATTACGAGTCATCGCGGTTGAGGCAAATCACTAGTTAAAGAATTATTTATCGCGAATAACGTCCAGCGTAGCACGTTTCCGAAATCAGGACGTACCTAGTTTTGCAAATAACATTTATTCTACATAATACGTGTAAATAAATAGGTTTAGTATGTTTATCTCCCTCATACCTACGATTAAACGTTAAATTAAATAAAGACAGACTATGTGCCAACGACAGAATGAACAGAAAATGGGTAACTGATACTGTATTGCCAGCTGTCGAAAATTATTTCGAAGATTTTGTTTTAAGATGAATATAAACAGATTCCTTTCGGAAGAGCAGTAAATGTTTTAATTTTATCGCAATGTATCTCGTCAAATCTTACAACTGAATTTTAAAGCATTTATCCTCAATCGGTTAAACTTCACACATATTATGCACAGTTAGTTAAGTGATATTATTTTAAATCTTATATGAGGGGCGCCCTAAATGCAGCTTAATATTATATCAATCATAAAAGTATACTGAAAAAAAAATTGACCACGTTCATGATATGAATATGAAATGGTTGAGTAAGAAAAAAATTAAATTTCTTCATTCTAAATCTAATATGGTAGACCAATGAAGATAGTGGACTTGTTATCTTTAAACAGTCTCATAGCATGGATATCGAATGAAACTGAAATCAATGTGACGAGCTTGAACTTGGGAAACTTATCCATCGATGTTTGGATTAATTCCATTGACACATAGACGTAAAGAATTTTCCAAATTATCATCAGTTAGCCTAGACTATTTCGATACTTCTACGATATTTCGATTTATTAACTTTCGTCAGTGAAAAGAACTGTTCGCATTTATAAGTACTGCCAGACGCACAAATCAATTTTCTTGCGAATTTTCTAAGCCGCGGAGAATGGTCTTTTTTTGAGGTATTTTTTGTAGAAAACGCAACTCCACGTCTTCAAATTTAGATTTTAGGAGTGAGTTTTCTTGAATCCTGATCAACTCCATTTGCAAGTGTATTGGAGCATTTTTTACATTACTTTTTGTTGAAGTAGCAAATAAATTTAAACAGTCTTCTATTATATTTCTGAAATCGCTAAATCTGTTCAAAAATTGCTCCGACAGTACCTTCGAGTTTTTCAGCATATTGAGCATAAGCAATATTCTCAGAGCACACACACGCAGAGGGCGTGGTGAAACGGTAACTATTTCCAGGCAGCATCTGTGCCTTCCACAAGCGGATTTTATTCTGAAACGCTTCAAATGACTGTACTAATCCTTAATAAGCTGTCCTTGTTTTTAAAGTTTCAAATTTAAATCAAATAGCCAGTAAGGTCGACCGAAATGCTAAGTCACATATCCATTTGGGTCACTCAATTCAGTTAGTGGTTTATCTTTTATTTGCATAAAGTCTTTTATCTCATTTGTAAGATCGTAGAACCGTTTCAGCATTTACCCTTTGCTTAGCCATCTGACTTCAGAATAGTATGTTACGTCGTCAGAATAATATGTATATCGGCTGATATTTCATCCAAAAACGCCTTGAATTGACGATGGTTTAGCCCTCGGGATCGATTAAAATTTATAGTTTTTACTACCACATTCATAACATTCTGGAGTCGAATGGATTTAGAACACGAGTTCTATTGGTGGATAATGCAGTGAAGGATTATCAAACCATCTTTTTGCAAATTTAATTCAGTTGCTTTTTCGTTCAAAATTCCCATGAAACTTTTACGTATCTTAATAACATATTTAAAAATAAGTAAAGTCAATTTATTTTTAACGGAGCTTTAAAGCGTCTGACAAAAGTTCTGGCCCATCGAAATCGTTTGACACTTTTAATTTTACTTCAGAATAACATTCTACAAAATATATTTAAAAATCAGTCATACAAATTTAAGTAAATTAATGCTGATTTTTAGTTACCTTTCTGACCTGGTACCTGCGCGGTGTCACCGAGCGAACTCTACAAGTACGCAGGTATTAAAAGTACACGTAGAGAATACTTAGAATCGAAAGTTCTATGCTTTTAAAAATAAGTTATGTCAGATCGCTCTGGGATCTTACTTTATTTGTCTTTTCAGTGAGTGCAGTGTGGGCCATACAAGCAGAACGGGCTTTATTGGGGCTTTTGATTACATCATTCAGGGTTATTTGAGTTTGATTTTGTTGGGAGTTGGTAACACTGAATTTGTCAGCAGTGCTGCCAATTTATCATTTTTATGGCTAAATTTAGCATGTTTTCTAGTGATTTGGCATAATTAAATTCAGTTTAGCATATAGCATATTTTTTGAGCATTTTACTGCGAGTAAAATATGTAAAGATATTTTTCATTTTTTCTTATAAAATATGCTATATATGTCTGAACTATAAGAAAATAAATGTTTGAACACAATCTAAGAGTGTTCGTAGATTTATAGTCATAGCGTAGTCTTTGGTTAGATAAATTCCGCTTTATTATAATGAGTTTTTGGTGAGGGGAATCGATGAGGTCCCTGATCAAATTTTGCGAAAAATAGGGACTAATGAGGCTTATGCATTTTCGTCATCTGCTCCATACCTACCAGCTACATCATCGGCTCAGGATACCGACGAGGGTCATCGCAATTTATTTATAAATGCTTCTTTATAATGATTTTAAATAAATATTCTGTTTCTCTAATAAAAGCATTTTTTAAGCATTTTCGAAATTATTTGGCATATTTTTGACATTTTTAAAGCCTGTTTAGCAGAAATATTTTTTAGAGTTGGCAGCACTGTTTGTCAGCCAGCACAGACCATAATCATAAGCAGGTGATTATGGCTTAGTTCCTTCGCCTGTCCCATGGACGAATTATAATACTACTACTGTATACTAAAAAAAAATCGCAAACTAATATACACAGAACACATTTATTTACTCCAAGAGAAATATACCTCAATGTTAAGCGAGTGTCTGTTGTAAAATCACATTTTATATAAATTATCAAAATGGACATAAATAATCCACAGAATCAAAGTTATTGGTTTGTGCTGAGAGAAGACCAAAACAATGTGTACAATTTTACTATTCATAATCCGTCAAGTATGTACATAAATTACATCTTGAAAATTACAAGTATATTTTGTTTAATTATTAATGAAATAGTAAATATAATAGTTCTTATTTGCAGTATCAGGACAGGATACCAGATATGTAATAGATCCACACACAGATGACAATCGACAATACATTCAGATTGATGAAACTCCATTAATTTTATCGGAAGATACAATACAAAATTGTGATAAAGATACTATCAAAACAAAGGATGAAGACAATTTTTGGGATAGAGATAAAATTAAATTACTGCTTTCCCTATGTTTAGACAACAGATTCAAGAACTGTTTTAAAGACAAGACTATGTTGAATGAAATTGCTATACTGATAGGTTCAACGCCAGAAGAATGCCACAAAAAATACATAAGTCTGAGAAAAACATATATCAGGCTATTGAAAAAGAAAAGGCTCGGTAAACATATCAAATGGGTACACTTTAATACATGTGAGGAAGTCTTTCAAGAATGTAATTTGTTACCTTTGTCAACATTAGAACCATGGGATGATATCAAAGTTAAAAGACTTCTCAATCTTTACTTGGAAAATCTTAGTAAATTTCGTGATCCTTATTGTCCACAGAAAGATGTTTGGAAAGATATAGCACTGTCTCTAGGCACTACAGAATATAACTGTTACAACAAGTTTAAAAATCTTAAGAGGACTTATTTAAAATGGTTGGAGAGAAATAATGAGACAAACAAACTAATCAAATGGCCTTATCACAACTACTTTGAAAAGATATATTATAATTACAAGCCCGTTTTAGGAGCTTGGGACAAAAATAAAACAAATAGGTTAATGCAAGCTTATCTACAAATTGTACATAAATTCAAAAATCCAAAATTTTCAAAGAAAGAATTATGGAAAGAAATATCTTCCATAGTTGGTGAGAGTCCACTTAAATGTGATAGAAAATTCAGAAATATGAAGCAAACATATATTAGGCTAAAGATGAGTAGATCTGTCACAAAGTGGTGCTACTATAAAGATTTTGAAGCAATATATAGCAATATGTCACCTCATACCAATGAAAACATGGGATTCTATAAGGAACAGAATTATATTGTACAACTTCTAAAATTTTATGATGAAAATAAGGAAAAGTTTAGGAATCGTATGATTAAAAATAAGTATCTATGGAGGACAATTGGTTCTAAGCTGGGTTTGTCCTCTGAAGAATGTCATAGGAAGTTTCGTAATCTTAAGCAAACCTATATTAGGCTAAGAGGAAAAATGGAATCAACTGGAAAATGCAATAAATGGCCATACTATGCCTACTTTGCAAAAATATATGATGATCAAAAATCTTCACAAAAATATTGTAACAACAACAATAATACTGATCACTCAACCCTGCTAGAAGTAAAGAAGGTCCTTCGATGTATACAAAAAAGTGATACTGACAAATTTGAGAAGCTTGTCAGAGTTGCAGAAGAGTCCAACAATATTCAAAGAGAAAGGAACAGAATTTTACTTGCGTTATTAGCCAGAAAATAAAATAATCATTTTTTTAAATAATTATTATATTTTTATGAAAAATGCTTAAAAAATCACTTTGTCCCTGGCACTCTGAGATGGGACAAGAACCTATGAACTTTCGCAATCCAGGCGACTGCTCTAACCACAGCTACCCAGGACCTAACAAGACTGATTTTTATTTTTTTTAATGTAAGCATTTTCCTATAAGAATATTTTCCAGTATAGCATTATGAACACAAAATTGATCAAATATAATAAAAGTACAATATTTTTATTTTGGAAATTATTTGAAAAGTTCTATTTTGATTTTTATTTATTTTTATTATATTTGGGAAACAAACAATATTTATAATAAATACAATTGAAACATTTTAAAATAACACATTAATCAGTAAGTTTCCACTAATAGTTTATACAATACACATGACACTTTTCGCATTAAAAAATAACTAAATTATTGTTTGGTTTAATTTTCATTAATCACTAACAAAAAGAATCTATAATGTCAACAATCATGTCAAAGTTACACGATGGTCTATATTCTAATTACTCATACATTAATTATCAAATTAAATTAAGACTATAAATAAAAATAATAACAATATCATTTAATGTTCGTCAGGATTATCCTTTATATTTTTTACAAGTTTTTTTAGAGAAGGAATTGAGCAATTAAAAATGTCAATGGAGTTAAATTTCATGTCATATTCTTTACAAGATCTATAAACAAAAATATTTCCTGCATAATTAGTTTTAGTTAATGGGACAGAAAAAAGCTTTTTAGACCGTGAACCCATCCGAGAGCATCTTATATTAATATTCTGTAATAAAAATTTCGAGTCAACGTGAGCTTTTAAAATCTTATACAAAAACATTTGATCCCTCTCTAAACGTCGATCGAGTAAAGAAGGAATACGAATAGGTAAGTGGTTATCGCAAGCAGATCTAAATTTGAGGTGCTTTTCAAATTTTTTGTTGATTTTTTCAATTGCGTCAATATACACTTTATACTGTGGATTCCATACCGTCGATGCGTACTCCAAAACAGATCGTACATATGAATTATACAATAACATTAGAGTGGAGTTATATTTAAATAACTCCACTCTAATGTTATTTGATGGAAAAAAAGTAAAAATAAATACTCATGAATTAATTTTTACGGTCAATGGTTACTATATTTTTTCTTCTATTTCAGACATATCATTTTCATTGTCATCTTTACTAATAACAATAGCAGCAAGAGAATTTTCATAAATAAATACCGACAAAATAGAATACTGTCGAAAATTTAATAGCTCAGACGCATATAAAACGCTCACTGTTATGCTTTTTCTACTGAAAGGAGATAGCCGGACGGTATCAAGTTCCATCCAGGTGTCATGTTAACTCAAACGAGTAATGTTTGGTTCCCATACATTTTTAATAATAGTTTCTCCCACAGCAATTTATGATTTTGTTTTTGTCTTTGGAAATATTTTTAAATCAAAACTATATTAATCAAAGTTATGTTTTGTTTAATTATTCTTAAGGTTTCAGACCCCATAAGCAAGAAGGCGAAACTACGTTACTTGGCCATTTGTCCCTAGTTCGTAACAAACTAATAAATTGGTCTGGATGGCTTAAGAATTCATTTTAAAATCGAAGAGGTGGCGTTGCCTGTCTGATACACGCAGTGCTCTGACAATTGCAAATGTTTTAAAATATTATTGTGACGAAATCAAGACAAAATACTTAATATAAGTGTTTGCTATGATTTTACTGTTAGACATTACAGTCTTTCTGAAATAGATTTTATATTAATGATTATGTATCAAAGTTCTTTGAATAAATTAATGATATGAATACTATCAAGAGAATTCAGTAGGCGTTACACATTTAACATTGATCCATAAATTACTCAGATTCTAGATTTTATCACATTATAACAGTACTAGCTTTCGCCAGCGGATTCGCCCGCGTGGTCCCTAGGGAAATGCTTGGTGGGATAAAAAGTATCCTATTATCTAACTCAGCTAATACCCTATCTGTAATTTCATCAAAATCCGTTCATTACTTTCGGTGTGATTGACCGACAAACATCAAAACAAAGAAACTCACATTTATAATATTAATTTAACAGTATTTGATTATAATGTAAAATATTAGACCACAGACATATAATATGGCTGTGAATGATATACTCATCGAAGAGGAGACAAGAATAATCAGAAGCTGTAAAATATTTTGTGGTTATTGACATTATTTGCGTAATTTACTCTATTTAATGGTATCCTAGAGCGGTGAATACTCGCAGAATGTCAGTTTCAATGTTTTATTAACACGTGCTAAAAACGGCTTGTTATTTTAAGACGAGCTTCTAAAGTGCTATAGTTTAGAACAAAGATTACAATATTATATTGGAAAGTTTAGAAGATATAGCGTGACGCTAAGTCTGACGTTGCTACGTCATTTCTTAATTATCTTATAGTAATTGTTAAAGCCAGTTATCGCCGCTATGCCCCAGAACTGATGAATTAGAGACTAAAATGATGGCCGGGAAAGATTTTTGGAATTTATTTGGACTGCAGCAGCTCCATAGTAAAGAAAAAGATCGATAAAGATGAATCATGAAATCGTTTCAAAATCGAGGGGTGCGTACGCCAAAAGTAGCATGCACACCAACGAATTTATATATTGGACTATTTTGGTGTGCCTGCTACCAAGACGTCTAGGTACAGGCACATTAGAAATGCGATTCAAATTTGTTTTGATTGTCAAAAAATCGTGACTTCTATACTTCGAACTTTCATAACTAACTTGACGCTTAATTAAAGCAACGGCCAAACAAACGGGTAATTTTGAAGCTAATAAATACACAAAACATTTGCGACTGATTTTGTAATTCTCATGCATGATACATTGCCAAAAAATTTATCTATACATATATAAAAGGAGATGTCCTGACTTACTGACTGACAGACAACGCACAGCCTAAACCGCTGGTCGTAGAAACTTGAAATTCGGAGGGAAGATTCCCCTTAATATGTAGAGGTGTACTAAGAACGGATTTTTGGAAATTCCATCCCGAAGGTGGTCAAAAAGGGTGAAAAAGTTTGTATGAAACTTCTTTGTTTATGGACCTATGTCTAGGCCTGCCATCACCTAAATTGCCGACGCCGGATACACACGGCAAAAACCCCGGACATTTGGGCGAAATATGGTATTTTTCCCGGACACTTCAGAAAAAGTATTTTTCGCAAAAAAATAAAAACATCATTATAATTTTTAATTTTTTATTCTTTTATACAGCTTGATATTAAAATCAAATGAAGTACGTATGTAATAGTAACAAATAACAGACACTTTTAATAAAATTAACCACTCTTTCTGAGGTAACATAGCAACAAAAAATAATTAGAAACACTCTTTTTTTTTTTGGTATCAATCAAATTATTATATGATACTACTAGTAACTAACTAACTAACTATAATACTTTATAATTTTAAAATAAACTATGCCAATGATATTTTCAGTCATCTAGTTAGGTAGCCGAATACCTATCATATTTGTTGATTATTAATTAAAACTTAAGTAATTGCTAAAACTGTTAATTTTAACGAGATCTTTTTTTTACTTCTTTTGGTATTTTTCAGTCTTTCCGATTTTCGCCAAAATATCTTTCTTTTCCAACAAGAATTTGTAAAAGTCGGAACAACTCAGGTCCTTGAAATTATACTTGACTTTGATCATAGAAGAAACCGTGTGTATGTTTAGCGAGTTTCTTTCTTTCGTCCATTGCTGCGTGACTAGAGAGAACACTCTCTCTACATTTGCATTGTGAGCTGGTATACAAAAATAATACTGTGCGATTTTGAGCAGTTCAGAGTATAAATGGGCGTTAGGTGTTTGAAAAAAATTCAGCCACAGCTGGTTTGCGCTTAAAAGCTTTTCGCCGTCAGTAAGGTTCATGCTATAAGTTTTTAAGTTTGTCCATTCGTCAATCGGCTTCGTGTCATCGATTTCGATGTTAATTTCTTTGAGGAATAATACTGTTTTCTCGACATCAGACCATGGAGTATTTTCAGTGATGTTTGGCAACATTATCCAATTGAATTTGTCAAAGTCCTTCATTGGTTTTTCCCACTTTTCTATGTAAGAATTAATTTCTCTGTAAAAATCGGTACAATTCTTTTTGAACTCGTTTTTCGTGCTTTCATCTTGTTTGTTTAAAATACTTTGTGCCTTGAGAGGCACAAAGTTTTCTTTTATTCTGTCTTCTAATGTTTTATTCAAAGACACCAATATGTTTCTGGTTTCGATAATGGAATTATCACTTTTCTCCAATTTTTCGATTTTTCCATGGAAAACGTACATCACTGAATGAATGAGAAACATATATGCTTCTGATAGTGGATCTTCAAAAAATTTTTTGATTATAACGGGTGGTCTGTCCAAGCTTTCAAAATAACTTTTTAAGGACTCATACATTTTCAAAAGCCTCTCTAATGCGGGAAAAAGGCTTAGCCATCGTGTTTTCGAATGAAATAAAAGCTGCTTGTACTCCGATTCAGAAGCTTCACAGAATCCCTTGAGAGCTTCTGTGCGAACTGTATAAATTGAGAAAAAGTTGTATATTTTCAATATAATCGTCTCTACGTCAATAGGAAGTAAGTCGCATCCATGGTGCATAGCGTTATGAAGTATATGGGCAGAACATCCCATGCCAACAATATTTGGATTAAGTTTACTTTTCAGTTTGCAGAAGACATTATTTGTCCCGGATCTAGTGCTCCCACCGAAGTTTGTGTTGCAGTTGTCGCCACTAAATGCTATACACTTCGATAGAAGATCATGCTCCCGAAGTTGTTTCATAATAATCTCAACAATTGTGTCAGATGTCTCATTTTCAGTAGACTCGATTTCAAGGAGCTTTGATGTGATGCCATTTTTTTGTTTATCAAAATACTGAATGATGATGGGGAATAATTTAGTACTGCCGTGATTACTAGCATCGGTGGATACACTTACGAATGCAACATCTGTTAGATCACTTTTTAGTTCAGCAATTGTTAAAGGGCATAACACGTTATTTACAATAGCTGTAGCTTTCGTGCGATTACATGTCATGTTTTTTGCCGTATTTGACTCCGAAAACATTACTTGGTTAAGGGAATTGCTACAATCCAAAGAATTAAACGACATGTGGTGATTGACTGTGTGGTAAGCCATTGCGCCTTCGGCTGCTCGAATAACATTTTCTTCTGAGCTAGGTCTAGTTTTTTCAAAGAATGACGAGATGTTTGAACTACTAGCTTGGCTTTTCGAATTAGTTTTGTGTTTTTGTGTGTTAAGGTGCTCTTTAATGTCGGAAACACCTTTATTTGCAATGGAAATATTCGCAGAACAAATCGTGCACTGTACTTCCCAGTCATATTTTCCTCTTTTCAACATAGGATATTTGCTTTGCAATTCGCTGTTGAACGTGCATTTACGCTTGGGCATTTTGATCTAAAAAGCAATAAAAGAAAAGTCAGAAAGCTTAGATATACACACAGTTATGGCGGGCATCCGTTGCTCGTAGATACAAGTACTTTCCGCGACAAGCGATTTAATTCTGAAGAATATTAACATACGTACTCAAAAAAGTTACCATACTTGTAGGTAGGTACTCAAAAAAAGTGACAAAATAATATGTAAACTTACGTAAATTGCAATATCGAAGTGGTATTAACGCGCGAAGCACGCATGCGCTTCACTTGCTATTATGCGTGCGACTGGGTGAGTGAGTGGCGGCTCGGGTGAGCACGCGGCGCGGGGGCACAGGTGGGGGCGTTCGATCGTCGACTATTTAGCCGTCTTCTTAAATGCGGTTTGTTGTAAATGAATTTTTAACAAAGATTTATTTCAATTTATCGCTTATCTATAAAAAAATGGATTTTCCCTGACAACAAAAGTGTCCGGGTTCCACCCGGACACTTTTCAGAAACCCCTACCGGACGGCCCCCGGACGCCCTTCAAACTAGGACAAATCCGGGGAATTCCGGACGGATGGCAGCCCTACCTATGTCGATCAAAATTGGTATTTGGGTAGTTAATATGTTATATTTTATCCCGAAAATTAGCACTTAAAGGAATAAAAATCGAAGTAAAAGATTTTATGAGGAATAATTTTATAATAGTGTTACCATACCATACCATTGTTTACAATCTGATTTGTCAGTTTAATAAAATTACCTAATAATATTTACAAATATTTTATTGTATGGCGACGAAAACTTTTATTTGAGTAAATATTACATTTTTGAAATCTAAATACATAAAAATTTTCAAATTTAAGTAATTTTGTTTACGAAAGAAATATTATTTTTATATATACTGGGTGGAACAGAACGACCGACACTCCCGAGGTTCCTGGAGAGTACTATTTGTCTTTAATACGATGTAAAAAAATCATATGTCTAGGTCAAATAGTTTCGGAGATATTAAATTACAAAGTTTTTGGAAAAAAAATGAGTGTTTTCAACCCTCGGTAATGTTTCTCTAAACTAATGGCAATATTGATGGACGTTTGCGCAATTGGCTGTTAATGGACCGCGAATTAATTACAAACCTAACGGCCAGTTGCACAAACGTTAATTAAGGTTTAATGTCGCCTTTAAGCTCTAATGAATGTCAAAATGTATGAGTAATGTCGCTTTAAACTAATGACAATTTTAATGCACGTTTATGCAACTGGCTGTAATTGGCGCTCCCAGCCTGAAACACCCATGACTCCTTTATCTACGAATATACATTACTGTGATTACTCCCTTTTTCGTAATGGATTGATAAATAATAGCCGCAAACACCTGAGATTCTGTAAAAATCCGTACCCGAATGCACTTTAACAGTGGCACCCGTTCTACCTTGAATTTCGGGACTTAAGCGAAATGCGTTTTTATATGACAATGGAATAGAATATCTAAGAAACGCATGAATCAATTAATCTTGTTTTGTATTTTTATACAAAAATGGAATTAATAGAATATCTAACCTAAATAACGTGAATTCGGACATGTTGCAATCGAAATTTTACGGCATCGCTCGACGCCCGCGAGTGCTATGGTGACCATAGATCAATAGTCGCGCGTTCATAGCAACTGGCAACTTCACTTCGCTTTCATGGCATGTATAAAAGAGGGGCATTATATTAAAATAAGTAGCGATTTTCTCGGGAATTCTCAAAATAAAAGAGTTTGGAATGTTTAGAAATGTTTTATTTTATTGTTATCGTTCTTATGCTTTTAAATGTATATGTACAAACAAACTATAATAGATTATGAGTTAATCATTCTGAAATGAGAAATCGTTAGCGAATTCAATCCGAGTCGGCGGTCACTCGATCGGCGTCTTACAATACACTGATTATGCTTAATTATGTCTTCAACTTAAAATACATCCGTGTGAATTAGACTTACTATAATATTCAATTTGACATCCATAACACTATACACCACAGTAAGGAATGGAAAAAAAATGTTTAGAAAAAATAATATAAAATCAGTGAACAAATCACATCCAATCATCAGTAAACGCACAGGATTGGATAAGTCTGCGAATACCTCGATCGGTAAACTATCACGAAAACATACCCACCAGTTCACACTCCCATTCATGCGACTCGATACAACGCTAACCTATACTGAATTACCACACTAAGTAGTTATAACTAAGGCTGCCCGGAGCCCGGGCCGCGTGGGCTTAGGGCAGTAGGGCCGAGCTCAGCGCGGTCCGGGCCCGCGGACCGAGCGACAGGCGGCAGGCGGTTCACTTCTTGGCATTCTTCTTAGGTGATGGAGCTTTGCCTTTGGCGTTGTTCGACATTTTCGCTTTCTTGCCCTTGGGCTCTCCCTCCTCATCATCTTCATCCTGTGATTACATTAATTATTTCCATAAATATATATGTGAACTGTTAGATAAAAATCAATCGTCATTTTGTTGTTTGGAAGCATATAGTATGTAGTGATAAGAAAGTTTAACTTTCCCACCATAATTTGAACTACATTTAAATAATTAGTAATTATAGACTTTTCTAATAAAGTGCAAAATAACAATGACTAGGACATTGCAAATCAGAAGGTAAAGGTACTCGGAATGAGTATACAGAAAACCAACAGCCAATGTTTGTGGAGACATAAACACAATAATAATTTTGAACTCCTTAGAGGCTCAATTTCTTAGGACTATCTATCTTAGGAAAAAAAACCATAAAATGGTATGACTGGTTAACGCGGTTTAATTTGATAAGCAGTTAAATGGATTGTTAACTTAAAAGATTAATTTGTGTTTAATTAATAATCACTTAAAAGTAATAAACCACTTATTAACTTAATATATGTTAAAACCAGCCAATATATAATTAATTTAACAATTTAGATGACTACTTTTACACTTATCTGTGTAAACCAGCACTATAACAAGTAAATTACACTGACACTAATGTAATATGAAACCAATATTCAATAATACTGCAGTATATACACTGCTTAGTTTCATCAGAAAGAGGCCTCTGCTCCTTTGCCCTCTGTTGAGCGACCTAAGTTCCCTCTATTTATTTATTATTAGTTGAAGGTTTTCAGTACCTCATTCGTCTTGCGCTTTCCTGCTGATGATTTCCTTTTATTTTCATCATCCTGTAAATTTAGCATCTACTGAGTCACTGTAGCAATAAAAGACTAGTATAATAAATTAATATACCCAAATGTGTCAACAACTAAAACTTTTTTCCTAATATAAATATTACTTTACTGTGACTTGTAGATAAAATTGAATATAATTATTAAATGGCAGGATATATGCATAATGCATATATAATAATAACAACTGATCTCTTAAACAGAATGTTATAGAATCAAGGACTTAAATTATTGTTTATATGAGGGAAATATAGATAATCAGTCACCTTAAATTGAGAGTCATCACCCTCCTCTTCATCTAACATCTCTTCTTCCATCTCCTCCATGTCTTCAAATTCCTCCACTAGCGCACCAAGTAAATGCTGCCCTATCAGATGCACTGGTCCTGAACCCTGTACAAAGAATAGTTAGTAATTCTGCACCTCAGCAAACAACCCTAAATAAACTTTATTGAGAAAGTCAGACAAATGCCTCAATGGATCATAACCAGGAAGAGCAACATCAAAACGATGATGCACACCTGTCACTATGAAATTGGTGTTTAATCATCATTTAAGAATTTTTTTTCTAGTTAGACAAACACTTGGTTAAGCAAAACCTCATTTATATAAATATATACCTGTATAAGTGTGAATGTGACAGGTGCATCTGGGAATTCGATGTCAAGACGTGCATGTCTTGTTTCACCTGCCTTCAAAACTGCCACAGGAATCTTGATCGAATCTTGTAGTGACATTGTCTCCACCTATGTAAAAATAAACAATAACTAACTTATCTATTACAAATTTTATATACATAATGCTAATTTGCTTGTTTTCTACAAGCTTATACTTTAGAAACTTAACTTGCAAAATAAACTATTAAATTCAATTAGGTAGCTACAGTTTAGTTTTATCATCATAAGTCATTATATTGGCATGAATAGTGGTAAAAAGACATCAAACAAATATTTAACAATCCATGAAACTTCACACATAAAACATTTCAGGTTACCACAATTTGTCAAATTACTGCATTTAACTCCACCATTGATGCAATAAGGTTAAGGAATCAAGTGCTTGTAAGGCTTGTTTATACAATAAAGTTTGTTTAGTCTATTATGGCTTGAATACACAAAATAATAAAATATTACTGACCTATATATACAAACCCCTAAACATAGTACAGGTTTTATATAAATAAAGACCACTAACATTAATCACATTCCTAGGTAAAAGCTGCATAATCTTGATACTATTATGAGTAATTAGATGCCTAAATGATATATAATTTAATTACTTTTATTACCTGTGGCACTTTCTGTAAAAAACTAAATGATAACTGTCATCATTGTTACAAACATTTACATTATTAGTTCAGTAACATAAGTACCTGTACAACATTGAGTTCATCTGGTTTCGCGTCTGGCCCAAGCAATGCCTGGCGGATGAGCAACTTGTTGCTGCGTGGGTATTCGGCTTTCGCTTCCGGATCCCATGTCTCGGACTGATGTGACGCCGATAATGTGACACCTGAAAATAAGCGTCAGTCATAAATCACTAACGTATAACCGCATTATTGGAAATAAACCTCTCAATGCGTACCTATCCGTACACAATTCGAAACAAAGAACTATGACGTAAAGCGTAAAGCCGCATATCATACTCGAATGAAGGGCGTGCATTCGCTACAAAAGTTCGTTGCCAGCCGAAACACTCGTGTTGATTTTGAAGTTTAAACTAACCTCTAAAGTGACACCATCCAAACAGAAAAAAACAAGCTCTTGAGTATAAACTCTGTGCAGATTCGTAATGAAAAGAATTACCACAAACTAGAATATATATTTATGTAGCTAACAGACTCGTGGCGACTCTATAAACGCATAAGTCATATTGCCGACGCTTGGACGCCATACTTTTAAATTGCGCGCCTTCATTAAACCTCACTGTAAATTTACAACTTCATGTTTATGCAACAAAATCAATATATAATAACGCCCACGTAAACGACAAATAAAGCGTTTCTTAAATAAAACGCCATTTCAATTTCAAGGAAATATTTGGCAATTTCATTAAGATGAAAATGGCGGCAATGAGGATAGACACACATGTAGACAATGTAGTTTGTGTTAAACATGATAAAACACAAATAATCATTTTAATTGTAATGTATCACACTTCCTGTAATATTTTGATATAACTTTATTTGCGAAATAAAATGGCGATAGCCGGGTGTCAAACTAGACGCACAAATTTGCAATATGATGTATCTTTACAAGTACTATCGATTGAGAATAAATAATATTTCAAATAAAGATAAAAACTAATAAAACTTATAACGTACCATAGAAATATTCGTCCGACATGGTGATTTCACTAATTTATTGAGATTTAGCGACACGTTCACGTGCGATGCCGGCGCACACAAATCTGGTCTCAATGTTGCCAGTAGATGCCAACTCGAGAAGAAAGTTCCATAAACACGTAAAAAGGCTTATTACACTACCCAATTTCTAGAGCCCCAATCGATGGGGTAAGAGCAATCTTCTCTATGGGTGAGCGTGTTAAAATCATATATAAATAAAGATGCGTTCCCTGAAAATAACGAAATAAACCGTAAAACGGAATTAATTAATTTGGTGATTTCATGTTTTGTTAATATAAGATTGCACTACATATGCAAAAAACGGTAAGATTAAAAACGAGTTCAAAAGACAACTTTACAATAAATTTAATTTATTATTAAAGGTAATATAATATCACTATGTTTAAAAATAATAAATTTTATTTTTAAAATAAACAAAATTAATTAAGACCTATGAGAGATTAAGGTAGCTAAGAATACTCTTAATTATAAAAAATATAAGGTTAAATTAAATTATAATGTGTGCAAAGGTAAGAGATTTTATAATTGTACTATAATTTAAATTGAAAAGCTCCTGCCTCCCTAAATTATCAATGAATATAATTACATGTATATTTTTACTAAGAAAAATGAAAGGAGGAAGTATTTAAAAAAACATTAGTTCCCGAAATCAAACTAGATGTCGATACAGTACTTCTTGATTTCTCCATGAGAAACCTTCCAGTTTTCTTTCATGTATAAAAGTAAATTCATTTACAAAACTCAATAAACAAATATTTAAGTTTCAAACTTCATAAAGAATAATGGTCAAAATGGTCTACGAAAAAATAGTTCTTGTTATCAAGATGGAACTATCACCAAAACGTAGTATAAGTTGAATGTAATTATTATATACCAACAATTTATTTTTAAAAGCTGGCAAAAAAAAAGATAATTCTCTCTAAAATATGTCTTTACTTCATAGAACGCAGTTTAAATTATAATATTTTTGAACGCATCTGTGATTAATAATAATAATAATGTCATTCCTAAAGAAGTCCATCTCTTTTCAAAGAACAAGATCGATTTTATTTCTGACTAATCGAATGTGATACAAATCTTGTATTATTTATTAACCGTATAAATCCATGAAAATGATAAAACTTAGATAGATTATTAATATAATAAGATGTTACTCAGAGGAAAATTGTTTATTTATAATGAAATTAAAAACTAATGATTATTAATAAAAATCGATATTGCAGTAATCAATCGATTGCGACAACCCTTTTTTAGACAAGTATGTGTAGACGGTTTCTGCGCAGACCGGTTGTAACTTTGGCGGCGATTTTGTATTATCTTCTGTATTATGGGGAGCATACTAGGTTCCATTCAGCGGTTCCGGTTAAGCAGTTAAGAATTGAGGTCTGTAGAGAAATAGCGGATTCTCTGGATTTATTAGAATTAGACTTAATTATAAATGAAGTCTTAATTATAAGGGGTAGAATTGGGTAGAAACAATAATATGTGTACAATTTAATAAATAATGATACATCTGAGTTAGATGGTATAAGAGAATACTGCTGTAATTGTCTTATTGGTCGATGTACACTGGGATGCTGGACTCATATAATAACCATAGTTTGGTATCTTGGATAGGCCAAACACAAACAGAATGTAGCTGCTCCTGCAGCATTCCGTGATGAGATTCATTAGAGTTGTAATAAAGAAAAGTAAAATCAATATGTTGTTTTGCTATACCCTTTTGAAATTAGTATTTTCACTACTACTTTATATACGTCATAGTTTAAGATAGAAAAGTAGAGTTGTTGAGAGCAATCTTAAAAATTCTATTATTATTCTTGGAGGTTCATTGGTTCACAAAAAATGTTTTTATTTCTTACAGTGAATGAGCAAGTTTGAAGTGTTATGTAAAAGTATGCACTTCTAGGACCACGATTATGCATTATCTGACGTGTGCTTTATATATTTCAACTGTAATACCTCTAACTCAAAATGCTACACAAGATGTCGCTACGGTACTTTCTTGGTTTCTCCATGTCAACCCTTCCGGTTTTCTTTCATGTATAAAAGTAAATTAATTTTCAAAACTCGATAAACAACTCATATTATACTTTATTATTAATATAAAATAAATACAACTCATATTATTATAAAAGAAATACTTTTTTATTATTATTATATTCTATTTGTACTTTTTCGTATTTGTATTGATATCTAAGTTTCGGACTTTGCTAATTTCAGTTTTTGACGTGGATACGTCTGTTTTCGTTCTACAGGGGGGGTCATTCTGTGAGCAGGAGTATATGCACTAACGCCATCTATTGGCGTATAAGTGAACTATGCTTGCTCTGCAGGGGGAGGGGCATTCTGTCAGCAGGAGTATATGCACTAACGCCATCTGTTGGCGCTAGTGAATACTTTTTTCATTCAACAAATGAATGCAACGAATATTTATTTATTTAGTGTTTAGTGTCTTCAATTTGTTTATTTTTTTTTTAATTATTCATTTATAAATGCAATTATGCCACAACGTTGCATAATTCCGGGTTGTTTTGGAGAAGCGAATCGTTCAGTTTTTAGAGTGCCAAAGAACATTGATAGACGTGAAGAGTGGTTAAAAGCTATTCGTGATGTGTTTCCTAACCTGGATGTTGGTGAAAATTTTTATGTTTGTGAAAAACATTTTAAAGAAGCAGATTTTACGGCATATATAATAGACAAATCTGAAAAATTATTCAAAAGGTATCATTATAATATACAATACAATAAATAAAAAAAAATTAGCTTTATGCCATACGTATGCATATGTACACATCCATCTACGAACACGTAAATATAGCTTTATATGCGTTAGCAATAAAATGTAAAATATTTTTTTTTTATCAATTACTCATATATCCATTCATACATAGACGTATCCACGCATAAAATATGGCTGTATCAATGATACAGCCAACCAGGGTTTTTTTTTATTATGTTAGTTAAAAGGAACAAAAATAACTATTTTTGGTCCATTCGCTTCCTTCCAAAATCAATTTTTGCTACAGTCGCCATCTAGTGGAGATGCTTTTTAATGCTTCCCTTTTTTTTAAACACTTTCTCATTGGCGACCACAAAAATTATCATCAATTTAATATATTTATTTATTTCCACGCTTACTTTTAGAAATAACTCACGTAAGTCTGTTACATAGATTACGTCAAATATAAGTACGATGTTAACATTTTTTCACTATTTCAATATACATATATCCAAATGTCAATTCTTTTTACAAAACATTGAAATGTATGTAATTAACATCTTGAACTTTTATACAACATTCCGCCGTCGTTTTGAAATCAACAACAGGCTGTGTTTAATAAAATTTTCGTAACAAAAAGATAAATTATGAAACAAAACTATGAAAAAGTTCAAAACGGCTTTTCATGAAATCCTTTGCACATCCAAGATGTGCCGCGAAAATCCGAAAACATAGAGAAATGACAAGAATATAATACCAAAGATCAATACTTATTTGAATTTTTCCTGCTCTTTTAAAAAGAAATAAAAATTAGTTCTTGAAGTCATACTAGATGTCACTCGTGATGTTTGGATTTTGTTTATGATATTCATTCAAATTTTGTTTCTGATGTAATAAAAGTAAATTGAGTATCGAAAATTAATAAATATAACATTGTTTTGTGTTGCTTGTAATATCTAACTTTCAAATTAATTTTTATTTATTTTAATCGTAAGTTAACATTTTAACATTAGTGATGAGCCAACTTATTGGTTGCTCGTAACTTTCATCCGAATTCAGGTTTGGAATGAAGAACAAAAAGCGGAGCGCAGAATAAACCTTGTATTTGTATGTGTCATTATACATTCACAAAACGAATGATATAAATATTGAATTCAATTCAGTTACATAATACTTGTCAAATTATTACTAAGTAACTCTAGGTACTTAGTAAATAATATATTTCAATAGAGTAGGATGTGTAGGAATTCAATCTATTATTAACAATATTATTGTAAGAACCAAAAAGCACATACCCACCTTACGAATTAAATTAAGACATTCAAGTAGATTTTTATACTAATAAACGACTTCAGCGCTCTTTGATACCCTATAATTAACCGATAACGTACTTCAATGTCTGCTACGATTTTATGGGTTATTTTAAGATCAAAAATTAATAAGTTACCCTTAACACGATTACGATACTAACTACTTGCTGATTTTGATTTGCATTGAAGGTATAAAGGTTTAAGAAGATTTTTTTTTTCGGTGTCGAGTAGTTTCGCATGTATGAGTGATGACTTATGCTAAACTAATCGGTGGGATCGGTTCTTTCGTAAAATTCTAACTAAACTTCCATGTTTTCCAACTTCGATGTTCAGTTTTCGATAAATATCGATGCTTACGATGATGTTGGGCTTACGATGATATTGGGCTTACGATGATATTGGGCTTACGATGATGTTACCGATGTCAACATCGATGTTTTTCTAATTTCGATCATCCCTACCAATAAGACAATTACAGCAGTGTTCTCTTATGCCATCTAACCCGGATGTGTCATTATTTTTTAAAATGTACACATAATATTGTTTCCTCCCTATGTCACGACTTAATTCTACCCCTTATAATTAGGACTTTATTCATATTTAAGTCTAATTCTAATAAATCCAGAGAATCCGGTATTTCTCTCCGGTATTACAAAACAGTCTTCGTAGAAACACGTCTACACATACTTGTCTAAAAAGGGAGGTCGCAGTCGATTGAATACTTTAATATCGATTCGTATGAATAATCATTTGTTTTTAGTTTCATTATAAATAAACTATTTTCCTCTGAGTAACATCTAATTATATTAGTAATCTAATCTGAGTTTTATAATTTTCACGTATTTATATGGTTAGTAAATAATATAAGATTTGTATCAAATTCGATTAGTCAGAAATAAAATCGATCTTGTTCTTTGAAAAGAGAGGGCTTCTCTAGGAATGACATTATTAATAAGATGCGTTCAAAAATAACATAATTTAAACTGCGTTCTAAAAAATAAAGACATATTTTAGAGAGGATTATCTTTCTTTTCCCAACTTTTAAAAATAAATTGTTGGTATATAATAATTACATTCAATTTATATTACATTTTGCTGATAGTTCCATCTTGGTACAAGAACTTTTTTTTTCGTAGTCCATTTTGACCATTGTTCTTTGGGCAACTTATATATAAGTTGCAAAAGAATAAATGTATATATACATTTAATATTTAATAATGTATATATACATTTATTCTTTTGATTTTATTAAATATTATGTTTTAATATGTTGATATTTTCGATAAATATCATTATTTTTGGGAGTCGATTTATCGTTATTTGATATATCGTTCGGCCCTAATCACCGACAAAGAGCAAAGTGTAGTTGAGTACTCCTGGTATGTCATTTTTGTGACACAAAATTTTGTCAAAATACCGTAAACATAATTGCTTTTTCTCTATTGTATTTTTTGTTTTCACTCGTGTTCCCCAAATTATCTATTTCCTTACATTGAAATATTCACAACAGTTATATAGGACAGTTGTATTTTTTCAATTTGTGATTTGATGTGGATGCAGTGAGTCGTATCACTTGAGTTCTTGACCTTAGTGACTGATGCCTTGATGTTTTGTGTTGTGTAACGACGCCAAAAATTAGGAGACGGATGGTGCCAAGTTTGTGAGTAATGTGTAGTGATCAACATATTACATGTATAAAATACATATTCTAACTAATGTGCATCGTTACATCTATCGATAATGTACATGAGTCTGTTTTCATAGCTTAATTATCACAGATTTTATATCGTGCCCTTTAAAACCCCATTAGATGAAACAGTTATCAGCATATCCTTTAATTATAAAAATAATGTTTGGCTTTGTTTTAGGTGATATAAGCCATATACGTTTAAGTCGAGCACCGCAGTGGTCGATATACAGCTGTGCAAACTAAACTACATGTGGAAAATCATATAATGTGTACCTCATAGTGCTTGATGGTGTCTAGAAGCAAAGAGTTTTGTTTCTGATGTTATAATTAATGGTACAATGAGTGAGGACACTCAAAATGAAGCGAGCAAGAACTCCGCGTCGCTCGCAGTGGAGGCGACCACGACAGCCGCCGAGTGTGGTGCACATGATGCCTCAACTAATGTCTCACAAACACAGATTGGACAGGTACCTAAATTTGTTCCTTAGATTGTATATGAGACTTAGATTGTATATATATATATATAGGATGTGATCTTTTCAACTGTTAATAAGGCCATTTAACTTCATTCAGGCTTTGAAGAGTGTTTTTAATTTTTTGTATTTCACTAATATTCTACATTTCAGCCTGAGTTTGATAAAAAATCTATTCCTTTAAAAAATGTGGTGATCCTACCTGAATATAGCTATGCAATATCACAGATTTTATAATACAATTCAGTTGTAATAGCTTCAATATGTATATAGATTTTTCAACTAAAGCAAGTATTATTAATCTTTTATCAAGATGACATGTGCAGGAAAGTTTATATTTAATTTATGAAAATTCAAAATTATGCTGAGTATTCTCTGAACTCTATTATTTATTAATAGCACAAATATAAAATTTACTATAGTAAGTTATAATGGGATCCTATACATTACATCTGTTAAAAAAAGTGCTAATAAATTTATGGAAACCTTCCATAAAAAATATATCAAACAAATGTGCATGTATCCACATGCAAAAGTTCATATTTTTTAACAAAATATTTTGTGTAATTTGTCCCTTTTATTGCTGCTTACTACATTTTGTTAAATTGGTTTTACAAATCTCTAAATTACTCAAAATTAGCCTATATCAAACATGTATGATGTATTTTCCTATCAGCAAACAAATTTTATTAACAGATCAGTATTTCTGAAGATTACCTCCTACAAACACTTAACCTCTTTATAATATACACATTCGCTGCTTATTTTTCATTGAATTATTAAATTATTGAAGACATCACATCAAAATGTACTATGCTACCTTGCTTGCGTGTTAGTCAGCAAGTGTGTTTGAATTAATAATATAAAATAAAGTAAACATCACACATTTTCTCAAATAGTTTTGACTCCGCTCAACAATGTAATTTGTTACTAATATTTCTCTTATTTATATATGTACATACATTTTCTGTTAGAAGTCAATTTGTTATTATTTTAATAATTGTAAAATTTAAAGATGAAAAATAAATTATATTTTTGTATCTTAGTGTTAAATATAACTCAAGTTATTTATTATAAATTCAATTTTTTTATAAAACTTGAAAAATAATTCTATGAATATGGATGTTAGCTAATTTTTTTTTGTTTGTCTGTCATGTAGATTGTTGAAAAATATTAGACATATTTTTTAAGTAATCATTTAATTACTGCAATACATTGAGATAAAATGTCACATGACGTCACACTTTTGTGCATTTTCAACAAAACTGTGACATAGTGAGCCCTCACTCCTCAACTTTAAAATTGAATTTATTTTTTTTACCCTGTCTACATCCCCTTTAACCCTTGAAAAGTGAAAATTGAATAGAATTACCAAACTCAAACTGTCTTTTCCTCAATAATTTGGTTATTGATTTGAGGTGATTTTTCATACTATAGACCTCTGAAATATGTCCTACATTTCATTATATTTGGTGAAAAAAAAAAAATTAAACATACATGAGAATAATACCCACACATTTTCTGTGGCTAAGCTTATGAATGATTTGGCGGTACAGTGTTTATTACATACTTGGTAAACAAATATTATTATGTAACATAAACTAATATTATTATGTTACACCAATGAACTTTATGTCACCAGCTTAGGTTTGTATTTTTTAAATATATTTTTATCAAAGATGACTTGTTGACTATTGCTAATTTGACAGACTCTCTTTGTCTGAGGAGGCATAGCATTGTGTCTGTTTTGCCATTCTTTGTAACGCCACTGCCTGATGCTAAGTACACATTGGGCGTTGTGCAGTGCTCCTAGTGTACAGAGGAATCGCACTAGAAGAACACTTTACCAAAGCATGCGCTTCGAAATGCTCTATGTGTACTTATACTAATAGTAAAGAACTATTTACATGAGGCTAATGGCAGAAACAGTTTAGTAAGCCAGGCTACCATTGGCCATGTTTAAACAAAGACAATTTCAAGCCAATCCAATGAAATAGAACGATTTTTAATATTACTTGATTGGCTCATTAGATTGTCTCGGCTATTGGCATAATGTAAATGGCCTCAAACAATTTCTAATTTGACTGGACTGCCTTACTGGATTTTTCTCTGTTATTGGCATAGTGTAAATGGTCCATAATGATCACGACTGTTTGCAGATGACAGCTGGCTCAGCACCCGCCGAGGGAGGCAAGTGGAGCTGCGAGGCATGCACTTACGAGAACTTCCCGCTCTCTCGCAAGGTAGTTCCCATCAATGCATTCAACCTCTTTTTACACTATTGTTATGTAGCACGTTAATTAAGTTTTTTTGATTAGTTCATGTTTTAAATGGTTAATTCTTTGCAGTCATGCCTCTCATGTTTTGCAGTATAATAGTTTATTTAAAATTTTAATTAAGACTACATAAATCGGTGTATGCTTGCATTAACATTTTACAAACTTGTGTTGCAGAATAATGAAATTAGTTTACTTGAAATAAAAATGTATTCTCAAGTCTATGCAAAACATGTTGTAATAACTACATTTGTAATGTGTACCCATTATAATGTGACAACATAGAAATATTTTTATTCGGATGTAGGTTATTGTTATATTTGTAGGTAGTTTTGTAAAAGTACCTATGCCCCAACTTATATGTTGCGATGTACGTGAAACTTGTGAAAGGAACATAAATTTCAGAGTTATTTTCAACTAGAGCATAAAATTATAGGTTTCTGAAATTTCAGAATTTTATTATGAAAGGAACTGGTTTTACTAAAGCGTAGCTTTACTCAATGCCTTTGGCAATTGTTGTTAGTTTCAGTTACTTGATTTCTCGGATGTGGGTGTAAATTTAATTAATTAAACAATATTACGAGTTCTCAATGTATGAAACATTATATAAAATTATTTAACAGATGATTTGTTGAAGAAATAACCTATATCTATATAAAAATAAAAATGAATTTCCGTTTGTTAGTCTCGCTAAAACTCGAGAACGGATGAACCGATTTGACAAATTTTAGTCTTGAAATATTTATCGAAGTCCAGGGAAGGTTTAAACGATCAGAAATTATAACTAAATTGCGAGTATAATACTAAAAACGACAATTTGATTTTCCCATACAAACTTTTCTTGCTGTCAAACGTTCAGTCGGTGATCAATATTTATGGTCGTGTAGTGGTCAGTTTACGCAATATTTTTCAATATTAATATGGTTTTTATTAAGAGGTAAGTGATACGAAGTTCACCGGGTCAGCTAGTAAAAAAAAAAGAAACGACACAATATAGAAAAGTGTACCAGACAGGGAATCGAACACGATGACAAATTACGAAAAAGATCGGTATAGTTCTAGAATCTAGATAACGGAATCTGTAATTATTACAATAATTAATAAACGTAGCTACCCATTCTATTTGTCTTGTTGATATTTTAGAAGTATATCTAAAGCAGTTTTTAAGTAATACTCTAAATTAAGTTACTGAATACGGGTGTAGAAAGTAAACGAAAATAAATATATTTTTTTCTGCTAGTGATTAATATACTATTACCGATAATTACACTTTTATGCTTATTTTATTTATAAATTTATTTCGAAAAGACAAATATTTTATCCTCGTTGTCACGTAACCGCAAACAGTGCGTGACTTCACGCCCCTCTACTGATATCAGCCTTGCGATTCTGTAAAAATCCAAGCCCGAACTCGAATTCACTTGATTCCATTTTTTTGTATGAAATTACAAAATAAAATTGATTGATTATACGTGTTTCAGATATTCTATTGTCATTTCGAAACTCACTTCACTTATGCCACGAAACGTCATAACCAATTCAAGATAGAGCGGATGCCGCTTTTTGAAGTGAATTCGGATACCTGAGTGAATTCAGACACCTGAGTGAATTCGGATTCGGGATTGGATTTTTACAGAATCGCGGGGCTGTATGCATATTACTTTTAGAGGGGCGTTACGCCATGAAAGAAGATGGCAAATTAGCGGGAAATTTTGAAAATTTTAGAGATTTAGATTTTAACTTATATGAATGACACTTTTTTATAATATTTTTTATAAATATATTTTATGTAGGTATACGTTTCATAAATTAAAAATATTTAAAAAATCGTCTTCACTCCTATAATAAATAAAAGCATTATTGCTCGTCTCGCAAAAAAAAAAACTGGATACAAGTGTAAACTTAGCTAAAATGTGTAACCGATTTTGATTTCTTATCGATTGTATTAGCTACTGATAAGCGTAATAACAAGTAAAACTTGCAATACTTATCAATAAATGGTTGCAGTTCTTTTCGATCATAGTAATAGCCATGCATAGGCTGAGTGCCACCAAATCACCATGATAGTGCAGCTATAGATGATCTGCCACCCCACATTTGAATATTGTCATCTCAATGATATGGAGGTTGAAACAGTTACAGCTGCCGCTTTATATTTAATTAGTTTTATGATTTTTAGAGTTCCGTAGTAAACAAGGAACCCTTATAGTTTCGCCATGTCCGTCCGTCCGTCCGTCCGACCGCGATTAGCTCAAAAGCTACTAGAAAGTTGTGATTTTGTTTGAGTATACACTTTAATTACGCCCACAGAACACGGAAAAGAGGTTAGAAAGGCGATCATGCATCCTTTGTACGAAAACCGATGTAGCCAGTCTTGCCCCACTTTTAGTCCGCCGTACATCAGACAAATAATTAGACAAATCAGAACGCTCCAATATAACTATAACCAATCACGCTCAACCATAACAGACATCTATAGTGCACAATGTGACATATCACACTAGTGATTGACACAAAGTTATTTACTATCGATATTGAAAAACAACAAGTCGATTAATTGAAAGGATACTAGATTAATGATTTCTTTATATTATATTGGATATACATTGAATTGTATTGATTAAATGAGACATTATCTTTTTTCTTTAGATATAAATTCTTAATTAGTTGGTTGATTCAATAAGAAATATTTAAATTACTAATGAACTAACATTGAATCGGTACTAGTCGAGCTTAAATATATGCATATAATTATTAATAATAATAGTAGGATTTTTTTTACGTTACGTTACTCGATTTCGTATCAAGTAAACAGATAAAGCAACATCGCTTAAATGAAACTAGTAATATTGACAAACAATATAATGTAAATAAATATATACAAAATAAAAAAATACTATCAGTACAATAAATGCTATTGGAACTTATCTTGAACAGACTCCGATGATTTAAAAAGTATTGTTGTTAATGGTTCAAAATAAAAAATAAAAAAACTAGTTTTCTGTTTCAATATTAAGATTATAAAAAACAGACTTATTACCACACTCATTATTAAATTAATATACAAACGCATTCCAAACGAAGTCAATATGGTTAATCTCTGATAAAATTTATTTTTTATTACCACTATTTTTATTGTCCATACTTTTATTTAGTTTTTACTACCTAACATACCAAGAATCGATTACATGTTTCCAGGCCATTCACTACCCATCTACCGTAATCTATTATATTGTTATTTAAAACGGTAATTTCGCGATATTCATTACATTACGTGCTTAGTACGACGCAATGTAATAAATATGCGCACTTCTCCAGCAATGTATATTTTCTTGGAAATATTTTTTGTGATTCACACTTTTGATAACATTTCAAGATTTTCGACTAAAAATACTAAATTTGAGAAGTGTTCTACTTAATAATGGAAAGAAATCCTTCCTTTGGACCTACTTGAGGATGGGCTTCTTGTTTTGCAATTAATAACTGCGCAAGTCGGCATTTTTAACACTTTTAATGGCGTGTTTCACAGTACTTACAGCGCGCGCGTTCGTGAATGACTAAACATCGCGATCGCGTGGTGAAGTCACGATCCTGTACATTTGTCTAGGATCGTGGCTGCACTGCCACGCCCACAAGGCCCTTCTAACGTCTTTCTGTGTTCTGTGATTACGCCGATAAAGTGGTAATGTAAAATTTCGAAAGAAATTTTTTTTGTCTTACCCATAGTGTGGCAACTTCACGTTGACCTAGAAGATTAATAATACATACACACAGCTACCAGCCATCACATTCAATGGTGTTCAGACTACTCTATGTAAAAGTGTAAAAAAATTGGGTATATGATTGATACAAATCTTACTTGAGGACTTCAAATAGAAGAAGTGAACCGAAAGTTGTTTCTTGCAGCAGGTTCCTTAAACTTCCTTCCACAGGCAACTAAAATTGCGCTGGCACAATCTGTACTCCTCCTAATCTTAGATTATGCCAATGTCAGCTATCTAGATCTCATGGAAATGCAAGTAAATAACCTTGAGCGGCATCAAATTTTTTGTGTGTTTATGCAAATATAATCGTGTTTCTGATTTCCATGTTAAGCTCAAGTGGCTGCCAATTCGTCTTCCCCGTAATGCACATATTGTTTCCCTTCTTTACAGTGTACTGTTCAATCCTTATTCACCTGTTTACCTTAAGGAACGTTTTAAATTCCTTCATAACACGCGCGGCAGAGAATACCAATGCATGCCAGTAAATTCATTCATAAATCATTTACAGTCCAAGCTTCCTTCTCTGGCATGCATTGCCAAGATATCAGACATGTACAAAGCAAACACATTTTTAATTTTAAAGGACTAGTTAAAGACTACTATTTGTCACTCACTTTGAATCATAACTAACTAAGTAGGTATATGCTATATTACATTAAAGGTATGTACCTCTATGTAGATACATGTATGATTTATTGCTTATATGGTATTTATTTAATTAATATATATATATTAAAATTTCTGAGACACCATAAGCTGCCCAAATTTAGATATAATTTTTCCTGTACGCAAAGGTGGCCTTGAAGAATTAATAAGGCCGCCCATTGTGCATTTTCAGTGATTGTATCCATTTGTTTTGTCCTTTTTGGTGTACAATAAATGTATGGTGTTTATTCAGTCAGTAGTACCCAGTAGCGGCGTTAGGGTAGGGCGCGGTTGGGCGATCGCCCAGGGGCGCCGGACGAAAAGGGGCGCCGCAGGACGCGGAGCCCCTTTTTAGTCCGGCGCTTCTTTCTGATTCTGTATGTAAAACAGAACAACATACCGATTACCAATATGAAGATATGTATTTTATTAGGTAAATGACGTACATTGGCGGGCAATATCGCTCGGTCATTTAAGAAAAATTTCGTTTGAGCATGTTTAAACGTTAAGCTGAAGCTAAAATGCTACAATACAAACGAATGCATCGGCAGTGGAGCCTCTGTCTGGCAAGTCAAATGGTATAGCTACTCAAGAGATTGTGGATGAAAAATCCCGAAGTAAAGGAGCAAGTTGTGCTATGATTACAGATGCTGCTCAGGATAAATCTGTTATTGATTTACAACAAATACATGTACTAGATGATGTTGATATTGTTGTCCCGAATATAGCGGATCCAGCTACTTGTCCACTTATTCGAAATAGCAAAAAAATTGATTATATAATAAGTTGTGGCCCACTGCAAACTCACTAAAAATGAATCTGTACTTACTTAATGATGTGATCCGTCAAAAATGAATCAGCTACTTATACACTATTTATATGTCTACTTTTTAAATTAAACTAATGTCACTATAAAGTTGGAACAAGAACATCGTAACGTAGCGTTAAACGTTTGATTACTGTGTTTGTTTGTTTTAAAATAATCGAATAATTGTTTTAAGAGCGTCCATTTATGTCAAACAAGAAGATAATTTTTGATTGTGTTTTTCTTCGTCAAAAATAAAAAGAGATAGATCTAGGGATTATAGAAAAACACATTGTTTCTGTATGGTCGGAAAGTCGGGGATTTCCGAGAAATTAAACCGATTGAACACTACGTTCCATTCTAATGCTGCCAACTTAAGAATTTACCTAAATTTAGGGAAAAATACAAGTAAGTAGGCCGGGTCGGCGAAAAAAAGATAAGTAACTGATTTGCAGTATGTAGTAGTAACTGATTGTAATTGAATTGCAGTTATAGGGCGCCGAAGAAATTTCGCCCAGGGCGCTAGTAGTGCTAAAACCGGCACTGGTAGTACCTATGTACAACGAAGTTAAAAGGAAAAGTATCACACTTAAGTTGGTTTTATAAGGTTACGAGAATTAACTTTAAAATTTCGAACAACGCCATAGTAAACAACAAACGTTTCTTTTTAACTCTTTTTAATGGATTATGATACGGAACGGAACCCTACTTGCGCGAGTCTGACTCGCACCGGTTTTTTGACATCGTAGGTCATTTATATTTTAGTTTATATTTAATAGTATATATCTTGGCATTTACTTATATACGTGGTAAATGTGAATTTTATAAAAAAAGAGATTAAGGTATTATATTTTTTGTAGAAATTTGACATATTCTAACCTGAAGTGCAGACAATGTGTGCCTTATCAGTTTATGTGTTGTATTTATCAGAAATATTAACTTAAGCTAACCAGCAAAATTATAGGAAAATTAGCTTGTGCCCGCGACTTCGTCCGCGTAGTTAGGTTACTTTGGACAGCATTATTCATATCTGAATATTAAGTTTCATGATACGGTTGCGATTATGCTGAACCTGGCCCTCCACAAAATTATGTTGGACAGACCTGGTATAGAAAATAAAATTGTATATACCAAAAATGGAACACTTAAATTACTTTCTAAATTTTTTATTGATAGAATTCTTCATACAGTATGAATTAAGTCAAGTGACAAATCTAAATGTAATTTCTGTAGATAATGTCAATATTTCTCGATGATGCTTTATGGTGTTTATTTTATAAAAGCTGAGAGATAAACGACAGTCTGTATATTGGTGACCCGTTCTAAATATAATCCAATGATCTAAGGAACTTGCTCTTCAATCGCTTAATTTAATCGTTATGGACTATTTGATAAGGATTCCAGACAGTGCTTGCAAACTCTAGTCTACTCCTAGTTTTATAGTCTAGCGAGTAGACTTATTTATTAATATGTCAATTGTTTCGATTCCCCAGTGCACAATGTGCCGGTCCCCGAAGCCGTGCCTGAATGAGAACATTTTCAACCTGCAAGATGGCGCTAGCGCTCTTCCCACTCAGGACCCTTGTGGTGAGATATAATCTTGATAATAATGTTAGGACAATTTTATATAATGACCAGCGTTTTCTATATGTTTGAATATCACATAGGTGTAGAGGGTGTGGCGGAGCGGCTGAAGCCGTTGCGGATATCATCGCCTCAGGGACAGGCCAGCGCCTCCTCCATTGCCAAGTGGTCTTGTCCGGTAAGAAACTATAATTCAATGTATGCATGATAATTAATGTATACATAGCCTAAAAGAATGTCGAAAAAATCAGATGCCTAACCGTATAAATGTATTGGGTTCGATATGGTTGACGATAAATTAAATCAAAAGGCACATAATACTGTATTGTTAGATATAGGTAGATTGAATACTAACAAATGCACTCAACATTCAACCAAGTTAAGTGGTCAAGAGTACTCTTAATCAGTGGTTTTTGTTTGAAGTTTTGGTTTCTGCCTATCCTGCCGGGAATGAGATGTGAATTTATAGATATTCCTTTTATGTACGTGCGCTTACAGACGTGCACGTACGAGAATTGGCCGAAGTCGTTAAAGTGTGCTATGTGCGGCGCAGCCAATCCCGCGCCCGTTGCCGCCGCCACCGCCACCCCCGCACCCCCACCCACGCCCCGCACACACATAGGTCTGTATAAAATACATTCGCATTATAAAATATATAACCTATAACTCGTGCTAATAAGGATGTCACTTGAGTGTCAATTCGTAACGAAAATTCGGAAAATTTCAAATCGTTCTTATAGTTTTATTAAAATCATATCCGTGAAGATTATCTGTGTATCAGAGGCAGTGTCAGGTTCTACCTCAATTGCATCTCGTTTCTTTGGAGTTATATTAGCATTCCGAAAATAGAAGATATTTCATTTTCGCTGAAATAGAATGGTCCTTCAGGTGTCTTGTTAATTCGTATTAAGTATTTGTAAGTAATAAGTATTTGTTATAATTATAACGTATGGTGCAAAAAAAATTCAGTCTTACTTGTTAAAACCGTTGATTTATTTTTATATTTATACCCATAGGTAGGTAGGTTTTAAATACCATATTAAACTATAACCGTATATTATGTAAAGACGACTTACTTCAAGTACCAGGTTTCGTATCATTGTCCGAACAAAATAATTCAACATGTCTGGACTTGACGTTTTCTCTTCTTTGATTGTTTGTTTAATTTGCATTAGGCGGCCAATGGTTTAAACCAAGTACTAGCTTTAGTCTTCGTTTTATAATAAGGCAGAATATGTTTTCTTATTGAAATTAATATTCCGTTATTAAACTTATGTTGACGTATTGTGTGATAGTATCGGGTGCGAACGAGACATGCAACAGCGGCGTAGGAGGAGTGGGCGGCGGCGGTGGGGGAACTCTCGAAGTGGAGGGGGCGAGACGCTCCAAACGACGGAACAACAATATTGACTGGGTCTGGCTGCAGGCGTGCCTTGGTGAGAATATTATCCAATTTAATTGTTACCACGTACAGTCAAGGTAATAATAGGTACCTTAGTAACTTGTAGCAATCACATGATCATAAATATATACCCTACATGATAACCAAAAGGCCAAACTGATAATCAACACTTATAATGTTAGTGGTTAGCGCGTTAGATCTGTAATTGCGGATATTGAGCGACGGTCGCAAAGGCCGGTAATCGGATGGGTTACCAAATTATATTTGGCTGAGTGACTTAAAACGATTTTGCATTTATTACATAACTTTGTGTTTTTGAATGCTCATATGGGTATTAATGCCCATGGACTACATATTTAAGTCATCAACGTCGTGAGCATATAATGCATTAAGAAGAATACAATTTTATGGGTCTTTCTATGAGTACATATAAAACGTATAACAGAAATAACGCATATCCTTATACACTCCATTTAGAAAATGCATTTCTAATCGAAAATTGGGATTTTACTTTTATGTACTAAAACATTGTTTATGTAAGGACACAGTTATATTGATTGCTGAGTAACAGTGTGACATCTTACAAATCCACACAACGTCAAAATTACGGCTTAGTCTGCAACTACAAATGTACCTACAGCGCAATACCACAATGATATCACCCACTGATTCAAAGTGTTTTGTTGAGTTTAGACAATAATTATGATTTTACTTGTTATCAGTATCGTCTAGCATAGTCTTGCGAACACATAATACACGTCGAGCACAGTATCACCACATTGTGCCTAATCCTTAAGCCTTAAGAATTTTATTTACAAAGGTTTTTAAAAACAAAATCTTTTGGATTTACTTACTAAAAATATCGATAATCGATGGCGCTATCTATATAAATAAAATAAAGTCGTGTTAGTTACACTATTTATAACTCGAGAACGGCTGAACCGATTTGGCTGAAAATTGATGGGAAGGTAGCTTAGAACCAGGAGACAGACTTTTTAAACCTTATAAAAATAATAATCATAAAAGACTCAACTAATTTATGATAATAATGATGTGTCATAATAGTGTCATAATAATGTCTGTGTTTGTGGTTTATTTTAATCATTCATTGACTGCTAGGAGTTTATATATTTTTACATTCAAATTCCTTGGGTGGTATAAAGTTCGCCAGGGCCATTAGTTTTTTATAAACCTTGCACCCTTAGGTGTGGTGGAGGGCGAGGCCCGTTGTGTGGAGGCATATTTGTGCAGCGGCGGTGATCCAGCACGCGCCCTCACCCACCACGAGGTGCAACTGCTGAACCGCGCGTCCGCCTTCGACATAGGCCACACGCTCGTACACCTCGCCATACGGTAATAAAATCTATATATATATAAATTAATCCCAATTTCCCTTGGTCACGCCATCACACATGAACGGCTGGACCGATTTCGCAAATTTTTTTTTCTTTGTTATTAGAAGGTTCTTATGAAAGAAAAAAAAATAAGAAAATTGTGTGAAGAATTAGAATATTTAACCACCATATAAAATTATTTCTTATCCAATCTTAGTGCTTTAGATTATTTCGAAAATAATTGACAGAATGCGAGCTACAAATATCGTCAAATAGAATGTAACAAACTGAATGTCATTGAAAACTAACGCTTCGGTCGGAGTTAATTATTAATAAAATACATGTTAAATAATTAATTTATGTAAGAAAACTTAATTTCTTAGTTCACATCACGGTTAGTTCAGAGCCATCAGAAGTTCAATTGAACTTGAAATATGGATGTTTGGATAAACTAACATACCGTTTTCTTGAATTTACTGTTTATTTTTTTCAATATTCATAATTAAGACGGGACAACATCTGTCGGGACAGTTAGTCAAATGTAAGTCCCGCAATTTTCTAATGCGCTGGAACCTTGTCTAAATGACGTCTAAAAGGAGAAACACCAGTATGACGTCATTTGAAAATACCTAGTCTAGCCATAAATTCTGTTACTGGTTGTTTACACACATTTAAAATGCATAATCCCCTGTTGTTGTAATAATTATTTATTAACTTTAAGTTTATTAATTTATTTTATTAAAATGCCAATTTATATGTTAATATTAAGGTATATGAAAAACAAAAAAAAGTACAGATACTTTACAATAACATGATAACCATAGGAGAGGACGAGTTTTTAAAATATCGTCAAGAATAATTTTGGAATAAGAGACAATAGATACATTTATTTTTAATGAAATCAGGTTTAGTTATTGTGGAAATCATACAACAAAGCTTAACAATAACAATCTAAAACAACAAAAAAAAAACAACACAATCCACCTCAATGAATGTAATCGTCAACCAGTGTTTATTTGTTAACGTTACTAATTGTTGAAAACAATTACGTCAACAAAATGGCGGCCAAGCGCATTAGCAATTCGCAGGGATTATAACACAAAATTTGTTGTCTCACATAGATATCAGAATATAATAACATGTTAAAATCTAAATAATGGGTACAATTGTTACTTGCCTGTTTTGGGAAAAAGTATTTCAAACTTTCATATGATCACATTAAACCACTATCAGATTTATTTTTCTCCAAAGAGTATTTTTCAATAAAGGAAAACATATATTTTTTAATTAATTTAAATTGTCCATTTCGAGCTGTGATGTCAGTTACCTATAAACATGAGGACTGGTTGCACTCGCAACAAAGACGTTAATGTTTGGTTTATCGAAATGTGACGTCACAAGATGTTTCATTAAGGTCGCTCACGTTTCGGTTTTTGGACAGGTAAAATAACTTAAGATAATTTTGAAAAAAAAAAATACTCGCCATTTATTTGATAACAAGAAATACAACATGGCTATTGTTAACTATAAGTAACTATTACCAAAATAGTTTTATAATTTATTTCGAAAACCGTAAAGTACCCTTTTTGCGTTTTTCATTGATTAATCTATTTTAGAGTTTGGTGTCTGTATAAGAAGACCTGTGAGATATATATTTAGCGACTCCAATCCTGAACCAAGTGGAAATTATTTGAGGTACAGATTAAAATTAAAAAAATAATTAAAGAAATTGTGGTGTGTCGTTAACACCCACCAATCCACAATAGGGCCGTGGTGGTGTCATTCTCCCCATTCGATTCGATTCCATCCACAGGGAGGCACATTAATATGGTGATTATTGACGATTTGCAGGTTCCAGCGTCAAGACATATTGTCGACATTGCTGTCGCGGATATCAGGCGGCGGACCAGGCTTGAAGCGGTCACCATCTTATATCGGTCAGTATACGTACAAATATGTCATATAATGCGTCGAGCGTATCAAGTATCTTTTACTACGCTCGACGGACGGATGAAGCATCCGTTGGCTGAGCAAAACTGAATGTTATATACTAGCTGTTTTCCCGCGAGTGCGAGAACGTGTACGTCGTTCTTGCTCATATCACCCGCGTATGATGTTAGCTTACCGTAGGTGAAAGAATTGCTATGATCGGATCAGCATTTCCTAAGATAAGACTGAACATAACATCTTAATTGGACATACCCTATGACGTCAAGGAAGTTTCCGACCCCATCGATCTAGTGAAAATATACTGTTAATCTGATAATGAAAAAGGCTTTTTTTACGAGAAACCTGTTTTAATCGCTGTATAATTGTTAGTAGCAGTATATAATAATAATTTAGTTACCTACTATTTTTAAAGGATCTTTTCTAACATGTATCAAAATAGAATCAGCGTCAGGCTTAGCAACCTGACGGTAATCACCCTGTTTTAACATTGGCTCCCTGTTTCGATGCACTAAATGTATCTCAATACATTTGAATATATAAGAATAATATAAGATAGGTATACCAGAATCAGATGAAAAAAAACAAAAGAAAAAAAGACATCGCGATTTTCATACGGCAATATAAATTGACTACTGTTAACAACTGTCAAGTCAAAGTGTAAATTGTTATGAATATTTGTGAAAATTGTATTTTTGAATTGACCGGTAACTAGCAATGACGAGTCTTGATACTATTTTTTTTTTAAAGAATCAATTCTTAAATATTCGTTGGCATTTTTCTACATGAAGAAGAAAATAAACTAAACCAGATTTGATAATAAAGAAATACGTAAGTAAAGCTTATTTATTCGTGTTAGATTTCGAGCCAAGTAAAATGTTAGATGTTGGTAATATAGAGTGTATGTTTGTGCACTATATTATGTTCATTGCTATGAGGCAGTCATTGAAAAGTGTTTATTATTTTAAAAATATTATAAGTATCAAGACATCTTTATCCTTTTTCCCCAATGTTAAAAATTAAAATTTTCCGATTTGCCATCAGATATTCGTAGACCTATACTGGCTTTATGTTATAAAATGTATTTAATGATCTTATTTGTTAATATACTTTTTTAAAATTTCTATTTGTAGATGTATGACCATGTGTTATATTGTAATATTTTAGCGCCGGACCTGGCAGCTGGTATTCGTCGTCATATGGCGGGATGTATACGGCATAAGAAAGGAAACTTTCCCTGTGCGTATATCGCAGAATTCTGCACCTTCTCGCTGCCTGCTGGTAAGTTTTAATACCAATTTGCAACACACATTTAATAGTTACAATTTTTTTTAAACATAAAACATTCAAATACTTCGGACTATAATAAAAATGTATACAAAGTTTTCCAAGTACAACACATGTTCGTGTATTTTTCTATAGAAAAGAAGTATCGTTCGATATGACATAATTATTTTTATCCGTTTATACGTACTTATATTGTAATTGAATAATCTGTTATAGATATTGAAGAGTTGCCGGCAGTAATTCAAGAGCAGCTGTTCTCTGAGCTCCTGGACCGTGATGCGCAGCAGACGCTGGAAGCTGACCCACCTCTTATCAACTGGAGCCACGAGCTAACTGTTACACTCGGTAAGAATATTTAAAAATTATTATTATTTTTATACAATTTTGTTTCGAACAAATGTGGTTATTTGTTACGGATTTAATAATGTTTTCAAATATTAATCTTATTGAAGTCATTAACCCTAACATTCCAATGCAGCGTAGGTATTGCATCCACGAATGGCTGTAGTTATTTACTATGTTACCTATGTGTAACTATGGTGTTATAGGGTTTAACTGAAAATTGGCGTCGGTCTGTTTCTGAAAAGTAAACAGCTATTTACCTTTTTGGTGCAGTCGTGGGACACAATATTATTTAAATGTTGAATATCCTATTGTTTGTGATTGAACATTTAATCTAGTTTTTATTCTAATATGTAGTTATGTGATTAATTAATATAGTTAAGTGTCCTATGTGCATGCGCCGAATAAATTAATTTGTACCAGTAGCTAGTAACAGAGAGTATGTGTGTTGTGTTCAGGGTCTGCTGGACGCAATGTGCCAGGCCGCGTACTACCAGTAGCTAGTAATAGAGAGTGTGTGTATCGTGTACAGGGTCGCGTCTGTACGCGCTGTGGAACCGTTCCGCGGGCGACTGTCTGCTGGACGCGGTGTGCCAGGCCGCGTACGGCGTGTTCGATAGACATAACGCACTACGCGCTGCACTCGCCGACACATTACATCATGCGCATCGCAGGTACCTAATATACACTACTTAAACCTACAATAACACATCGATTTAGTTCCTATATATTTTTAATTTAGCCATTCAGATATAATGAAACTTAGACAGCATAATTGCTATAATAATTGATTGTAAATAACAGAATATTTTACTAAATTAACGTACTCAACAGAATAACTAAATTTGAATCAGATCATGGAGATTGCAGTGCAATTAGCTAATTTAAATGGGTATTACGTATTAATTGTCAAAATAATATTTTCCATTAAAAATGTTTAATCTAATGACATGTTATATATTGATTATTTATCGTGTAAAGCATGTCGCGTGATTTCGCAGCTTCTACGAACGGTGGCAAGCGTGGGAGCGTGTACAGGCAGCATTATTACAATACGCACCTGATGAACAGCAGTTGAGGGCCGAATGGGGAAGAATGTTGGCAGCCGCCGCCCGTCCGCATACGCCCTTGCATCAGGTACCCACGACGATAAAATAAACATACGCAGATAACATATAGCCAAAGTGAATAGACATTTCCTGGGTAGACATGTACCATCTCAGACCACATCTCACTTACCGTCAGGTCAGACAGTAACCAAATGTCAACCTAGTCTGAAAAAACAATTAGACATCACACTGCTTGGAATCCAGATTAAGTAGATTTAAGCATTTGTATTATGGAAATAAAAACTACGTAAGTTTCACGCCAACTTCTGAGATTTGCTGAGGCGCCACATTGTACAGTCAGTTTGCAGTTTAATCTTATTTATATTATGAAGAACTAGCATTCCGCCAGCGACTTCGCCCGCGCGGTTTTACATAAAAACCTACCTTTTGAATAACCCCATCTATTGAAAATGTCACCAAAATCCATTGCGTACTTTTAATGATCTATGCATATATAGAGACAGGCTAATGGAAATCGACTTTATTTTGTACTATGTATCGATTGGTAAATTTTTACTAACTATTAAAAAGCACCTGTAAAATGTGTTACGATTTATTGGTTGCCACATATCTGTATTAGTGTAATCGTTATATCAAACTCGTATTTTCTAGCAATGTATCATGATAGTTGAGATTATAATTATTCCGTATGTAAGAATGAATAACCAACAAAACAGCTACTTGATTCGCTCTTGTCGTTTATTTCACGTAATCAGTGACAGTACACATATTGATTTATTCTTTGATAGAACCATTTCTCAGAAGCGATTTTTAGCAACCAACATTCTAGCATATTATGGAAAAAATGAATAGTGCAGTGATATATTTTCTATTGTTGCTATTTTTTTTTTCTCTTATTAACAATATTGTATGTATTCAATTTCATTCTGAAATACTGTAGTGAAGTGTAAATTTTTATACCTTGCTATTTCTCGAATTCTTGTTGACCACCTTTTTTAAAAAGCAGTGAAAACTTGTAATTAGCTTTATATTGTTAGCAGCAGTATGTTTTCTGTAAAGATAAAATAAAAATAAATAAAATACTATTATGGGTCAATGGTGATGTTTAATAATAAATTATGGTGTACAGCTTCACGTGTTCGCGCTAGCGCACGTGATGAGGCGACCGATCGTCGTGTACGGCGTCAACGTTGTCAACTCATTCCGCGGGGAGGCGTTAGGATTCGCGCGGTTCCAAGGTAAATATAAATATATCTTATATATTGTTAGATTGGAAAGTATGGATTACTACTGGCTACACTAATCGTCAGTTAACTGTTTAACTTTGACTTGATCGCGCGGTTCCAAGGTAAATATATCTTTTTATTGTTAGAAGGGAAATACCGACTATTACTGGCAGCATTAATTGTCGATTTCACTACGGCCTTCCATAGTGAAATTAGAACTTTTTAATTAGATTTTAATCAGTAGATTTTTATGTTCTTATTAACTTAACGCAACGATACGGTAAATACGGAGTGTTATAAAAATATCATAAAAAGCTATGGAAAATCAGTTGCGTACCGTGCGTCCGGTGCCTGCATACGAACACAGTGGACGTTTACTTTTATAGAGAAGGCATTCAATAAGTAATCCATAATTTATTGAATGCCTTCTCTACACGTTGTCGCAAATGTTTTGGCAAAGATAGATTGACATGATGTCCACACGTTGGAATGCCATAAGTTAGCGTCTCCTCTTTCCATCCATCATCTACCGATACCATAAAAATTTCAAATGTCCAGCTTTCCCATGAACCGTAATAGTTGGACAGTTGACATACATTATAGTATGACTGTTTAAATGAGTCCTCGCCCGCGTGGTACAGGGGCGCGGGGTATGACGACAAAGGGGACCGAGAGAGAGGCGGGCGGCAGGCGCGCGCGCATGAGACGAAATGCACACTAGACAGATCCTAAGATATGTGACGTCATAGTGGATAACGGTGAACAAATTGTGATTTTTTTATTTGAAAATCAATTGATGATTACATTAAATTTAAAAGAAAGAAAATGTAACTTGTGTAGGTAACTAAATAAAATATTTAGTAATAAACTTTTGTACTATTTATTAAATACAAGAATTATCAAAATTATAAATCAATCACTTATGTCCATATCAATATCAGTGGAACTTGATTCTACACTTTCAAAGCTGCCGTCATCAGAATCGTCCTGAGTGTTAATAATAAAATCAACAGCATCATCCCGAAGTCCGTCATGTTTAGAGTACTCGTTCTCGATTTTAATTACGTGGTTAACACAATGCTCCCACTTCTCTATGGAATATTCAGCAAATAATCCCTCTAATGTAATTTTTTTTGGTCAAAATTTGAGTCGACATTTTTTGTACTAATTGTCCCTTAATATCACCCCAGACCATCTCAATAGGGTTCAGGTCTGGGTGGTATGGAGGCAAACGCAACACTTCATGTCCGTTTGTCTTCAATAACTCGTCAATTTTATAAATATCTTCCGTTTCTGTATTTTTCATTAATTTAAATAAGTCATATTTTCTAAGCTCATCATCAAAAGCCACGCCTTTTCGTCGTAACCATGTTTGCATAACTGCCTTGGTAGAAGCCATAGTCGGCTTTTTCTCTTCTCGAACCGAATGGTAAGCTGCGTTATCCATAACGATGATAGAATTTGGTGGTATATTAGGCATTAGCTTTTCATTTATCCATTTACTGAAATTCACGAAATTCATAGAATCATGATAATCACCTGTTTTACATTTGGATTTAAATATCACAAGTGCTCCGTCTACAAATCCAGTTTGACCTCCGCAATGTACGATGATCAAACGGTTCCCTTTACCGATATGAGATAGCACGCCATGTACATCCTTTGATTGCCAGCATTTTGAAACGTTATGAGACGCATTTACATAAGTTTCGTCAAGATATAAAATATGTCGTCCTTCTCTACGATATTTTTTAATAGTCTTAAGGTATTTCCACCTCCACGATGTTATATTTGGCTGTTCAATAAGAAGTTTCCTTTTAGAACCGCACTTCTTAAATTTAAAACCAAGATCATGTAATAACAGCCTTAAATATTCCCTGCCGCAGTGTAATATATTCTCTTGTCTAAGTACAGCATTCAAAGTTTTCAGAGTAGGTATATTTTTTTCAATTGTGTAAAACTGAGTCACTTTTCTTCTTACCACTCCTTTTGTGAAATTGTCTATTTCCACTCTTTTTCTGCGAACTTGTTTCGGTTTTCTCGGTGAGGTGAATCTTTCGTTGTCTTTCAATAATTTCCCTTGCTGTACAATTCTAGATACAGTCTTTTCCGAAAGCCCAGTAACTTCTGCTACGGTTTTATTTAAAGGTATGTCTTGTTGATATTCAACAGAATTTGGGTCCAATTTTTTTTTTCTAAAGTATTCGTAAACCTTAAAAGCCATTTGCTTGCACTGACTATTAACCTTATGTCCGCAAATATTGCGATTCATCTTGAGAATGTAATCTCATGTATATCTCTCACAAAGCCTCCGCAAAAATCAGCACATGTGTTCGCTACTCGCGTAACGATCGAAATGAGGTAAAACAAAAATGCGCCCGCCGCCCGCACCTCTCTCGGTCCCCTTTGTTGTCATACCCCGCGCCCCTGTACTGCGCGGGCGAGGTCTCATTTAAACGGCCATACTATAGTAATAGGGCCCCGTTTTAATCTTTGAGTATGGAACGTTAAAAATAGTTTCAATCCAACTTAGTATTTAGTAATGGAACTGTCAGGTCTATTAGTCAAGTAAGGTTCGATTGTAAATAAATTGTAAAGGACTATTTGTTTTCCTAAATAAATTAAATAAAAATACATGTCTTTTTTTGTCAGGTATCTACTTACCGCTTCTGTGGGAGCCAGAATTTTGTTCCAAGTCCCCGCTCTGTCTGGGATATACTCGTGGTCACTTCTCCGCGCTAGTGCCTATGGAACCCTACTCCTCCAGGCACACTTACATATGTCGGTCAGTACAAAATACTACTATCTTGTATATATAAGTATTAGTGAGGTGCCGGATGCAGAAAAATATATATAAGCAGATACGGATTTGAATACCTATAACCTATCATTACTTTGAAGTCACCATATTCTTTTAATGAGAGGAATATAAAAGTATAATGTAATTATCTATAATACTAATGTGTATGGTGTTTTCTTATTGTTTTGCAGAGAACAGCAAGAAGAGAATGAAGAGATGACCTTTCTGCCATTGACTGATTGTGAGGGAAAATTGCTTCCTGTACACTTCCTCACCTGCGATGAGGCAAGTCTCATTCAACCCATTAATTCTTATTAGGACTGTACATATAATATTAATAATCAAAAGTATCAGTTTTCATAAATAATATGAATACTATTGATGGTGAATAAATAATGATTGATATTTTGTATATTTTTGATATCATCCGGAAAAAGCAAGGTAGAGCAATAAAAAAATTGGGAAATCATTTTAATTCAAAACATTATGGTAAAACTTATATTCGAATGTTGATAGTTATCTAGTACTGCAATGTTGCTGCTGTTTTACAATTAGCCCTTTATAAGATGTACATGAGTACTAACGGTGTTCTCGCGAAAACTATAGAGTATGTTATCCGCGTATAATGTTGTTTCTCGTAGCTGAAAGATTTTTCATGATCGTTTCAGTATTTCCGAACATTCTTCATCATCAGCCGTTTAACGTCCACACTGCAGGGGCTCAGGCCTTCCTTATGGATTAAGTAGGATGGGCAACTGCAAATGTAGCCGTGACCAATGGCTTAACGTGCCTTCCGTAGCACGGAGTTGTTCAAGATTATAATTTTTTTACCACCCATCCCGTGACCGACCCTTGCCGAAGTTGCTCAACAGAAACGATTGCCGGCCGCGGCGTTTTTCCAATACGCCACCGAGTTACTGTATAAAAAGAAAGTCATGTAAGTTACGCCATTCATCACTCGAGAACAGCTGAACTGTTTTTATGATATGTGTTTTTGGATCTGTCTTTGTCGGGAATAGGATAATAAGTATTAAAATATTATATCATCAAAAATAATAATTACAAAAGTCTCGAAAAATTTGTAATTTGTTATAATAATCTACAATTGGCAATTCACATTATATTGTCCACGTATATGGTTTATTTTAAATTGTCGCTAAATCTTAAATTTGCTCACTCATTGACTGTCAGGCGGGACCAAGGAGTTTATATATTTTTACATTAAAATTTATCGGGCGGAACAAAGTTTTCCGAGTCCACTTATTAGTATATATTTTGATTGGTTGTCTATATAACAGATGTCAGATGAGGAGGGGGTGGTCCGTCGTTGGTTATCCGCGTGCGTTACCGGCGGGGGAGTGTTGGCCGCTAGGCAACAGTTGCATCAGCGTCCTTTGCTTCAAGCGCAGATGTTGGAAGAGTGGCTCAATCATTATCGACGGCTACAGTGAGTATATACAGTACTAGCTTACCGCCAGCGGTATCGCCCGCGTGGTCCCTACGGAACTGTTTATTTGGATATCGATTTAATCACGGATATAATCATAATGACAAATTGAATAGTAAACCATGGTTAATATGGCAAAGTTTTAATTCTGTATACAATCTTCCACTCCCACTTTTATTTGCTGGGATAAAATATAGCCTATGTTCACCGCATATGATGTAGCTTCCCGTAGGTGAAAGGTATTAAAATCGGTTCAGTAGCTTCGGAGCCTATTCGTTGTTGCTGGCAACACATTGTCTATGATTTTAAGTCTATAGTTTTAATACAGTAGAACTTCCTATTTTGCTTGAATATTACAGGCAGTCGCCATTTATATTGTACTCTGCAAATATTAGGTTCAAAAATAAAGTTTTTGAGTTAAAAGGGGTGTCTTACTTTCGATTGTCAAGAACACAGCGCGAGACATTCGTTGCAAACAAATAAACAAATCTTTCCTCTTTGTAATATTAGTAAAGATATACACTTACGCACGTATCTATAGTCAAGAGAAGTGATTAATTGAGAATATGTCATAATATAAACAGATATTAATACCAAAGAAAAAAGAACTTGAAAAGTAAGTACTGTTAATAGTTAGAACACTATTTATCATCAACGTCCTCAATACAGATAGTTTTATTACCAATTTCCTTGCAATAATGACATTACGCGGTCTGATTGGTGTTTCGTTTGAGGTGATATAGATTACAAATATTGAACAATCATATATTTTTTTGTTGGTTTAAAATATAAATATTTTTAATTTAACTAAAATATTCAAAGAATAATCTTTTTTCATCAAGTTTTTACATTTAACACACAACTTTGTATTACCAATTTCTGTTTAAGTACTGTATTTAAAATATATAATACGATATATTAAAATTTCTAGAGTACAAATGCAAGTTTTTCTTACTTCTACAGACAGCAGACGCGTGGTCCATTCCCGCCGCGGCTTCAGGCTGCCGCCGAGTTTTCCAGCGACCCAGATACTGACGACGAGTAACACACAAACATACATACACACAAACGCGCGCACGTTTCGGACGATATACACACACACATACTGACAGACATGCTCATTAGTGGCATGCTAATTGATCCCTATGAAGCATGCTAATACCGAGCATGCTCTTTCACTGTACACAAATGTTTATTTTAGGCATGATCACGAAGTGTGTTCCATAGACACTCATGACTTCGATTGTAAGTTACAAAAAGCGAATGACAATAAGCATGCTTATGAGCAAGCCTGTTCATACGTGCTCAAAACACACCCTCTTTCGCCCGCGCCATGAGCATGCTCATTAGTAGCAACGTTACGGCATACTTGATATGAACGAGCAAGCACATGAGAAGCATGCTTTCGTGCTACTAATGAGCATATCTGTCAACATTCACTTAACTCGCTTATTACTACTAATGATGATCTCCTTATTCTCATAATATATACAGATTTCATTGTTATTTGAGATTTTTTACAATGTTGTAATCGACATCGAAAATAATGTAAATTAGGGATTATCGTTTCAGTGATGACATTAACTACATTTGAAAAAAACTACCATTTTGCATAAATCATCAATAAAAATATGAATAGTTGCCTTTCTTGTTGTTCATTACACAAATGAAATGGAAGTCCGATGTGTGCGTGTTTAGTTCAAAACTAAGAAATCGCGGTGCCGTGCACGTGTGTCTGTGACAACAAACGTACTAGTATAATTTCTACACCGAAATTAAATTTAATGCAAAACATAACGTAGAATAATAAAAAAAAATACAAAAACACAGTAACATCGCTGAAATCTTAGTTAGTAAGGTTGCTCATTGAAGGAGTGGATCATTTACTTTATAGTTGAATTTACTTATAATAGTAGCACTTATTGAATTGCAATAATATATTTTTAATAAATAATATAGTATATAAACGTATATGGGGCGCCGCCCATTGCTTTAACCGGGGCTTAAAGCGTTTCTCATTCGAACGCTTCGTACAAAATATTGGCTTATTCTGGATAAGCCCTTTTTAATGTCACTATACCTACCACAGATCGCTAGACTCGTAACCGTTTACATTACGATATTGTTTGACTCGATAATTAACAGAGTGTACTGATTGTAGTGTTTCAATTACGTTCCGATATATATATTTTAAAATTAGGTATATAAAAAAGAGATCAAGTAATGAAAATAGCAAAATAAAATTGAGAACTATAAAGATGTTTCAATAATTTTTTGTCACCGACATGTTGAGGATATTTTCATTGTAAATTAGTGGCGTTTCATTTTTTATTACAGTTTCATATAATTCCTTTTCATTCACGTGCTAATTATATTCCAAAATATCTGGATTGTTATTATCTACAATTAACGTATGTTTTTCTATTTGCTACAGTTTAAAATGCTTAATCTTTGTTATGTTACGTTTTACAATGTCTGGAACATGCTATAACTGTCCGATAAAAAATACTTTTTTTAAAATCAATATGATGTAAATAAGGGCAGCTGTTGAATGCGCTTGTATTGAAATTTGGACCTTATATTTTCTAGGTTTTAGTTTAATGCCTTTTAAGATATCCCAATCAAGTCCGTTCGTAAATAAACAGCGATATTAATGCAATTAATATTTATCTGCACAAAGGTCAAGGACAGAATATAATTTACTGAACACGATAGTAATAATACCTCGAATTGTATGTAAATCCACACATCGTTTAAATATAGTGTTAAAAACGTGGATATGCTCTCTTAATATTATATTTTCAAGCCAATCAATTGATTACTTAAATACTATCCGAGCCAAGTAAGAATAGTACTGTCAAACGGCTATCTTGGTTCGTATTGCGCATAAGCTCCAGCTGTAAGATGTGCAAAAAAAATGGAACAAACCTATTAATTGTATGTAAATTACTGCATTATCGTAGTATGACATATAACGGATTACGGCACACTGACATTTTTAATTGAACCCGAAGTCCTAAAATGGCGACCCCGTCGTTATCGTTACGAAAAAATCTTATTCTTATTTAGTAACAAATAAAATAACAAGAGACCAATTAAGAAAATACACTTTATTAATTCTTGATAGTCGTGATAGTACTTATGAAAAATCCAATAATATAATATATATTATATAATGAACCCTAAAAAAATTAGTGAAATTCACTTTCTATGATGTCACTAATAAAGTGACAACTAAGCCGTGAAGTTGGTAGCTAACCCAATCCTATTCTTATTTGGCACGTATGGTAAATGAATGTGACAGTGAGGAGCGTTAAATAAGTGCTGCATCACTGTGTATCATTAGTTGAATTGACCTTTAAAGTACTCATATATCTGACCATGTATTTGTAACGAAACATTGATTGTTTTCGATTTTTGTCTTACCAAACAATATATAGAAATATACATTTTCTGGAGAAAAAGATACTCTGTCTTTCGGGTGACACGTAAATGCTCGTAAAAATAGACTGTACTATGCTTATGTATACTATAAGAAGTTTGCGATTTGCTAATGCTTCGTATGCCTGCTGGAACATTAATTCAATAAGGTGACAATATTTTGTGTAGCGCAACATTTCCTAGAATGCTTATTGCTAATAAATAATCAAGTCTATCAGTACCATTACAGATAATATTCTATGTTCGCTAGAGTTAGAATAAGCTATGTAGTGCGGCTGACGATACCTGAATTGGCGTGGCTAGGGATTATTTTCTAGAAGGGTCCGCTATCTCTTTGAACTGATAGCATCATAAAATATATTCGATTTTCAAACTTTGCCCTCTTACCATAGTTTCGCCAATGGATGCCCGCCGCACCGGTAGCGACAGTGCCGACCAGTGCCCAATTATAAAACGAGCCTCCAAATTAAACTCGTCTTAATAAGAGTCTATTAAAAAGTTTTACTATGGTGTACAGAGAGTTTAAGGTTCTAATATTTATTATTATATTGTTTCGGTTGTATATGTAAATAGATCCAAATCGGTTCGCGAGTTAGTAATTCGTCTAGATGTATAGATAACGCTGATAGAGTTAGGGTTCGTTCGTATCCACGTCTTGTGCTAGGAGAAATTTTGCTGTTCGTTGAATCTTTTAACGTGGATATTACGGGGTAACAGTTTTGTAGAACAGTGCGAAATTGTTATAGTTTCGTTACAATGCACTGTACCGATCGCCACTGTTATTGAGATCTTTAAATCTAATTTGTAAGTAGTCGTTTTTATAATAATTATAATTTAATTCACACTAAAGCGGCAATACTTCAAGCTGGCAGTTATTTAATGTTACGCAAAGTTCACTGAGTTTTGTAATTTATGAAAATAATAATGTTACACTTGCCTACAGACATGATGGTATAATGTATTAACTGAAAATGAATTGTTATTCATGTTTCGGAATCACTTAATTGTGTTACCAACATATAGTCTACTTATTTGAAAATGTCTATATGAGAAATTATTATGTTTAATTTTTCTCAAAAATTTTGTAAATATTATATCATTAAACCACATCCCCCAGTTTTGTTTATACATGTTACAATTAAAATTATGTACCTATTTACCTACTAATTTTAATCAATAAAGCACTTATTTTATGAAGCTGTTTAAATGTTTTTCATTGCCACACACAGTGTGGGAAACCTGACGTACAGTAAGTTCTAACCTATGGTTCAAATCAGTAGGCGCATGGTGAATTTTCGTTTGAATAGAATCTATTTTTTTCATACGAGACCGAACGTTTTTATTGTTATTAAAATTAATAAAGTCAATTTTATAACAATGATTATATGTGGAAACTACGACAACGCTTTAGGTGAGCGTGAGTCAGACGCATAAATATTAGTGCATCGCTAGATGGCGTGGTACTTGAATCTGCTTGAATCACTCAGATTGGTCGACATATTGCGAGCTTAGAAATTAGCTTTGCTGTCAACAGCACGTCAGACTACAAATAAATCTGTCCAATTTCTCTACTTTATATTCTACCAAAAATAAATTTAAATGCGCGGGAATGAATTGAATGACCTGACGTGCGGTCGTGAACGTCGGTGAGTCACATAAATATCTTCAGTTGACATACTGTATCTGTCTTAATTAAATGTAAGGGTGCAAAATCAAGTTTCTGCCCCGGTTGGAAATAATTGTAGATCCGGTCCTGCGGTGGGACCAACTGCCCTAAGAAGCTCGAGATATTGATATTTTTCGGTTGGTTGATTTGAAAAGTTGCTAAACTTACACATGACCACAGCACATGACGAGCCAAATGCGCTTTAATCACTGCGCCATCGAGTTCCTCGAGTGATTATAGCGTGTTAAGTCATCGCAATTGGCAACTTTGTCGTCTTGCACCTCAAAAACTAATATATTACTTGATCGGTCGTAGATAAGAAAATATTACTTGTAGATTCTCCATAGTATAAACTATTATTATTATTATATTTTTTCATGTTAAATAGTTACATTATTACCGGCAGCAGATAAAAAATTAAACCAAGTAGCTGACGCCGTTATAAAAATATATTTGTGTCGGTAAATCTTTAGTAAAATGATAAAAATGAATTCAAGGGCATAATGATAATGCATATTTTGTTCATGTTAATCGCAGTTAGGTATTTTGTGCGTGAGATACTAAACGCAACTCAAACGTTACTCATGACGATTCCGAACGCACGCGCGGCATTTGATATTTGACTTGACAGCTACTGCCAAACGTTGCTGTTGTATTGAGGGGAGTTGGATTTTTACTGAGTTTTATATTTTTAATTTATTAAAACATAGTTTTTAAGTCGTGTATAAATAAAGGACGTAGTGATTGTGTTATAACGAATGTGCTCAGTGATAATGAAAAAAAATAATTTTGAATAATCGTATTTTCATTCGGCGGACTTCGTTCGAGCAGGTGTAACAAAATGGGTGAGTATACCGGCTATTCGATTTTTGTTGTTTTTGTACGATACTTAATTTAAAATTGTTCTCTAGTCCATATTATCAATGGAGGTCACTACCTGTGCTACTAGAATTCTTATAAGAAACTAATAGAGGCAGTGCCTAATTGTATATTGGCGAAATTATTGATTTTTTATGCGGCCCCTGAAATCTTGAGGTTAAAAGGCTAATTACCGAAGTCTTAAAAAGTATTAAGGAGTCACTTAGCTTTATAATTCGATATCATTACTAACACTATAAGGTTTAACTGATAACTTCTTTATTAACATTAACATTAGTTTTATTATTATTGTGAGGCCAATAAACCTGATTTTCTTCCCGGTCCCTTGGAAGAACTGACGAAGGGGAGGACATCCCTCGGCAGAGGAGACCATTATTTTTACTATTATAAAATACATTATTGATACTTGGGTCACATATTAAATTTCATTTTTTATTAATATTAAATATAAAATAAAAAATCAACAAGTTAAGAAAACACTCAAGTGTTTTGGTTCATATTCATGGTCATATAATATAGCATGTAGCTAAGCAATTAGGAAAGTGTTAAGAATGTTAAAATCATAGTAATTATCTTGTCCTTGGCTTTATATATGTGTGAAATTGTGTAACTAGGACATTGAAATTAATGTTCTTCATTTTTTCATTGTAATGATAGTCAAGTTATACACAACTATTTAAAAAAAGTAATAGTAAAAAAACTAAATTCATTATTTCAGACTATTACTTGGACTTCTATTATAAAACAATGCTACTTGCCAAGTTTCTTACTCAGCAGAAAGTAACTCATGATTTTTTTTTTCCTTGAGAGTGTCTA